GAGGACTACCGGACGTACGTCAAGAAGGTGAATGCGTCCGGCAGCCCCGCGGGGACGGACTCGCCCTCGGGCGAGCGCGCGGACGGCGACGGCGACGGCGACGGCGACGGCGACGGCGACGCGCGCCGCGCCGCGGTCGAGCGGAGCGCGCGCGACGGCTTCGCGGGCCAGATGCGTAGACGGCTCTCGCTCGTGAGCGAGCACGCGGAAGAAGAGGGGGAAGACGACGACGCGTCGCTGACGGAGACGGCGTCGGGGACGAGCGCGGACGGCGGGGCGTTCAGACGCGCGCGCGACAGCGTCGCGGCGATGGACGACGCCGTGGACGACGCGGAGGAAGAGAACCGCGATCCGTCGTCGTCGTCGGAGGCGAAGACGAAGACGCCGCTCCCGCCGCGTCTGCCGGAGTACGCGGAACCGCGCGACCCGGACGCGAGCCCGCGCGCGAGCTCGCGCACGGGCGACTCCCTCGCGAAGCTCGCGGGGGACGGGGAGGCGTACGCGAAGCTCAGGGAGACGATGGGCGTGGAGGAGGCGATGACGACGCCGCTGAAAGAGTTGCTCGCGCCGGTGGAGGACGACGCGGAACGCGGCCGCGACGACGAGGACAGAGCGAGGTTGGACGCGTTCGCGCCGTATGAAGACATGCCGCGGGGGTTGATGCTGCCGTACCAGGGGTTCGACGGGTACGGGCAGCCGAAGAGCGCGGGGGGGGTCGGGAACGACGGGGCGGGATAGCCGCGGACAAGCGCGAATGACGATCTCGTTTCGTCGTTCGATTCGAATAGAACGAGGTATCATCACAGCCTCCGACGGAGGTTAGGTCGACTACCGCCGCGACGCGGCCGCGAGCAACTCCGCGTAGACCTGATCCGCGTCCGCCGCGGACGTGGACATCGACCGCGCGGAGAATACCTCCCCGCCCCCCCCGCCGCCGCCCCCGCCCCCGCCGCTTCTCGTCCCGCCGCCCGCGCCCTTGCTCACCATGGCCGCGAGCATGTGACACTCCTCCTCCTTGATCGCAATCTCGGACGTTAACCTCGCGCGGTCCTCCTGAAGCTCCTCGATGACCGCGTCGCGCTCCTTGTCCTCCACCCTCGTGCCTCGCTCCAAGTGTGCGTTACGCTTCCGCAGCATGCGACACCGTTCCTCGAGCTTCACGTTTTCCTCCTCGAGCTTCGCGCGGCCGCTCATCTCGTCGTCCCTCTGCTTCGTCACCTCCCTCAGTTTCTTCGCGAGCGACTCGATCCTGTGGTCGCGCTTCAGGTTCCTCTGAAGCAGCTCCGCTTTCGTGTGCTTCAGACGCGTCACCTCGTCCGCGTGCGACGACACCTTCTCCTTGAACGCGGCCACCTCCTCGATGGCTTTCGTTTGCTCGCGCAGTTTCTTCTCGAGGCTCTCGCGGCGTCTGAGTTCGTCGTTTAACAGCTCCTCCGCGGCGGCGTAGTTCTTCCCGAGCTCGTCCATCGCCTCTCTCGTCGCTTGGAGCTCGTGCTTCGCGAACAGCGCGCCCGTTTTCGCGCTCTCCGCGCGCTCGTTCGCTCGCTCGAGCTCGTACTCCACGCGTTTGTAATGCTTCAGGATGATCCCCAGCCGTTTGTCTCCCTTTCGAACTTCCGACTCCCACTGATGCCATCGCGACGTGAGCGACAGCAACCCCCCGGTGGTGGAAGCGCTCGACTTCTTCTTCTCGACGCACTCCGCAGCCTCCACCGCGGCGACGGCGGCGCCGTTCATCACGCTCAGCGCGCTCCGTTCCCGCGCCAACGCCGCGAGCTTGATCTTCAGCTCCGCGTTTTCCGTCTCAAACTTCGCGAGCGCGTTCACGCGCTTCGTGAGGTCGCCCACCTCGCGGTCTCGCTTCTGAAGCGCCACCTCGAATCGCGCGGCGCGGTCCTTCGCGCTCTCGGTCTCTTTCATCAGGAGCCGTTCCCTCCTCCGCGGCGTCATCGCGTTCGGATCGAATTCTTTGTTCGCCGCCGGTCCTCGCGGCCCGAAGACGCCGAAGCGTCCGCCGCCGACGTTCCCGATGCTCAGCGGGTCCCTCCTCGCCTCCTCCGCGCGTCGCTGCCTCCGCGCGAGCTTCACCGCGGAGTCGACCCTGACGGCTTCCGCGGTCTCCAACACTTTCCTCGCGCGCCGCTCCGCGTCGTCTGTCGCGTCGTCTGGCGCGTCCACGAACGCGCCGAGGCTGTCGTCGTACTGCCGCAGCAGCGACAGCGCGTCCGGGGTGCGGTCGTCGCGTCTCTTCCCGGACGCGCTCCAGGACACCCTAGTCGTGCTTCGCGGCGTCTTGGAGCTCGAGCCCGGGTTCGATCGACGCGCGGATCCCGGCGTCCGTCCCCGTCCCGACGACGATCCTCCCCCGCGGGATCCGGACGACGCGAGAGGGACGTCCCCGAGCCTCGCGAGGACGCGCGACACCGCGTCGTGGTCCGCGCCCGCGGGGAGGTCGTACTTCGCCATCAACGCTTCCGCGGAGAGCGCGGCGTCCGTCCGACCGGACGGCGTCGACGGCGTCGACGACATCCTGAGCCGGGCGCCGGGGATTATGAATGAGTCGATGTATCCCCCAATTCTCGACGGCGACGACGTGACACTATTATTGATGAGGGTTGACCCTGGCATTTTTCTCGTCGACGGTCAAGACCGTCTTTGAATTCGCCTTCATCGGATTTTCGCTTTCAAGCTGAAACCAGGATGCCACATGGCGGGAATCCACCCACTTCAAAAAACGAACCCGACAGGTCGAGATCGCGTCAGTGTCGGGCCGCGGGGCGTCGACGGCGACGCGGACGCGAGCCGGGGGAGAGACGCGCGCTCCGAGCGATTCCTCACGATGGACGCAGACGACGCCTCCCTCGCGGAGCTCGGGGGCATGTCCTCGCCGTCGCCGTTCGCGCGCGGGACGGACGCGCGCTGCGAGAGAACGAATGGCGACGGTGCCAACAACGACGCGGCGGGCGGTCGCCGCGACGACGCGCGCGCGTTCGAGGACGAGACTTTCGCGAGCGATCGCAGATACTTCAACGCGTGCGATGGCGGCGTGTTCGACGCGACGTCCACGGCGACGCCGCACGACCACGCGGCGTCGCTCGCGGGGGCGCGGTACCCGGCGCATCGTCGAGACTCGATTCGTCATTTCCTACGCGCGCGCGAGACGACGCGTTTCCGCGCGTCCACGTCGCTCCGTCCGGGCGTCCGCGACTTCGTGTCCGACGGCAGGAACGGCAACACGAGGTGCGGGATCGTGCGAATCGTCCCCCCGCACGTGGGCGACGGCTCGCCGCCGTTCGTGGTCAAATTTTGCGACGACGCGCGTCGGCGCGGGGATCGACTCCTCGCCGTCGCGGACGAGGAAGGCATCGTGACGATCGTGGACGCGTCGAAACCCTTGCCCGGGATGGAAATCGAGCCGGGGTACCGCCCGGCGGAGCAATGGTTCGCGCACGATAACGCGATATTCGACGTCGCGTGGTGTCATCGCGACGACCGGCTCCTGACCGCGTCTGGGGACCAAAGCGTGAAGCTTTGGGACGTCGAGACGAACGTGTGCCATCGGACGTTTAAGCGACACAACGGGAGCGTGAAAGCGGTGAGCGTGCGCCCGGACGGCGGGTGCGGCGACGTGTTCGCGTCCTGCGGAAGGGACGGCACGATCGCGCTGTGGGACGCGAGGGAGAGCCGGCGACGCGGTCGACGCGGCGTCGGGACCGGGGCGGCGTCTGACCCGTACGCGCGCGAGACGCCGACGGCGGTGATCGCGCGAGCGCACGAGCCCCCCGCGGCGATGGGCGGCGGGACCGCGCGGGGGTTCAGGACGGACCGCCGCGCGACGCGGTCGGCGACGAGGGCGGCCGCGGCCGCGGCGAGGGGCGGCGGCGGCGGCGCGACGGCGGCGGCGGCGGCGGCGGCGGCGGCGGAGGACCGCGGGGGCTTCGTGTCTCCTCCGCGTCGATCGCGTCACCTCCGCGTCGAACGCAACGCCAGCGTCCCGGGCGCGACCGGGCGCGCGTCGTCTCGCCCGCGCGGGGACGCGCAGCACGGCGTCACGTCCGTCGTCTTTTCGCACGACGGGCAAGTCCTCGTCAGCGCCGGCGCCGCGGATGGGAAAATCAAACTCTGGGACGTTCGACGCCTCTCCGGCGGCGTCCCCGTGGACACGATCGTCGACGCGGACCCGCCGTTCATCGCGGGCGGACGCGGCGACCGCGACCGCGGGTGGTTCGACGACGCGCGGTCTCCCGACGACGTCGACGCGCGACGGGCGAGGGCGAGACGACGCGGCCGAGGCGTCACCGCGCTCGCGTTGGCGCCGGAGGGGTCTTCGCGCGTCGCCGCCGCGTACTCGGACTCGCACCTCGCGGTGTTCGACCTCCACAACCCGTCCTCCGGGGCGATCTGTCACCTGAGGGGGCACCGCGCGCCGAGTTTTTACGTCAAAGCGACGTGGAGCCCGTGCGGGACGCACGTCGCGTCTGGGTCGTGCGACCAGCGCGTGTACGTGTGGAGGGTGGACACCCCGAGGGCGCCGCCGACGGCGTTGAAAGGGCACGACGGCGAAGTCACCGCGGTGGACTGGTGCCCGGGCGACTTCACGTGCCTCGCGTCGTGTGCGGACGACTACACCGCGAGGGTGTGGACGATCGACCGCCAGGCCGCGGAGGAGGCGAGGGAGAGGGCGGGCGAGACGACGACGACGACGACGACCTGGAGCGGAAACGGAAACGGAAACAGAAACGGCGCCGCGGACGACGCGTTCGAGTTCAACGCCCGCGACGGGATGTTCCGCACCCCCGCGGCGACGACCGAACGCGCGCTGACCGCGCCGTCGACGCGGAAGACCGCGTCCGCGCTGACCGGCGGCGAGTGGATCGCGCGCGCGATCGAGGAAGGGAGGAAGCTTCAGTTTGAAGACGCGACGCGGCGCGACGGCGACGGCGACGGCTGCGGCGGCGCGGAGGCGACGTTCGAGGAGAACGACAAGGAGAACGCGGACGCGAACGTGCCCGGGGTTGCCGCCATCTCGGAGACGACGAGGGGTTTCGCGATGGCCACCCCCGCGAGTCCGGCGCTGCTCACGCCCGGTCAGGCCTCGGTCAGGACGCGTCGGGTCGGCGCGCGGCGACGCGAGCCGCGCGCGCAGCAGCAGAGCAACTCCATCCTGACGTACTTCACCCCGCGGCGAGGCGAGGACGGCGGCGACGATGGGGTGGCGGCCGCCATGGAGGAGTGATACGTGAGGTGAGCGCGTGAGGTCCTCGAAAGAATAATAACTTACGACCGCGTGAACGCGAGTTCCGCGTTCACGCGCGTCATTTCCCTCCTCCCGCCCGTCTCAACGCCGCGGCTTCGTCGACGATCTCCTGCGCGAGCGTGGACACCGCCATCGCGTACTGCGTCGACGGGTTGTACCGCATGATCGCCTTGAAGTTCCTCGTCGCGAGGAACGCGGTCGGACCGTCGTCCCCGTCCGGCATCAGCAGATGCGTCTCCTGACCGAGCGGCAGCCGCGTCTCTCGGTGCGTCGGTTTCACGCCGTTCCAGAGGTAGTACCTCCCCGGCCGCGCCTCCTTGCGCTCGCCCCAGTACCCGCCGATCACGTCCGCGGGTAACTCCCCGACCGCGGGCACGGTGACCTTGTACCCCGCGGCGCGCACTTTCGAGTCCCAGTCGCAGTACGAGGATATGAAATTCCCCATGGACGCGAACACGTCCGGCAGGGAGTTCCAAATGTCCGCGACGCCGTCGCCGTCCTTGTCCACGGCGTAGACGTGGAAGTTCGACGGCATGAACTGGCACTGCCCGAGCCCGCCGTCCCACGACCCCACGAGCCCGCCGTGTTTCGCGTGCCCTTTGTCGATGATGCGCACGGCCTCGATGAACTCGTTCCGGAAGTAGTCGTCCTTCGCTCGCGTCTCCCAACCGAGCGTCGCGAGCGCGCGTATCGCGTCCGTGTTCCCCATGAACCCGCCGAAGGACGACTCTATGCCCCATATCGCGACGATGATCTCCGCGGGTACGCCGTACTCGCGCTCCACCTCCCCGAGAAGCGCGCGGTGCGCGTTGAGCATCTCCGCGCCGCGCTCGACGCGTTCTCGGCACACGATTTTTTTCAAGTACGCGTCCACCTTGTCCACGCGCGGCGGCGGGCCCGTCGGCGCTGCTGGCGGGGCCTCGCCCTCGGGCCTCCGCGGCGGCGGCGGCGGCGGCGGCGGCGGCGGCGGCGGGAACGGCTCTAAGCCGTCGAACACGACGTCCACGGTCTGTTTCGATATCCCTCGTCTCAGACACTCCTTCTTCGCGTCCTCCGCCCATCGCAGAAAGCTCATCAGCCGAGGCGTGAGCTCGCGCATCGTGACGCGCGGGTGGTTCCCCGGCGTCGGCGACGGCAGCGGGTCCTCCACGTGCACCGGCGCCGTCGCGGTCGCGGCCGCGGCCGAGGGAGCGTCCGCCGCGCGCGCGGAGACCGGGACCGCGGCGTACGCCGCGGCGAGAGACGCGAGCGTCAGGCGTCCGATCGTTCGCGGCAGCGATCGCGGGGGGCCCCGCGCGGTCGGGTCGGACGACGATGATGTCCACCTCGTCTCCTCGGCGCGCTGACTCCCGCCTCGCGTCGACGTGCTCGCGCGCGATGACGAGCTCCGTCGCGCGACGACCTCGCGACGCTCGAGGACGCGACGCGGCGCGACGCGCGCGCGCGTCGGCGCCGCGCCCGACGACGCCATCGCGCCGCGAGGCTGTGCGGGACCAACGTTCCCTCGCCGGACGGTGAAGGCGAAAGGACGTCAGGACTGAGGAACGCGATCGACGATTCCTACGTGTGAGCAAACAGTCTAAACATTTTGCAGCCCCGGTCAAGGTGAACGGTTTCGCCGATCGGTTCTCCCGCGCGTTTCCCGTCAAACACACAGCAGCGGACTTTTTCCGCGTCGACGCGCGCGCGTAAAACGCCGTCCGCGCGCCGCCGCGACGCACAGCAGAGGTCGCAGAGCGCGTCTCTCCTTGGAAAAGCACGCGGAGTTCGTTCGCGTGATTTTGAAGACCCCTCACGGAGGTCGGCGCCGCGCGCGAGCGAGCACACGGGGCGCGCGTCCAAGAGCATCGTCGACGCGAGCACGCGATGGACGGCGACGGACTCGGCGTGGTGCCCGCGCACACGTACGCGCGGCTTCGCTTCGACGACGCCGCGGAGCAGGCGGTGACGCACCTCTCGAACGTGCTTCAATGGCATCAAGGGAGCCCTTACGCGGGGCAGTTCGTGTCCCAGGCCGAGCCTAGGGCGGGTGCGTGTCGTTTTCCGGGTTCTCGTCCGCGCGGGATCGCGCGCGATCGCGTGGCGCGGAATAATCGGGGATCAATTCCGCGCCCCGCGCGCGACGCGGACGCGCGCGGACGATCGCGTCGTCGTTCGTCTCGCGCGAGACCGCCTTGAACGCGCTCTTCGGGGCCGCATTCGACGAATCGCGTCTTCGCGCGTTCGATTTCATCCCGCGCGGGCGCCGATCTGCGTCCGAATCCCTCGCGCGACCCCCGATCGATCGGTCGATCGACGCCAAAAGAAAAAGCACTGACGCGATCGCGTTTTTTTCACCCTTCGCTTCCGCAGGGATGGGCTGCTCGCCGCCGCACATCGCGCTGTTATCCGGGCTTCAAGGGACGGGCATGACCGCGCGGCAGGTCACGGACGTGCTTCATCGCCTCGCGATGCAGTTCGGCCCGGTGAAAGGGCGGCTTCTGCCGCGGTGCAAGTGCGTTGACTCCCCGATTTCTTCGTCGATCGATCGATCTGAAGACGCGGGTCGCGCGATCTCGAATCCGACCTCGGATCCCTAGATCGCTCCCCGATCTCGCGCGCGCGCCGCCCCAAATCTCCCCCGCGCGTCCCGCTGACCGCTCTGTCGCCGTCCGTCCGTCGACCGTCTTCCCTCCTTTACCTCCGCAGGGTGACGCAGAACGGCTGCGTGTTGCTCGGCGTGGACTGCCCCGAGTCGCTTCGAATGGCGCAGGCGCTCGCGAACATGCTCCCGGGCGCGGACACGTACTACGCGCAACAACGACCGGAGCAGCAGCACTTGACGTTGGGAAGGTTCGGCGGGAGCGACTCCGCGGGGTTCGCGGCGTGGCTGTCGGAGTCCCTCGCCGGGCAGATCTCGATGCTGCCGCAGTTCACCGGCATGCAGGTGCAGCTCAGCGACGAGGCGAGGCCGTTTCCGAACCTCCCCGTCGCGCTGACGGGGACGGGCGGCGGCGGCCTCGGCAACGGTCTGGGCTCCGGCGGGCTGAGCCTCGGGAACGGATCCGGGTTGGGCGGCGGGTTCGGCTCCGTCGGCGGCGGGTTCGACGCCCCGATCGGTGCGCCGAGCCGGTCGGGGCCGATCGGCGGCGGGGTGGCGCCCATCGGCGGGTCCCTCGCGCCCATCGGCGCGGGGCCCATCTCTTCCGCGCCGATCGGCGCCCCGATCGGGTCGTCGCTCGTGTCCACGCCGGTCCCGGTGCCGGCTCCCGCGGTGTCCGTCGCGAAGGAGACGCCGGTCGCGGTGAACAGCGCGCCGAGCAACCCGCCGACGTACGCGAGCGCCATGGCGAGCGGGTTGGCGGCGGCGAAGGCGGCGGGGTCGTACGCCGCCGCGGGCGCGGCGGCGGCGAAGCCGTCCGCGCCCTCCCCGGCTGCCGCGGCGGCGAGCGCGTCCCCGGAGGCGCTTCTGTCGATGCTGCAGTCCTCCACCGCGGGCGCGGAGGGCGTCGGCGTGCTCGGGACGTCCACGTCAGCGAGCACCGGGTACGTGCTGCGGCCGCAAGAGTCCGCCGCGTGGTCGTCGAGGTTGGCGCCGCTGGTGACGAACCTCAGCGGGGTTCTCGCGACCGTGGGGCCGACCAAGTTCGCGCAGATGATCGACGGCGTCGCGAACCCTAACGACTGGTCGCTCGCGTCCATCGTCGCCCCCGACGTCGCGAGAGGCGCGCGGTTCGAGGTTGTGCAAGACGTCGAAATCGCCGCCGCCATCGAGGCGAGCGCGATCGCGACGAACAACACCGGCGCGCAAGTGCGTCTGACCGCGGCCGCGGTGGACCAGAACGTCGTCGGCGCCCCCGGGCACAACAACACCGGGTCGCCCTTCATGGTGTGCCGCGCGGAGAGGAGCGTGGACGCGGGCACCGGGATGACGCGCGTCGCCGCGTTCGCGTTGCACCTCGAGGGCGTGTCTCAGCTCGCGCCGGCGGAGAAGCCGTACCTCTCGCTCGTGTTCGCGTGGCTCGGCGTGAGAGCGCCCGCGGCGTCCACGACGTCCGCGGTCGGCTCGGCCGGTGACGCGCCCGCGGTGGGGTCGACCTCGAGCGCGCCGCCGCCGCCCGCGCCGGTGAGCGGCGGCGGCGGCGGCGTGCGCCGGCCCGGGGACTGGACGTGCCCCGGGTGCCACGCGCACAATTTCGCGTCGAGGAGCGTGTGTTTCAAGTGCAAGAACGCGAAAGCTGGCGGGTCCGGGGGTGGGGGCGGGAGCGTGCACGGCGCCGACTCGTTCGGCGGCGGCAAGGCGCCCGAGCCCGCGGGAGGCCCGAGCGCGGGAAACTTCCGCCCCGGGGATTGGATCTGCACCGGGTGCCGCGCGCACAACTTCGCCTCGAGGAGCGCGTGTTTCAAGTGCAAGCAACGCAAAGCCGGCGGCGCGGCGGAGGCGGCGGGAGGCGGCGGCGGTTCGGGCGGCTCAGGCGGCGCCGCGCCGGAGAACTTTCGGTCGGGCGACTGGATGTGCAACAACTGCCGCGCGCACAACTTCGCGTCTCGCGCCGCGTGCTTCAAGTGCAGCTCGAAGCCGTCTTAAACCCCGACCCGCCGCGGAGGTTTCCGCGGAGCCGAGCGCGAACGCCGTCTCGCGAAGGGACGTCGATCGCGACGAGAAACGACTATGAAAATACATAAACAGTGAGAGAAGTGGGTGGGAAGAGAAGAGGGTGGTGGGTGTGGAGGGTGATGAATGCGAAGAACAGAGGGGTCTTCGCTACATGCAGTGGGGGTGAGGGTTGGGCGGGAACGAACCAAACAAGGCGTTTAATGCAAACGAGCGTCTGTTCATCGCGTCTCGCCGTCGTTCGTTCGTTTCGTTCGTTCGTTTCGTTCGTACGCGAGTGTTGTTTTACACGATGAATTCCTACTACTGTATGATTGCTACTGTCCAGAGCGCTCCCATCACCCGTCGCTCTCACTTGTAAAACTCGAAGTCGTCCCCAGGCTTCCTCACGGAACTCTTGTACCCCTTCTCGAAATCCTTCGGCATGACGACGTACCGGTTCTTACGCACGGCTTGCAGACCGGCTTCTTGGCAGATGCTTCGAATGTCCGCCGCGGAGATCTTGTCCGGCCTCGAGACGTAATCCTCCAGGTCGACCTCGTCGGAGAGGTTCATCTTCGCGGTGCACACCTGAAACACCAAGCGCTTCTGCCGTCGGTCCGGAGCCGGGCACTCGATCTTACGATCGAGACGACCCGGTCGAAGCAACGCCGGGTCGAGCGTGTCGTGCCTGTTCGTCGCCATGATCACCTTGACGTTCACCGTCTGATCGAACCCGTCCATCTGATTCAGAAGCTCCATGAGAATGCGCTGCACCTCTCTGTCCGCGCCCGTGTGCGCGTCGAAACGCGCCGTGGCGATCGAGTCCACCTCGTCGATGAAGATGATCGCCGGCGCGTTTTCCTTCGCGAGCCTGAACACGTCTCTCACCATCCGCGGTCCTTCGCCGAGATACTTCTGCACAAACTCGGACCCGACGACGCGGATGAACGCCGCGGTCGTGTGGTGCGCGACCGCTTTCGCGAGCATCGTCTTCCCCGTCCCCGGAGGGCCGTACAGGAGCACCCCGCGCGGCGGGTCGATGCCGATTTGCCGGTACAAATCAAAGTGCGTCAACGGCAGCTCCACAGCCTCGCGAATCTCCTGCTTTTGGACGTCCATCCCACCCACGTCGCTGTACTTTACGTCCGGCCGCTCCGCGTCCGTGAGCAGCGAGATGCTGCTGTCCGCCTCCGGGGGGAGGATGTCGACGAGCGCGTTCGAGTGCCTGTGCAACGCGACGGAGGACGACGGCTTCAGGAGCTCCCGATTCAGAGTGCTCAAGATCCGGACGTAGTAGTTGCTGCCCGTCGTCGAGGACACGATCCCGGAGCTCTCGTCCACCATCTCGAGGAACTGCCCGATAACGAGCGGCACGGCTTGGATCCTCTTCACTTCTTCTTGCGCGCGCAAGAGTTCGATCTTGAGGTTTTTCTGCTCATCCTTGACGTACTCCTCTTGGATCTCCACGAACTCGAGCTCTCTCTGGAGCTCTTTCAGCCTCGTGTACAGGTCCTCCTCGGCGACGGCGTCGTTCGAGGAGACGGACGGCTTCTCGTCCGTCACCATCGCGTCGACGCTCTGTCGAGTTCACGCGCGGGGGGTGGCGCGGGACGTCAGATCGCGGCGAGAGGAGAGAGAAGAGGAGAGGTCGCGCGCGGAGAGAGAAACCAACGGCACGGCACGCGCGACGCGCGCGCGAACGCGACGACGCGTCTCCCACGCGCGCGATGGCGCGTTCGGGGATCCGTATCGGTCGACGCGCGATCGCGACGCGCGGACGCGGGGGGAAGATCGCCCGACGCGCGCTCCGGACCGCCCCGCGGACGAGATCTGGGCGCCGCTCGGTACAGACCCCCTTCGACGACTTTTAGGGTAAGGAGTGGCGAAAGGGCGCGCGCACCAACTCCTGAGGCTTGACCTCCGCCGTCGCGTTCGCGCTGGATCTTCGCGTCGCGACCATGATGCGCTCAAAGAACGATCGATCGTCGTCCCTGCGCGCGCCCTGCGTGCCCGGCGCGTACGATCTGACCAGCGCCAGCGAGCACGTCGTGGGCCTTTTCGAACATCTTGCTCGGCCTCGTCGATACCAGCAGACCTATGAACGTGCAGTGCTGTGATGTGCACTGTCAGACACGTCAGGAATTGTCGCGTATCCATCGGATACCGACGCGGAAGCGGCCATAAAACGCAACCACCGCACGCACATACCTTTATCAACGCGCCAACCCCTCAAATAATCATGGATCTTTCCGCGCAGACCGTCCTCAAGATCGCCGCCGTGTCCTCGGTACGCGCGGCACGTCGATCGACTCCCCCGTGTTGTTACCTTTCTCGGAAAAAAAATATCTTTGATTGATGATAAACCTACTTCGTCCGCCTCTTCAACTCCGCAGACCGGGTACAGCGCGCAGATGCTCGCCGCCCCCGACTGGGCGAACAGCTACTACTACAAGGCCGGCCACCCGAAGAACGAGAACTGGCAGCGCTGGTGCGTCTAGCGTTCCCGAGAGCGAGAACGAGCGCGCGAAAACGTGTTCTGATCGATCGCATCCCCTATCTATCCCCTTTCTGACCTCCTTATTAATTCCCCTATCTATCCTCGGCGTCTCCGCGCCGTCCGTCCACCTTCTCACCGACGCCATCCATCCCCGCCTCCTCTTCTCCCCAGGTTCGGCCACGGCCTCGCGGGCATGGCTCTCGCGCAAGGCCTCGCCTCCGGCGAATCCACCGCGAACAAGGCGGTCCTCCTCGCGTCTGGCGCGCAGTACGTCACCGCGCCGCTCATGATGCTGACGCAGAAGGACGACTTCAAGCCCGCGCAGATCGCGCTCAACTCCGCGATCTGCCTCGGCATCGGCGGTCTCTGCCTCAAGGCCGGGCTCAAGAAGTGATGCGCGCGCGTTCGATGACGACGGGGTCGCGCGCGGCCGCGGCGGCGAGAGCGTCCGACGTTGAAATGTGATAAAACTAACATCAAAAATGCGTTCGTGTCCGTCTCCTCCTTTCTGTGTTGACAGTGAAGTAAATCTCGTCAGAGACGTCGCGTCGACCGCACACCTTCTCCGCGCGTCGGCGCCTCGAATCGAGCGTATCCGCGCGCCATGAACGCCCCGGACGAGCCCAAGCCTCTGAGGCGAACGATGAGCCTCGTCACGGAAACCCTCGCGAGAGCGGCGATGACGGGCACCGCGTTCCCTCCGAGCGCCAAATGCCCGGATTTCCCCCTCGCGAACTTCTTCTTCGTGGAGAAGGCCCCGTCGGACGCGGACTTGCGAGCGACGATGAAGAAGATCGTCGCGTTCGACCGCCTGCGATCGAAAGTCGTGCAGACGAAGAAGGGCGGGAAGTACGCGTGGTCCGAGGTCGCGGACGTGGAGGATCACCTCATGAAGCACGTGACGAGAGAGGAAGTCGACGGCGAGGGCGAGCTTCGGAAACTGATGGACGCCCTCCTCGTGAAGCCGCTCGACACGGACCGGCCGCTGTGGGACGTGACCGTGATCACGCTCAAGCCCGGGGCGAAGTGGGCCCCTGGCCCGGGGTCGCCGTCGCGCGCGCCGCCCGTGGTGTGCGTCCGCGTCAGCCACGCCGTGGGGGACGGATTAGCCCTCGTGAACGTCCTGGAAAACATCTGCACGGGCGCGGACGGCGGCGGCGTCAAGACGCTGGACTTTAAGCGCCGAAAGAGAGTCAGCGCCGGGAAGAAGTCGTCCATGTTGAACCCGATCACGTGCATCTCCGCGTTCTTCGCGATGATGCTGTACATCTGCCAGTGCGTCTGGGCGGTGTTAGTCTCGTTCGGGACGCCGTTCGGACCGCACGACTCGCGAACCGCGTTTTGCGCGCGGCCGACGAAGGTCAAGTACAGCGGTCGGCGGTCTCTGATCGTGTGCCCGTCGTTCGGTTTAGACGAGATCAAGCAGGTGAAGACCACGATGGGATGCACGGTGAACGACGTCGTGTGCGCGTGCCTCGCGGGCGCGATCACGCTGTACAACCATCACCGAAGGAACGACGTCAAGGAGAAGCGCGAGCCGCTCATCCGAGCCGCGGTGCCGTACTCGTTCCCGGACCGACCGAAGGGCGTCCTCACGAACGCGTGGACGTTCGTGTCTCTGAAGTTCACGACCGGAAGGATGGAGATCGTGAAACGGCTGAAGAAGACGCAGCACACGTGCGATTTGATGAAGAAAACGCCCGGGGCGTGGGCGACGAAATCGCTGAACATCATAAGCGCGAAGCTCCTCGGCGCGAAGTTTCAGTCGAACACGATTTACGATTTCATGTCGCGTCACTCGATGGTGTTCACGAACGTCCCGGGGCCGATCGCGCCCGTTCGGATCTTCGGATCGGAGATGAAAGAGCTCGTGTTCGGCGTGGGGAACCTCGTGAACCAAGTCAGCGTCGTGTCCTACGCCGGGTCCGTCGGTCTGTCCTTGGTCGTGGACGAGGAGGAGGTGAAGGAGGCGCACCTCATCGGCGATTTTTTCCAGCTCGAGTTGAACAACCTGAAAGACGCGGCGGCGGAGATCGAGGCGAAGGCTGCGGAGGAGAAGGCGAAGGCCGCGGAGGAGAGGGCGAAGGAGGCGAAGACCGCCGCGAACAAATCGTGAACTAATACGCGATAAGTAACAACACGTAGAACTACGTTGTAGTCGGTCGCTCGAAGAGGCGAGCGCGCCGTGAACACTCAGACAACGTGAAACTCAGACAACCCCGCGAGCGCGCGCACGTGCGCGACGACGCACGCGGCGAGCCCTTCCCTGATCAGTCCCTCCGCCCCACCCTCGGACCCGGAGAGGTACCCGTACCCACCCTCCAGCAAGGAGACGATCCGCGCGCCGGAGGACGCGGCCACGCCGCACAGACGAGCGGTCATCTCCTCGTAGTCGTCCGGGGTCAAATTGATCCCCGCGGCGCGCGTCCCTCTGCGGTCGACGCCGACGTTCCCGACGTCGTGGTTCGCGGCGTCGAACCCGGCGGAGATGATCAACAGATCCGGTTTAAACGCGCGCAACGGCGGAAGGATGCGGTCTTTCAGGCGTCTCATCCACTCGTGCCGCCCACCCTGCGGCGCGGCGGCGGCGACCGCGGCTTCCGCCGCCGCCTTCGCCGCCGCCAACGCCGCGCCGCCGCCGTCGAGATCGTCGTCCCGGTTCCTCTTCACGCTCACCCTCGCGCGCGTGCCGACCGGTGACTGCTTCGCTCTTCCGCTTCCCGCGTTTCCGCTCCACATCGGCGGCACGCACACGTTAACGACGTTATCGTGCAGCCCGTCCGCGACGCCGGTGCCGGGGTAAAACTCGATGCCGCTCCCGGCGCCGTCGTCCGCGAGATGAATCGACGCGAACAAAAGGTCCGCGTCGTTCGAAGACGTCGACGCCGCGCGCGCTCGTTTCCGTCGCTTCGCCGCGTGCCACGCGCGCGCGATCTCTTCCGTTCCGTTGCCGTGGTGGACGTCGAAGTCGACGACGGCGACGCGTTTCGCGAGTCGGCCGTCGTTGCCTTCGAGCGCGTGAAGCGCGCCTGTTGAGACGAGAGAAACGAAACGAAACGAAACGAAACGCGCGGTTCGAGTCAGACGTCGACCGACCGTTCGAGGGGAAGGATACTGTACCGTGCGATCGAACGCGCGTTGGGATGTGCGGCTCGTATCTGTCCGAGGGCGACGTGATCTCCGCGCCTCCAGTCATCAGAAACCGACGTACATTTCGGGGGTCGGAACGTCCCTCGAGGGGACGTTCGCGTCGTCGCCGAGGCGCCGGCGACGAAATTTCGCACGGCGACTCGAGGACATCCCCCGCGCGGCGCGGAACGAACGAAGACGAGAGAAGCGCGGGACGCGTGACGAAACGAAGAGAAAAACCGCGACCGACGCGACGCACCTATCATCGCGTTGTTGAGGATCGAGAACCCCGCGCTCGGCGCCCCCGCGGTCGCGCCGTTCACGCCCGCGTGATGCCCTGGCGGCCGCACGCACACGAACGCGGTTCGTCGTTCGCCCCTCAACACCTTCTCGACCGCGTGCACGACCCCGCCCGCGGCTCTCAGCGCCGCGGTCATCGTCCCGGGGGAGAAGAACGTGTCGCTGAACTCCGGCTTCTTCTGCTTCGCCTGCGGCATCCCCTTAAACTCCTGGTGGTACGGCGTGAACGCGACAGGGGTGTTCGCGACGCGCTCCGCGAGGTCGGTGATCATCCCGATGTACTCCTCGCCGTGCGCCCGCGCCAAGTGCGTCGCCGTCGCGGGTTCGAACTCGCTCGAGACGCTGACCTCGTCCTCCGCGAGTGCCCCAGACGCGGCGCCCTTCGCGAGCGACGCTAAGACGGCCGCGATCCGCTCCGGGGACTCCTGATGCGGTTTAAACGAGACGTGCTTCCCGCAGTCCTCGTGATGCAGAAGGAGCACCTTCAATTTGGGAGCGGCGGCGAGCAACGCCGACCTCGTCGCCGCGCGCACCTTGGACCGCACGCCCTTGGACACCTTCGTCGCGACGTGCGACAACACCCCGGCGCCGTCGACGTCCAGCGCGAGCGCGTCCGCGCCCGCGCGAATCAGCGCCTCGACGCACGCGCCCCTACCCGCCGACGCCGCCGTCGTCAGAGGCGTCCTGCCAAACGCCTCGCACCGCGCGTCCACCGCTCGTCCGCCCTCCCACGCCGCCATCGCCTCTAACGACTCCACGTTTCCCTCCTGCGCGGCCCAGTGCAGCGGCGTCCACCCGGACGACAGCACGAGCGGCGACGCGCCGTGCGTCAGCAACAACCTCGTCAGCGTCGCCGAGACGGCCGCGTCCGACAGCGCCGCGGCGACGGCGAGCGCGGCGTTCCCGTGCTCGTTCCTCGCGTCCACGGGGCCGCCGCCGCGCGCCCCCAGGTCGCCGCCGCTGGACCGGTCGCTGTCTCGCACGCGGACGCTCGCACGCGGCGCGCGCCTCCCCGGGATGCCTCGAACGACCGGACGCGCGGGGAGCTTCCCGTCGCTCGACTCCGGCGGCTCCCTCGAGACGCTCTCGGGGCCGAGGATATCGCGGACCGGCCGCGGCGGCCACTCCGGCGTGGACGCGACGACGTCGTCGTTTCCGTTTCCGTTTCGATCGCTCTCTCCGACGCCGTCGTCCACGTCGCGGGAGTCCACCGGCGCGTGCTCCTCCAGCCACAGTCGCACGTCCTCGACGCGTCCCGCGGCGACGGCGGCGTGCAGCGGCACAGCCGTGAACGCCGTCGCGGGCGTCACCGGCGGGACGCGTTCGGACGCCGCCGCGTCCGCGTCCGCGTCCGCCGCGTCGGCGTTCGTGTCCTCGGACGCGCCGCTGCCGACGCTCGCGCGCGGGATGTTGATGTGCAGGTTCTTAGGGAGGCTCCCGTGGCGGACGATCCCCGGAGGCGCCGCGCCGCCCGCGGGGGAGACGAGCGTCGAGACGTCCGAGCTGCCCCCGGACGCGCGATGCAACGACGGCTGATGCGGTTTGTCGTCGGTGTCCACGTCGCGTATCGGCGCCCCCGCGGGCGCGGCGGACGCCGGGTACCGCACCGGGGTCTCGTACGTGCTCGCCGCCGCCGCCGCGGAGGACTCCCGCGGCGCGTGCGGCGCGTCGAGGACATCGTCCAGGCCGCAGAGCTCGGACAGCTGCGAGGTCGTCCGCATCTTTTGTTTTTTGGCCGCGCGAGGCGACAGGACGTCCGCGGTCGCGACGTCGTCCGCGACCGGAGTCATGCTCCGCGCGACGCGCGACGCGACGGCGAATGGTCCGAACGACGACTCCTGCCGCGTCGAGCGGCGGTTCCTCCGCGCGCGTGGCGACGCGCGACCGATCAGTGGTGCCGGAAATGGAACGCCGATTGAACAGAAGTATTTCTGTTTCTCGAGTCTGACGCCGAGAGATTCGTCACTGTTGATCGCGTCGGCGCCGGGGCGTTGACGGCGGCGGCGAAGGCGGCGGCGGCCGCGCATCACGCGCGCGTCCGTCGGACGCGCACATCGTTCACTTTCATCGCCGAAGGACCACGCGGTGAGCGATGGACGCGTTCGCGCGGAGGAAAGCGGACACGCTCGCGGAGCTCGCGATCGACGGAGGCGACTTCTCCCGAGCCGGTCACGTCGACGAGCGCGCGCGCCCAGTCGTCGCGCTCGTGAACCGTCACCCCGACTTCTTCACGACGTCCTCGTGCGCGGGCCGCGTCAGCGTGTTCGCGGACCCGACGACGGCGACGCGCGCGGCCGGGATGAAAGGCGGCGAGTGGGTGTACGTCAACCACGACCCCGCGGACGCCGCCGACGTCCTCGCCGCGGTGCGATCGAAGCTCGGGGCGAGCGACGCCGCCGGCGCGTCCGCGCCGGACCCGGAGTGCACGCTCGTCCTGCGGTTCGAGCCGTTCATCCTGTCCGTGGAAGCGAAGACGACGCGCGCCGGCGCCGCGCTCGTCGCGGCCGCGAGAGACGCGGGGTACCGCGAGAGCGGCGTCACCGCGTGCGACAGGCGAACGATCATCGCGGTGCGTTGCTCGATACGCGTGGAGGTCCCGATCGTGTCGCGCGGCGTCAGGCTCGTCTCCGAGGACGCGCTCGTCAGGCTCGTGGAGATCGCGAACGAGAAGCACGCGCTCAACGCCGCGCGCATGGAGCGGTTCGTCGTGACGTTCGCGAAGGCGTTCGGCGCGGACCTCGTGCGCGCGGCGAGCGCGGGGGGCGGGGACGCGGGCGCGACCGCGGGCGCGAGCGAGGGGGAAGACGCGGGGGGGGACGCGACCTCGGGGGCGGCGTGGGTATATACGGTAGATAAGAACGTCGCGAAGCGATGCAAGGACGCGCTCAAGGCGAACGCGTGGCTGGATAAGACGCGGAAAGCGGGCGGCGGCGGCGGCGGCGGCGGCGGCGGCGGTGGCGCGCGCGTCGCCCTCCCCGTGACCGCAGCCGGCGCTGTCGCTCTGCTGAAACTCGTCGCGGAGGACGCGTGCGACGAGAACCCCGCGGCGGCGGCCGTGCGAGACGGCCACGCCGCGGTGCTGCGTTCGAACGACGGCGCGGGCGACGTCCCGTCGCTGCGGCGGAAGACTCGGCAGGTCACCCCCGCGGCGGCGATCAAATCCGCGGCGACGTCGCTCCTGTCCGCGCGCGACGCCGCGTCTGCGTCGGTGACGAGTCAGATCCCGACGCGATGGGAGAAGCTCGGCGATCTCGCGCTGCTGCCGTCGAGCTCGTTCTCGGACGAGACGGTGTGGACGAGCGACGTGCGAACGGAGCTCTGGCCGCTTGTCGCCGCCGCGCTCGGCGTGGGTCGACTCGCGAAACAGGCCGAGGTGTCGCGAGGACCGAAACGCGAATCCCGGGCGGTCATGGTGTACGACCCTAAAAATATCGGCGGGTGGGTGGAACTGAAAGAAAACGGCGTGATCTACACCCTGGACGTCACGAAGGTGATGTTCAGCAGCGGGAACGGCACGGAGAAGCATCGGATGTCGACGCAACCTGCGGCGGGGGAGACCGTCGTCGATTTATACGCGGGCATCGGGTACTACACCTTGCAGTTATTAAAACACGCGGGCGTCTCGAAAGTGTACGCGTGCGAGTGGAACCCCAACAGCGTCGCGGCGTTGAAGAAGAACCTCGTCGCGAACGAGATCGACGAGAGACGGTGCGAGGTGCTGGAAGGCGACAACAACAGAACCGCGCCTCGCGGCGTCGCGGATCGCGTCCTTCTCGGTTTATTACCGGACAGCGAGCGCGCGTGGCCGACCGCGGTCGCGGCGCTTCGGCCCGAGACCGGGGGCGTGATGCACGTCCACGGGAACGTCGCGAGCGGGGAAGAAGACGCGTGGGCGCGGAGACTCGAGAGAGAAGTCGCGGAGATGGCCGCGACCGCCGGGATGGACTGGGCCGTGCGCGTGGAACACGTGGAGAAGGTCAAGTGGTACGCGCCGCGAGTGCGCCACGTCGTCGCGGACGTGAGGTGCGCGCCGAGGCGGCTCGCGACCGCGTGGGCGGTGGGCGTGAACGCCGCGACGTCGCCGCGGTCGTCCTTGACCATCGCGGGCGAGGGGAAGATGCGAGCGAGGAGAAATCCGGAGGGGGCGGCGGTCGCCGTCGCCGCCGCTCACTCGTGTCGCGCGCCTCCTCTTTCTGACGGCACCGTGCGTCGCATGCACCGACCCACGGAGAGGACGTTTCGAGGCGAGGGCGGGCCGGTGCGAACGCGCGTGCCGTGCGTGTTGACCGGGTTAGACCTCGGACCGGCGCCGTGGCTGTGGTCGCCGGCGCACCTCGCGGCGAAGCCGTCCGTCGCGGCCGCGGACGTCAGCGTGCACGTGTGCGACAGCCCGCACCTCGATTTCGTGAGAAAAAACTTCAAGTACGAAGTCATGAAGTTCGGCGACCTCCTCGAGTCGCTCTCGAAAGAGACGACGACGACGGGTGAAGACGCGAAGAAGACGTGGTTGTACCTGCGGAGCATAGGAAAGAACCCGCGTAAGGAAGCCGCGCACGCGTTGGAGCAGTTCCCTGACTTGAAGGCCGAGCTCAAGCTCCCGAGCGACTTGCTCTGGGGCGCCCACGACGACGACGCGTACTTCAGCACCGTGATGCGTTGCTCCAGCGGCGGAACGCGCCTGTGGACGCACTACGACGCGATGGACAACGCGCTCGTGCAGCTCCATGGCGAGAAGCGGGTTTTGCTGTTTCCCCCGTCCGCCGCCGCGGGGTTGTACCTCAGCGGGAGCTCATCTCCGGTCGTCGGGCCGTTCGTGGACGGCGACGGCGGCGTCTGGCCGACGGAACAGTACCCCGCGTACGAACGCGCGAGGAGGCGCGCCGTGGAGGTGATTCTCCAACCCGGGGACGTCCTCTTCATCCCGGCGTTGTGGTCGCACCACGTCGAGTCTTTGCACGGTCCGTCCGTCGCGATGAACGTTTTCTTCAGAGAGCTCCCGAGGGCGGCGTACCCGAGCAAGGATTTATACGGCAACGCGGACCCGATAGCCGCGGGAAAAGCGCTCGAGATGTGCGAGAGCGCGGCGAAGGAGCTGGCGTCGTTGCCGCGCGATCACAAGGTGTTTTACGGCGGCGTCGCCGCCGCGAAGTTACTCAGGGACTTGCGCGTGGAAACCGACGTTATGGGGGTGACGCCGGGCGGGAGTGGCCACCGGACGAGACCGGAGCTGCTTCCGGGGAAGTGGGCGGACGCCGCGAAGGGCGCGGCGCTCGCGGTCGCCATCGTCGGCGCGGTCTCGGTCGCGACTGCGGGGTGGAAACGGGCTTCGTGATTTTTTTTGAGCGGCGTCGCGAATCAATCAATAGGTATAAGATAACTAACTAAGGCAGTAGAACCAACTCGTCAACACGTGCGCGCGTCACTTGGACGCCTTGACGATCCCGATGATCTTCGTCAGGAGCACGGGCATCGTCTCCGGGATCCCCGATACGATTTGGAACTCCGCGAGCTTCCCTTCCTTTTCGTAAAAATCCTCCACCGGCTTCGCGTTGTCTTTGTACACCTTCAACCGCGCTTTCACTACCTCCTCGGTGTCGTCCTTCCTCTGTTCCATCTTGTGCTCGCACTCTTTCGGCGGATTCAGAGGCGGCATCACGATCGGCGGGTCCCCGGGGTAGTTTATGTCCGCGATGTTGAAGTTCTTCCCGCACTCTTTGCACAGCCGTCGCGCGCAGCACTTCTCGACGAGGATGTCCTCTCGCAGACCGAGGTTCAGCACCTGCTGCACCTCCGCGAACTCCTTCAGCGCCGCGGCCTGAGCCGCGGTGCGAGGGAATCCGTCCAACAGAAAACCCCGCTCGCCGTTCTCGATCCCTCGCTGGACGCGGTCCTTCAAGATGTCCAAGATGACCGAGTCCGGAAGGAGCTGCCCCGTGCTCGTGATCGCTTCCATCTCCGCGCCTCTCGCGGTCCCGCGCTTGATCTCGTCCCGCACGAGATCTCCCGCGCTGATGTGCGGGATCTTCATGAGCTTAGAGATCCGCGTCGCGTACGTCCCTTTCCCGACCCCGGGGGCGCCGAGGAAGATCCAGTTGATCCGCTTCCCGGCGGCGAGGAGGTCGTCGCACGCTTTCACCAAGTCATCCGCGAGCGCCTCCGTGCTCTTCCCGCGGCGGTGGTTCAGCAGCGTCGAGGCCGCGGGGGGGAAGAACGCGACAGGGGCGGGAGCGCCGGCGCCCCCGCGCGCGAAAGATCGCGCGCCGTGCGTCGCGAGCGAGCGGCGAAGGGACTGCATCGTGATGTGTCGGAGGATCGCAGGCGGCGGCTCCTCGACTTTCGCTGCTCAGGGCCTGCGCGGTCGGTTTTTCCATCGCGCCCGCGGCGAGAGTCCCTCAACGCGCTCCTCTATCGTGTACAATCTCTGTCTACGTGATAAATAATAGCACACACTCCCTCCAACACGCTCGGGATCAGTCCCCCTTGACGCGGGCGCGCGTCGTCGTCGTCGTCGTCGTCGTCTCCGCGTCCTCGAGCGACGGGTGCGCGACGTTGCTCCGTTGGTTTTGGTAACTCAGATACGAGTTCCACGCCAGCCCCGCGACGTTCAAGTACACGAGCCGATACTGCGGCTTGACGTACTTGAAGTTCACCATGTTCGCCACGGGCCAGAACGAGGATCCGACGACGAACACCTCCCACCACGTGTCTTTGAACTTAACCCACCCGCCCTCCACGCCCTTCCCTTCCAACGCGGACATGTACAAGTAAAACCCGCACGTGTACGTGGGAAAGAGGAACGCGTGCCCGAGCGCCACCTTCTTCGCGGCGGCTCTGAGGCACGTCGCGGGGCCGACGACGCGCTCGAGCGCGGCGAATCCACTGCGGACGAGAGAAGGGACGGGACGGAACGGACGAGGTGAGCGTCGGCGTTCGCGGGTCGGGACGGGAGAAGAACATAATCAAGATGAGGCGCGACCGGCGAGGCGCGCGGGTCCGCGGAGACCGGGAGGAGGGCGCGCGGAGGCGGACGGGACGCACTTGACGAAGAACGGCCCGTGGAACGTCATGCCCACGGCGAAGAACCTCGCGGTGCGCGCGAGATCGTACGCCGGCATCACCCCGAGCTGCTCCTGCACCGCCGCGGGCGCGCCGAGTCGACCGGACGTCGAGGCCGCCGCATCCGATAAGACGTCCCCGCCGTCCCCACCGCCGGACGACGCCGCGCGACGCCTCTCCCAGGTCTGGCACAGCAAGTCCCCGCTCGCCATGATCGTCCCAGACGTCAGCCCGGCGCGGAGGTACTTCTTCGCCATGCATCGGAACGACGACATCGCGGCCGCGGCCGGGCGAGGCTCGCGCCCCCGCCTTTGGCGAAAGGACGCCGATGCTCGCCGACTTTGAACGCGTTTGGCCGGTCGGTCGATCTCGGTCGGTCGCAGGGTCGCGCATTTTTTCATCGGCAAGTGACGTGTCGCGCGTCAGCGCGCACTACTAGATCCGCGCGCTCTGGCACGCCGCCGCACGCGTCGTCCGAGATGTCCGCTCTTCACCTCCACGCCTCCGCGAGCCTTCGCGGCGCGCCCGTGATCGCTCCCCGCGCCGCGCGTCGCGCGAACGGTGCGCCGCCCGCCCGCCGCGGCTCCCCCATCGCGCGCGTCGCTCGTTCCACCTCTGCTCGCGACCACGTCGAAACGTCGTCCGTCGTCGCTCATCATCTCGTCGCCCCGTTCTCCTATTCACACTGGTTCCCATACGACCGCGTCGGCGTGGTGAACGCCGATCCTTAAGGACTTTTGCTATCGACCCTCCCCGTCTGTCCCATCAGTCGCCGCTCGCGGGCCGATGCCGATCGTCCGCGCGAACGCGGACATCATGTCCGAGGTCGGCACCGCGGTCCTGACCGAAGGCCAGCTCAAGGCGGAGCGGTACGTCGCGTCGAACCGTTTCAAGCTTCAGGGCGGCAAAGGACCGACGTTCGAGAAGCGTTGGGCCGAGCGCAAGAGCCGGCTCGCGAACCTGGACGGGTTCCGTTTCTTCACGCTCATGCGTCGCGTCGAGGGCATGGGCGGCCCGCCGTCTTCGACGGACGACGAGTACGACTACGTCTCGCTGACGATATGGGAGGACAAGACTGGGTTCGACGCGTGGAGAACCGGCGAGGCGTTCAAAGAGGCGCACGGCGGCGGCACCCTGTTCGGGTTCGTGGAGATGCTCGTCTCGAGCATGATGGTCCTGAAAGGCAACCCGAAGCCGGCGTTTTACGACGGTCTCCTCCCGGTCGTGAAGCCCCCGCCCGAGGACGTGAAGTGGAAGTCCGTCGGCGGGTGGCGCGACGTCCCCGCGGACGGCGTGAACCCTCTCGAGCCGGACGTCTTCGTCGCGATGAACCGCTTCAAGGTCTTACCCGGGAAGGAAGAGGCGTTCGAGAAGCGATGGGCGGCCAGAGAGAGCTCACTCGAGGACATGGACGGGTTCCTCACGTTCGTGATGCTCCGCAGGGACGCGCTGAACGCGGAGGACGGGTACAACTATTCCACGCTCACTGTGTGGCGCGACCGCGCGGCGTTCGACGCGTGGCGAGCCTCGAGCGCGAACTCGAAGGCGCACGCGAGCGCGGGCGAGGAGAAGGAGACGCTCTGGGCGGGACCACCGTCTCCGGTGATGTACGAGGGTGTCTTAGCGCTTCTTTCCGAGAAGGGCGCGTGAGCGTGCGCGCGGTCGACGCCACGCCGCCTCCTCTGTTGAGAGTAGTAAAAAAAAAGCACGCGAATCCACGAGTGCTCGCTGCGCCACTGCCTCGGATCTTCCCGTTCTGCTTCAAGACGAAAACCCTGCCTCGATCGTGGAGGAAGGACGCGGTCTCCGCGCGCCGTCGCCACTCCCACGCGCGCGCGGACACCCGCGGCGCTCGCTAATTGTAACCAGCCCGCGCGGCGTAGAGTTGCGGTGCGTCCCCGGCCGTCCGATCGTCCGCGCCCTCGCGCGTCGACCGCGGATCGCCGTACCTAAAAAATATCGAACCGCGCGAGGGGTCGCGAGGGCGAGAATGGGCGCCTCGGGCGCTCGTCTCGCCCCTCGCGCGCGCGCGCGCTCGCGCCGCGGGTTCGGGGGACGTCACACTCTCCCGAAGCCGCGCTCGCGCGTCGATGTCGTCTCTCCCGCCGCGCGTCCGTCGCGCTCGCGCGCGGATCTCGCGCCCCCGCGCGCGTCTTTTCTTGGCGTCCGTCCCCCCTCGCGCGCCCGCCTCTCTCTGACGATCGTCGCCCCGCCCGCGCTTCAAACGCAGAGAGGCTGCGAGTCGCGATGAGCAAGGCGCTCAAGAAGATGTTCGAGCCCGCGATCGCCGCCTTCGCGAAACGCTACCAGGGTTGGGTCGGCGCGGAGCTCTCCAAGTACGGCCTGCGGTACGACGATCTCCTGTGCGACTACGACCTGGACGTCGCGGAGGCGCTGAAGCGCCTGCCGCAGGAGGAGCGAGACTTGCGGATGCAACGCCTGAAGCGCGCGATGGACCTCAGCATGAAGCACATCAACCTGAGCAAGGAGGAACAGGCGAAGCAAACGCCGTTCCTCTGGTACGTCACGCCCGTGCTGCGCGAGGTGGAGGCGGAGCGCGACGAGCGCGCGGCGCTCGGCACGGGGCAACCGTACAACAGGCAAATTCCGTGAGCGAGACGAGACGCGCGGTCAGACGCGCCCGGCGCGATGGATGGCTCCGCGCGTCGGTCGCGTTGTAGCTCTGTAACAGATGATATGATTTTTACACTCTATCCATCGCGTCGCGCGTGATAAATACGCTACGCCCCCCCGCTCGCCGTCGACCGTTCGAGACTCACTCCTCCGTCGCGCTCTCGATCTCCCCCGCGTTTTTCAACTCGTAATACTTCGCCTCGGACGCGCCTTTGCGTTTGTTCCTCTCCTCGAACGCGGCCCTATTCTCGACGATCCTAGAGACGATCTCCTTCGTGGTGATGTCCGCCCCCGGCCCGTCCCCGCGCTTGATCTCGCGGAAGATCCCGAGCGCCCTCGGCACCGCGTTCGGGTCCGCGGGCGGCGCGGGCGCGGGCGCCTTTGACTTGGTCGGCGACCGCGGCGGCGACTTGGTCCCCGCGCCGCTCGCGGACCCGTCACCCACGTTAGGACTCCTCGCGGCGCTGTCCTCCGCGACGACGAACGCGACGTTGAACGTCGCGAGCAAATCCCTCGTCACGACCTCCGGCGCGCCGATGATCACCTCGTCCGCGTGTCTGCACGCCATCACCCCTAACGACCGCTCGTTCACGTTTAAAATCGGGTAGTGCGCGCCCGCGTACGAACTCACCGCCGCGTCGTCGTGGACGCCGACGATGACGAAAGTCCCGAGCGCGCGCGCGGACTTTAGCAAGTCCACGTGTCCCGCGTGGAACGTGTCGAACGCGCCGTGGACGTACACGACGACGTCTTCGTCGCTCGGTTTCTTCCCGCCGTCGCTAAACTGCAGCACGCGTCTGGACGTCGTGCAAAAGTGTTCCTTCTTCGCCGGCTCCGCGACGTCCTCGACGACGGCGGATTTCTTGCTCTTCTTGAACGGAGACTTGCTCCCCGGGGTCTTCGCGAGGTCGTTCTCCGCGGCTTTCGACGCGCTGAGCATCCTGCCCACGATGTCCGTCGTGGAGACCCCCTCGGTTCTTTTGATCGTCTTGAACCTGCCCTCTCGCTTCGGCGCCGCGTACGCGTCTGAGCCGTCCGGGAGCAGACACGGGTCGTCGCCGTGTACGATGTAGTCGATCTTGTGCTTGTGCCACAGCTCGTTCATGAACTGCTCGTTGATGTCGTAGGGCACGTCTAAGATCATCTCGTCCACCCACTTGCACGACTCCACGACGGCGAGGCGCTCGGCGTCGTTCAGGACGGGCGGGCCTTTGCATCGTCGAATCTCCGCGTCCGGGACGAGCCCGACGACGAGGACGTCCCCGCACGCTTTCGCCTGCCTCAGCGCGTTCGCGTGACCGAAGTGCGTGAGGTCGAAGCAGCCGTCCATGTACACGCGGATGGGCTTTCTCGCGCGTCGTCGCGCGGCGTGCCGCTGCAGCATCCCCGCGATTCCCATGCTGAACGATCCGCGACGAATTCCCAAGAACGTCTCGGGGTACAAGTACACGCTCGCGCCGACGAGGGTGGTGACCCCGGCGACCGCGGCCGCGATCGCGGTCGAGGGCGGGATGTCCTTCTCCTTCAGGAAAGTGTTGATGATCTTGACCGCGTCATCGAGGCGCTGTCTTGGCGTCGTCATCGCGCGCGACGATTTGAACGAAACTTATCGTCGGACGAGCAGAGATTTGCGATTCCGTTTTGGACTCACATCATCTTCTGGACCACGAGCGGCACTCCCGAGCGCGCGCGAGGATGGGGCGGTCGGCGGCCGTCGCGACGTCGCCGCCCGCGTCGGAACATCCCCACGCGTCTTCGCAAGGCGCCTCGCCGACGGAGGCGTACGGATTCGTCGGGTTCATCTTGAGCGGTGCGGAGAACCCCCGCGCGCCTCTCACTAGATTAGATCGACTCTTCCCGCCGACGCGGCGCCGTCTTCCGTCCCCGCGCGTCCATCCATCGGTCCGTCCGTCCACCCCTCGGTCCACGTCCGCGCGCCGACGCGCCCGCGCGCTCACCCTCCCTCTCGAACCTCCGCAGGCGTCGCGTTCGCGCTCTACCTCCTCTGGGCGTACGTCCCCGACGACGCCCTGCGCGCGCTGGGCGTCGCGTGCTCCCCCGACAAGTACTGGGCCGTCGCGCTCCCGACGTGGGCGGGCGTCGCGCTCGTCTACGCCGCCGTCGCGTACGAGAGTCTCTGCATGCTCGACGTGAAGCGCCCGGAGGACGTGGACGGGATGGAGGAGTTGAGCGACGCGGGGGCGATACCGCGGAGATCGCGCGGGGACGACCCGGAGGTGCGCGCGCGTCGCGGCGCGTCGCGCGCTCGCGTGGGCACCCCTCCGTACCGCTTCTCGTCTCGTCTCGTCTCGCGGCGTCCGCGCGTCGTCGCCTCTTCTCACCGCGACATCTCACCGCGTCCGCGTCTCGATTCCTCCCTCGCGCCTCCAGGGAGCCGTGCCCGCGATCAGGGACCTGCCTCTGTCCGAGGTGTGCCGGGTGTTATATCGCGCGCGAGGGGGGCGGCGGCGCGTGCGGCGGCGTCTGGCGGCGGAACGTCGGTGACCGCCTCTTCCCAGTCGCGTTCGGCGCTCGGCTGGGCGGCGGGGCGGGGACGACGATGACGACGCGCGTCGCGTCCATCGCGCGCGCGCGCGTCCGCGTTAGATAGCGTAGTCTTAGTTCGTGTAGTTCGCGCGATGTAGGTGCCGACCTTGGGTTAGTATCGCGCGTAGACGTTCGTCCGAACGCGCGCGTCGGCGGCCGCAACCGGAACTCTCGAGATTCTCCAGATTCTGTCTGGCGCGTTTAACGTTTGAAACGTCGCGTGCGCGTCGTCTCGTCCCAGTGGTCCTCTGGTGGGGCGTGCCAAAGACGAGATGCGCGGGGTCCTCTGCGCGGGAGCGCCGGTCTCTCGCGCGAGGGCGGCGTCGTGCTCGGGGCGAGGAAGCGCGCGCGTCGTCGTGGCGACGCGCGGCGCGCGGACGAGATCTGCCGCGAGCGCGTCTTCGTCGTCCTCGTTCGGGCGAACGCCGAGGCGAGACGTGAAAGGGCGCGCGACGAACACGGGAGGCAAGGCGACGCCGCGACGATCGCCGCCGCCGCCGCCGCCGCCCGTCGTCGTATCGCCTCCCTCTCCCCCTGCGGAAGCGATGTCGATGAAAGGGACGTACCGCGGCGAGGACGACGGCGTCGCGTCCGGGGCGGATTGCATGCGCGCGCTTCGAACGATGCCGCCGACGACGTTTAGCAACGCGGACGCGTACTTCACCGAGAAGCTCGGCGCGGAGTTCGTGTTCGGTCAGCGACCGGACGCGGACTTGGACGAGCTCAACGCGCTCTTCGCGACCGTGGGCTTCCCGCAGAGGGACCCCGTGCGATTGAAGCGCGCGCTCGTGAACTCGCATCTCATCGTGTGGGTCGTCGCGACGGATAAGAACAAATCGCGCGCGACGCACGTCGGGCAAGTCATCGGGTTCGCGCGCGTGACCTCGGATAAGGTCTTCAACGGGACGATATGGGACGTCGTCGTCTCCCCGGAGTGGCAGGGCGCGGGCATAGGACGCGGGATGGTGGAGCGGCTCGTGGACAAGATGTTAGAGGAAGGGATAAACAACGTGTCGTTGTACGCGGAACCCGCCGTCGTGAAGTTGTACAACGACTGCGGGTTCGAGATCGATCCGGGGGGGACGACCGGGATGGCGTTCCGGGTGAAATCTCGACGGAGGAAGTGAGACGAAGACGCGGGAGCGGGGGGCAGGTGGGGGGGTCACGCGACGCGCGAGAACGCACGCACGATAGTCACGATAGGAGCGAGCGTCGTTCGTTTGTTGTTGTACAAGTACGTCAGTCCATCGGTTCTGTTCGCGTTTCGCGTTCTCTACTAGTCTAGCTCGTCTCACAGTCCGGATCCGGCACGACGAACCACACCTCGTTGTGCCTCCCCGCGATCGTGAACGGGGAGTCGTACCCCGCGTAAAAGAAGTGATCCTTCCCCGCGTTCGCCGCGTCCACCTCCCCGTCCGCCCTCAGCGCGTCGCTCAGATCGGTCGCGGCGGCGAGGATGGACGTCTCTCGCGCCCACCCGCCGAACGTCTTGACGCGCGCGGTGAACGCGCACGCGTCGACCTCGTTCTTCACCCTCTCGTCGACCGGTTTCGGGGGGTCGATCTGCGTCGCGCGGCCGCCGTCCGGCGCGAACGGCACGAAGAACGACACCGTGAAGTTGCTCTCGCAGAACGGGCCTTCGCCGGGGACGACGCGAACTCGGACGGGCGCGGTCATCTCGATCTTCTCTCTCTTCGCGTTCGCGCCGGATATGTACCCGAACAAGCGCTCGAACCCGGCGCTGACCGCGGCGTCGTACGTCAGCCCGGTCACGGTCGTGGTCGTCCACTTCAACTCGCCCGGGTACTTCCTCACCTCGTACGCGTCCGTCGTCTTCACGACGTCGAAGGCTGGGCAATCGATGCCGTGGCAAAAAGCCGGCGCGTCGGACGCCTCGACGGAGGCGACGTCCGAGGTCTCCGCCGCGTTCAAGACGCGCGCGGAGGAGGAGGGGCGCGCGCACGCGAGCGCGAGTAACGCGAGAAGGACGACTGCTGCGCGAGCCATGTCGCCCGTCGCCGTGCGTCGAGGAGTGGCCGGGGACGCGCGCGCCCACCCCCTCTCTCTCTCGTCACTTCCGAGCAGTGTCGTGGCCAGTGCTCGCAGCGCGTGATCCATTTTTTGGATTTGAGTTCGATTGCGGCGCGGCGGGCTCGGGCACTCCACCCGCGCGTCCACGCCGGTTTCGTCGCGGGTTTTGGCATGTCTGCCATCATCTCGCCGCGCGTGCACGCGGCGGCGCGCGCGCGCGCCCACCCGCGCGCCCGCGCGTCCCGCCGCGGCGTCCGTTCCCACGTCGTCGAGAGAGCCCGCCGGTTCGAAGAGACCGAGATTTCGCTCGCGCTCGCGTTCGCGTCCGTCTCGAGGAGGTCCTCCGTGACGACGCGCGCGGCGTCGGACGACGCGGACGCGGACGAGGAGCGCGCGAAGGAGGTGGCGAAGAATCTCGAGGACCTCCTCCCCGGGGACGAGCGCGTCCGGGACGAGATAACGTCGCAGCTCAAGTACCAGACGAAGTTGTTCAAAGCGCAGCAGTTCTTAGACGAGAAGAAAGAGGAGATCCAGGAGAGAGGCGACGCGGGGAAGGAAGCGCTCGAGGCGGAGGCGAAGATCGCGCGCGACCGAGCGGGGCTAGAGATTGGTCTGAGAGCGAGCGAGATCGACGACAAGCTCGCGGAGATGCTCGACGAGACCGCGGCGGCGAGGGCGAGGAACGAGAAAGTCCAAGCCGAGCTCGCGGAGCTCGAGGAGCAGCTCACGGGGAAGAGCAGCGGGCGGTTTCGCAAGGCGCCGAATGCGCCGAAGACGGTCTCCGCGATGAAGCAGGCGGCGATCGACAAGGAGGCGGAGGACGTGGACGCGCGGATGCGGAGCACGCTGGAGGAGACGCAACGGAAGTCGGCGTTCACGCTGATTCTGTTGCTGCTGTTGGTCACGGACATCTCCATGGCCGCGGAGGGGAAGTGGGACGCGTTCTTCGCGATCACGACGTGCGTCGCGTTGGTGGGGTACCAGGCGAAGAACGAGAACACGAACGCGGAGAACCGGTAGCAGACGTGTTCGTGTAACGCGCATCGTTTATACTACATCCCATCGGCGGGTTCTTTCCTTTTCGTCCTGCTCGCGTTCGCGTTCACATGCGCTTCATCACCCCCTTGACGTCCGCCTCCGTGATCTCGTACGCCCAGTGCAGCATCGTCTGCCTCACGACCGGGGACACGGACGGGTCGTCGTACCGCTTGTTCGCGTACACGCACTTCTTACACAGGTTTGTCTTCCACCGCCCTTTGCCCCCCGCGACGCCGACCCAACGCGATATCTGTCGAGCGTCGTCCGCCGTGCGCCTCCCCTCGTAAAAGCGGCAGTACCACTGGAACCACCCTCTCGGGTCTTGGGGGATGATCCACCCTTTCTCTTCCCAGTACGCCTGGTCCTGACCCGCGTTGACGCCGTATTTGTTCTTCGTTTTGTCGTACCGCCGGTTTCTGTATTGCTCCGGTTTCAGCCCCGCGAACCACGCTTTCGGGAACTCCTCGTGCGTGATCTTCACGCCCTCTTTCGGGTTTTTCACCCCGGGCTTGCCGCCTCTGGGGTGGAAGTAGCACCCGCCCCAGGTCCCGGCCTGGATCACCTGCCTCGGGGTCAAGTTCGGCGTGAACTCTGGGTGGTCTTTGAACACCAAGTGACCCGTCTTCTTATCGCGAACGCCTTCGCTCAGGTCCAACGCGGGTTTCACCGACGCGCCCGGAGGCTTCGGGTCGTATCCGGACTTGCTCTCCTTCGCGAAGAAGTCCTTCGCCGCGTCTCTCTCGCGCTCGGACGACCCCAGCGCCGCGACCGCTTGTTCGAACTCCGCCATGCTCGGCTCCTTGTAGCTGACCTCTTTCCTCGCCCGCGAGCTCTTCCGCGAGGGCGTCGCCGGCTCGGTCGGTTTTCGTTTCGTCGCCGTCTTCGTCGGTTTTTTCGGCGCCACCTTCGCGGCGACGGCGGCGACGCCGAGCTCCTTCATCCTCGCCGCGTTCTTCTCGACTCTGTCCGCGCGTTCCTTCTCGTACGGCGTCAGCGTCGTCGACTTCGCGGCCGTTTTCTGTCGTGACGGTGGGGAACGCGCGGGGTACCGCGTCAGTCTCGAGATGACGTCATCACGATTGCAGTGCCGACCCGCGAGCGAGGGCGAGGGCGACGGGCGCGGGGGTCGCGGCGACGCGTGGACGTCCGCGTGGGAACGGGTTGAGTTGTACTGACCTTGGCAGGCATTTCGACGGTTCACTCGCGGCGGGCTTTTCCTCGAGCGCGCCTTGGGGAGTGCGGGAGGATAGCGTGATGCGCGGCTTTCGTGGCTTTCTTCGCGCCAAACTGAACTCGAAACAGAATGTATTTGTGGCTCTAAACGCTCTAGTACGCCTTCCGCTTCCTCCGCTTCCCTAACACTACACACAGCGGCCAACTCCGCGTGATCCTATCGACATTCACCCACGCGCCTTTCCTCGCCGTCGCGCGCCGTAAATCCCCCCGCGCCCGCCCGCCCACGGCGTGCCTCCACGCCACGACGTAATACGCGGCGAGGACGACGCAAAACACGACGACGAAGACGAACGCGCCGCGGCGTCCTTCCCGGTTCAGATGATGCCCGTCCATGATCTGGAACATCCCCGCGACCGCATCGCACGTGAGCTGATCGCAGTGGTGCCTGGTGAAGTACGCGCGCAGTCTCCCCGCGGCGCCGTGCCCGCGCGCCCCTCCCCCGCGGTCGCCGTCGCTCTCCGCGTCGTCGTCCGAAGGGAAGCACGCGTGCATCAGCGTCTCGCAAAAGTGCCGCGCGCCCGCGAGCTTGCTCTCGTCGCACCGCTCGCGACGCGCTCGTCTCGCGCCCGCGCCGCCGCCGCCGCCGCCTTTGCTCCGACTCGGGGCCCCGCGCGAACCCGAACGCGACGGATCGTCCGGGTTGCGATGCGCGTGGTGCTCGTCGCATCGAAGCACGGCGCAGTAGTCCGCGAGGCACACGTCCGCGCCCGGCGGGATCTTGTCCGCGTGCCGGTTGTCCATGTGCTTGTCCACGTGCCACTCCGTTCGGAACACCTTCTCGCTGTAGAGGCTCTTCCACTGCGTGCGTCGGACGCGCTCTTTGTGCTTCTCTTGCTCCAAGTACATATCCTTCGATCGCTGGAACGGGCACGCGGGCGGGACCTCGAACGATCCCGCGTGCCGATCGACGACGGGGTAAAAGTAGTCGTCCAGCACCGCGCGCGCGCGCCTCGAGCGCTCGCGCGAGCACGCGGGCGCGGACGCGTGCGAATCCCCGACGACGCCGGCGATGCACGATGCGAACGCCGCGAGCGCGATGACGCACATCGCGGCGACGCGCGTCATCGCGCGTGACGGCGAGGCTCGCGCGCCTCGCAGTGATCTTGGGACGACTGGGCACTCCAAAAACGAAACGTCGGTTTGAACGATCGGTCTCGGCAGTCACCGACGCGCGGGCACGATGTCCGAGATCAAGGAGTCGGAGCCGGAGCAATCGGAGAAGGAGATCCTCGAAGTCTTCCAGGCGCTTCGCCAGGAAGTCACGCAGATCTTCACGAAGATCAACGAGCTCGAGAACGAGAAGGCGGAGCACACGCTGGTCATCGGTGCGTCCCGCTTCGATCGCGCCCGCTTTTGTTTTTGACTTTCGCGCCGCGGATGGTGTATCGAACGATCGCTGACCCGCCCCACCCCCCGCATCCACAGACGCGATCAAGGACCTCGACCCTAAGCGCAAGTGCTTCAGGCTCATCGGCGGGGTGTTAGTAGAGCGGACGGTAGAGGAGGTCCTCCCCGCGGTGGAGAAGAACAGGGAAGGACTGACACAGATCATCGCGAAGATGACGGAGCAGCGAGACGCGAAGATCGACAAGGTCGAGGCGATGCAGAAGAAGTACAAGATCCGCGTGAAGGGCGAGCCGGATCCGGAGGAAGACGAGAACGTCGGGAAGGGGACGGGCAATCAGGGCATCCTCGCGTGATTCTGGGTCGCTACGATAGTGGGTTGTGATGCACGCGACCGGCGCCGTCGGCGCTCACGAAACCGACATCCTTCCTCGGTCCTCTCTCGCGACGGAGGATCGCGACTGCGACGTCCCTCTCTTCGGCGGCGACGTGAACGTCTCCGGCGTCTCCCTGAGCTCGTGCACGCGCAACTTCCCGTGCACCATGCACGTCTCGAAGTCCGCCCATCGAGCCGGGCGGTTCATGCGTTCCTTGCGCTCTTTCAAATACGTCGCCGCCGCGAGCGCGGGGGGCGAAACTCCCGGAGCCTCCGCGTCTTTTTTGGCGCAACGCGCTGGGGCGACGACGTCGCTCTTACTCCTCAGCAGCGCCTTCAGCATCTCCGCGTGCTTCGCTTTCTTCGACGCCGCCGCGCCCGGGCCGGAGTCCGCCATCTCGTCCAAGCGCCACGGCCGTCCGCTCGTGTCCCCTCCCCCGACTCGGCGCTTGTGCGCGACGCTCTTCCACGTCGTCCTCGTCACGCTCGTCGCCCGCCACGGCGTCGCTTGACCGAAAACCCCGATCTGCGCGCCCTCCAGCGTCCACAGCGTGCACTCCGCGTCCACGCTCGACAGCACGAGCAAATCACGAGCGGGCATGTACTCCACGGACGCGATCGCTCGCTTGTGCGGCCGCCACGCGCCGAGCTCGACGAACGCCGCGCCGACGTCCTCGACGTTTCCGTCTCGTAACACGTTCTCGATGTCGAACACGCGGACGTGACCGGCGCTGTCGCCGACGAAGAGTTTCGTGTCCGTCGGGTCCGTCTTCATCGCCGCGACGGCCTCGCCGGACGCGGCGGCGTTGACGATCGCGATCGGTCGTTGCCCCCGGCGTCCTTTCCGCATCGCGAGCCACGCTCTCACGTTCCCGTCCGCGCCGCCGCTGATGAGCACCGGGCCTTCTTTCACGTCCCGTCGCGTCTGAAGAAACAAGAGCTTCTCGCACGGCGCGTCGTGGTCGTCCTCGCACTCGATCGTCCACGTCGCCAGGCGCGCGCCGCTGTACAGGTTCCACAGCATGATCTTCCCGCCGTAGTCCCCGGTGGCGACCCAGACGGTGTTCGCGCAGTACGCCGCGCACAGGATGTCCTCCTCGTGCCCGCGCATGACCCAGTACTCCCTCAGCTCGCTGTCCTCGGTGTCGTTCCACGCGATCACGAGGTGGTTCCACCCGGCGGCGAGGATGATCTTCGCGTCGCGTATCTCATCCTGCGCGTGAAGCACCGCGGTGACTTCGCCCTTGCCTTCGTCGTGGAACATCTCCTTCAGGAGTTGGCCGTTGTCGTGGTTGTGCATGCGCACGCCGCCGTCGTTCGCGCCCGTGAGCAGCCTTCGTTCCTGGGTGTCGAACGTCATCGCGGTGATCCGAGCCCCCGGCGCGTGCGCGTTGTTAAACTTCCCATCCCTCGCGCCGGTGCTCACGTTCCAGACGCAAATCTCCCCGCTCTCGTCCGCGCTCACGGCGACGTCGAAAGCGTCGTTGTACAAACAACCGACGACCGCGTGGTTGTGTCCTTGGTCTTCGCGCGTGCGCATCGTTTGACACCACCCGCGCAGGCGCGTCGTGCCGGTGATGAGACGTCGGTGCCTCGGGTCGTGCGTCACGACCGCGATCCTGTCCTCCGGGCGGTATGTTTTTTTACACGCGTCCTCCATCGTCTGCACGCATCGGTTGTTCCTCAGGTCCCAGACTTTGATCGTCTTGTCCGCGGAGACGGACACGACCTGCTGCAGGTTGACGTCCACGCACACCTTACACACCGTGGACACGTGTCCTTTCAAGATCCCGAGCCGGCTCCCGGTGCTGCCGTGCCATAACATCACGTCCCGCCCGATCCCGCACGACGCGAACACGTTGTGCGCGGGGCAATAATCGAAATCCAACACCCCTTTCGGGTGCGCCTCCAGCGTCATCTTCACCCGGAACGAGTTGAGCCTCACGGTGCTGACGTCCACGACGACGATCGTCCCGTCGTTCGACGCGCTCACGACGCACTCCAGCTCCGGGACGTGCATCAGCTTCACGCACGCGTCCGTGTGTTTCTCGTGCACGACCATCCAGTCCGTCTTGGCCACCGAGCGCGTGTGCCCGTACGTCCCATCCCTCTCGTGTTTCACGACGTAGTCGCACATCAGCGCGCGCACGGTGCCCCCGCTGTCGCCCCACATGAACCGGTGCGGGCCGTGCGGGTGGGTGGTCGATGTAACCGACGCGGCGGAAGCGTTACCCGCGCCGAGATCCGCGGACGCGCCCGGCGTCGCGGCGGCGTCGGGCGTCGCGAGCGGCACCGCCGTCGCGCACGTCGGCGCGCCCATCGACGCGTCGTTCAATGCGTACCGTCCCGCGAGCGTGAGCTTGTTCTGCAGGAGAACCGCGTAGAAGGACACGGTGCGATCGCTCGCGGCGACCGCGATGAACGTCCGCTTCTCGCTCGGGACGACGCTAACGTCCGTGACCCAGGCGTTCGTCTCGCCGGAGACGCGAAACGTCCCGGCGTGTTGAAAATCCGACGCGTGAAAGAGACGAAACGTCCCGTCGCGCGAGCCGGTGACGTACCGGTCGATGACGCCGACGTACGCGATGGCGACGATGACGTCCTTGTGGTTCGCGTGCGGCTCCCCCGCGTTCACGTCCGCGGCTTCGCGCTCGCCGTACGTCCATATCGCCGGCCCGTCGTCCCCCGCCGTCGTCTGACGCTTCAGGAACATGAAATTCGTGAACTCGTCCCAGTCCACGCTGCCGTTGCTGTCCGCGTCGATCTTCATGAACAGCTGCTTGAGTTGGAGGTCCGAGAGCGACTTGCCGACGATGTCCCCGAAGTGCTCGATGAACTCGTCCATCTCGATCCCGTCGCTGCCGTCCTCGTCCGCGGCGTCGAACTTGAGCTTCATCTGGTGCAGCTCCGCGAGGTTGATCTGGTCCTCCATGTCGTTTTCCCTCGCGTCGCGCGCGTGTTTTTCCTTCTCGGACGACGCGCGACGAGATCAGATGATGCGTCGAAGGATCGAGCGACGGCGGGCGCGGAACGCTCGCGCGCGCGACGTTCTCCGGGTTCGCGCTCGTATCGGGGGTTTTAACGCCGAGGGGACGCGCGGCCGTGTCCGCGGCGACTTCAGACGCGTCGTCGACGCGCGTGTCGCGCGCGGGCGTGTGCGCGAGAACGTCCCGAAAGGGGGACGCGAACGCGAACCGTCGCGTCTGGTCAGGTCTGATCGCGCTCGCGTTCAGTTTTTGAGGGTGGCGGTGGACTGGATGAGAGACGAGGCGAGGGTTCGGCACCCCGCTCGCACGACACCTTCGCCGCGCGAGGAACCTCGATGAGCGCGCAGGGTTTCCTAGCGACACGAGCCGTCTGCTCGCGCATATACCCCCGCCGCGCGCACGCATCGCACGCGAGACGCGTCGTCGCCATGGCCGCGACGACGGAGCCGCGGACGTCCATCGCGGAGCTCCTCTCGAGCTGCGTCGACGCCGCGAGAAAAGGATGCGACGAGATCCGCGCGGTGCAAGAGCGCCGAGCCGCGAGCGGCGCGCTCGCGTCCACGCGCAAGGACGCGGACGACCCGCGAAGCGCGCTCACGGAGGCGGACACGAACGCGCAGCGCGCGATAGTGAACGCGCTGAAGGCGACGTGGCCGACGCTGAACATCGTCGGCGAAGAAGAGGACGAGCCTCTCGATCCTTCGCTCGCGCGTCAACTGAAGAAGGACGTCTGCGACGTCTCTTCGTCGCCTCCCATCGCGTCGTGGACCGAGCCCACGAGTTCGCTCACCGTGTTCGTGGACCCCGTGGACGGCACGAGGGAGTTCGTGGAAGGGCGGCTGGAGGCGGTGCAGTGCCTCATCGGCGTCGCGTTTCGCGGCAGAGCCGTCGGTGGCGTCGTCGGTCTGCCGTTCCCGGAAAACGCGGAGGAACCGATCATCGTGTGGGGCGTCGCGCAGCCCGGGGCGACGTCCGGGGTATCGGGCGCGATCGGCGGCGGCGCGACCGACGTCCCGCAGCGCGCGCGGCTTTCGGACGCGAACGATGGTTTGATTTGCGTCACCGGCGACTCGAAGAACGAGAGCCTCGCGGCGGCGAGGGAATCCGTGCGCGCGGCGGCCGACGTCGTGATCGGCGGCGCGGGGAACAAGATCCTCGCGCTCGCGGACGGACGCGCGGACGTCGCGCTGATGCACTTCGGGACGAGTCTGTGGGACACGTGCGCGCCGGAGGCGGTGCTGCGCGCGCGGGGAGGCAAGATCACGGACCTTCTCGGCGCGCCTCTCGTGCACGACCCGTCGCGACCGGGGGGGTTGATCAACGACCTCGGCGTGCTCGCGACGTCCGCGAACGCGTCGAAAATCGACCCGGACGGGCGGGACCACGCCGCGCTCGCGGCGACGATGCGCGCGGACCCGCGACTGCGGACGTTGTTGAAGCGATACGTCGGCGAGGTCGACTCGGGGGGGAGCGAAGGCGCCGGCGCGCGGGCGAGCGACATCGCGCGGTGTCTTCGAGGCGCCCCCGTCGCCGCGTCTTGGGTCGGCGAGAGGATCGTGTCCACGCTGTGCGGCGAGACCGCAGACGGCGAGGACGCGCCCTTCACGCTCGCTGGGTACGTCGCCCCGGAAGAGGGCGCGTTCAGAGGGTTGATGTCCGACGCGTGCCGCTTAGAGCTTCACTGGGAAGGCGGCGACGCCGCGTCGGGGGGGATGCCGGCGACGGCGTTTTATAAGAAGGTCGTCCTCGGCGACCTCGATCACGCGCGCACGAAAGCGAAGACCGCGCCTCTGAAGCTCTCGAGGGACGTCGGGTCCGCCGCGGTCGAGGCCGGGTTCCTCGCGTGTCCGTCCGTCCTCGCGGCGTTGAACGACGCGGGCGTGCGCGTGCCGCGATGCTTCGACGCGGATTTGCGCCCGTGCGACGACGACCTGATCGAATCGAAATTCGCGCTCCTTCTCGAGGACTTCGCCCCGGCGCAAGGGTGGAAGCAAGAGCGGCTTCTGACGCCGTCGCAGGCGAGGGCGTCGCTCACCGCGCTCGCGAAGATGCACGCGACGTTCATGCCCGCGGCCGCCGCCGCTCGCGTCGGCGTCGACGGCGACGTCGGCGAGGACGAACTCCTGAGCGCGGTGACGGGCGCGGTGTGGCCGTCGGGGGCGTACTGGCAACCGGACATGCAACCCGCGGAGCAGATGACGACGCTGAAGTCGATATGGAACGACACGCACTTGCCCGCGTTTAAAGACGCGTTTAAGGAGAGGCTCCCGGAGCTCGGCGCGGACGTCGACACGATCGGCGAGCGGTTACAAGACGTCGCGGTCGACGTCGGGGCGGCGTCGCACCCGTTCGGTCCCGGACAGGCCGTCCCGGAGTGGGCGCAGAAGTGGAAAACCTTGATCCACGGCGACGCGAAGTCCGCGAACATCTTCCTGCGCGAAGACGCGAGCGCGCCGGAAGGGTGGGAGGTCGGGTTGATCGATTTTCAGTGGATGGGGTTCGGTCTCGGCGCCGTCGACGCCGCGCACGTGCTCCTCGCGTCCGTGGACCCGCAGACGTTGGGATACGCCGCCGATGACATCGCCCACACGGACCCGGACGCTCCCGTGAAGTTGATGGATCACTACCACGTGCAGCTGTGCGAGGCGCTCGCTGCGAACGGCGCGGCGGCGTCTGCGGAGAAGGCTGCAAACATTTGGACGCGCGAGGAGACGCAGCGGCAATACGAAGCCGCCGTGCTTGACTTTTGCCGGGTCATATTCGCGTATCAATGGGTTCGTGTGAAAGCATCACCGCAGTCGTTGAAAGAGAACGAGAGCTCGATGAACAAGAACTCGTACAACAAGTCGATCGCGAACGCGATGTGGGTCGTGAAGGAGTGCGATGCAGTGTTAAAGAAGAGAGCAGCGGCGTAAAAGGCTTTCGAGCGCCCCCCCCTAAAATACTATTTCAACTAATATACTACAGACTCGAGTCACTTCGCGGCGGTTCTGTTCTTCTCCTTGCTGAGGAAGTCCGAGAACGCCAGACGTTTACCCCCGATTCTGGCCGCATTCGGCCTCGCCGCTGCGGCTTTCTTCGCTTCCTCGACAGCTTTCGCCCGCCCTCCGTCCCCCGCAAGCTTCACGACCGCGGTGATAACGCTCCCTTCCTCTTTCATCGCCGCGAGAAGCAGCGGATCGTTGACGTCAGCGCGACCGTCCTCCCACCCCGCGGCGTCTAACGTCGCAGGGCGCGACGCGTCCGAGAACGCGATGAGGCCGCGGAGCTCGTCTCGCGTGAATTTCCCTCCACTCGAGTTACCAGCGCCAGCGCCGATGCCCTCGCCGCCGACACCCGCGACCGTAGCCTCCTTGTGCTTCATCAGCTGCCTTTGGAACACCTTCTCCTCGACCGTCCCCGCGGCGAGCAAGCGGTAGATCGTCACCGGCCTCGTCTGTCCGTCTCTCCACACGCGCGCCATCGCTTGGCGGTCGTGCGCCGGGTTCCAGCTCGTGTCGAACAGGATGAGCCGACTCGCGCCTACTAAGTTCAATCCCGCGCCACCGGCGACGCAGGAGAGGAGCATCACCCGTCCGCCACTGCCCCTGTTGAAGTCGCGGACGAGCCCCGACCTCGCGTTCGGGGGCACGCGCCCGTCGAGCCGGTCCGCTGGCAGACCGAGATCGCGACACACGACAGCCGCAGCGTCGAGCGCGGCGGAAAACCCGGAGACGACGACGACGCGTTCGCCCCCGTCTCTCGAACCGTCCATCTTCGTGAGTTCTCTGAGCAGCGCGCGCAACGTCGCGAGCTTTCCAGAACCATCGATGCCGCCCTCGTATTCGGGAGGTACGTTCTTCTGTAGGCGCGCGCGAAGGTCCGTCTCTGCGGCGGCGTCCGCGGCGTCCTTCCTCGGTTCGTCCCTGCCGTCCTCGCCGTCGCCGTCGCTGAGACCGTCTTCGTCCGCGTCGTTCTCGGCGTCTTCTTCCTCCTTAGCGCGCTCGGCGTCCTTCGCCTTCCCGTAGGTGGACACGAGCGCCTGGTCGACCGAGTTCGCGAGCTGCCTCAACAACCCGATCGCGCACAACGCGGACGCGGTGCCTTCGCCGCCTACCCACTCGCCGACGACTTTCGCGCCTTCCTCGTACAATCCCCGCTGCGTGGGCGTCAACGAACAGAACACGATCATCTCCGTCTTCGCGGGCAAGTGAGCGGCGTTCACGGACGCCTCGCGTCGTAAAACGCGCTTCGACGTGAGCGCGTTGAGTTCCTTCGCCGCGACTTTCGCGCGCTCGATTTCACTCGCGGACGCGTCCGGTTCCCCGCCTCGTCTCACGACCGCGGTGAACTTCCTGTGGAAGTCGCTCATGTGCCCCAGCAGACCGGGACACGCGAAGTCCATCACCGCGGCGTATTCGTCGAGGTCGTTCTGCACGGGCGTGCCGGTGAGCAAGACCCTTCGCGGAGCGTCCACCGTTCTCAACGCCGCGAGCGTCTGGCTCCCTTGTTGCGCGTTTCGTAAACGATGCGCTTCGTCGCAAATCATGAGATCCGGCTTCGCCGCCGCCGCGACGGGCGCGAACCTCCTCAGCGTCTCGTACGACGTCACCAGTATCGGCCATCTATCGAACGCGCTCTTCCCCCCGGGCGGCGGTCCTCTCGCCCATTTCTCGTACGCGTCCGCTGCGTCAGTTCCGCCGCCCTCCGCGAGTGCGGTTTGCGCTCTCACGCCGCCGAGCCACTTCGCGCACTCCGCGCCCCACGCGCCGACGAGCGATGCGGGGCAGACGAGCAGCGCGCGTTTCGCCGTCGGCGTCCCGCGCGGACCTTGATGCAGCATCGTGTAAATCAGCGCGAGCGACTGCAACGACTTCCCCAAACCCATGTCGTCCGCGAGGAGGCACCCCAAGTGCGGATCGGCGTCTCGTCTCCGCCCATCCCCGACGGGCTCGAACCCGTGCACGACCCTCCACATCCATCGCACGCCCTCGCGCTGGTGCGGCCGAAGCTTCTTCGCGACGAACGGGTCCACGACGACCGCGATCCCGGGACCGGCGTTCATCGCGGTCGCTTCCTCGGTCGTGCACATCACGAGCGCGCCGGGGGCGTTCGGGTCGTGCAGCGGTTTGAGCGGCGCCACTCGCGCGCGCTTCGGCGGCGGCGCGGGGTGATTCGGCGGCGGCGTCGGCGCGATGCCGTCCTCGGGCGTCGCGGGGATGATCTCCGCGGCGCCGCCTGTCACCGAGGGCGTCGCGATCGGCGTGGACATCGGCAGCGGGCTCGCCATCGCCGCGCGCGCGTCGTCGTCGTCGTCGTCGGACGGTTCGAAGAAGTAGTCGTCGGGCGCGGGGGACGCCATGAGCGACGGCGACGCCAACGAAGGGACCGCGGACGCCCTCCGCGCGCGAGGCGGCGTCATCATCTCCGCCGCCGCGTCGCCGTCCATCGCGCTCGAGCGCCGCGTGCGCTTCGTCGACTGCGCGGGGGACTCGCTCTCGTCTGTCGCTTGGAACTTGAATAAATTTTGGCCCGGTGCGGGTGCCAGAATAATGTGATGAACCAGCTGCTACTCTAACCACTGCACCTCTTCAGTGACCGTCGGCCTCGTGAGCTCCTCCACGCTCTGAACTAACCGCAACTCGCGGCATCCTATCCCCGTCTTCCCCGCCGCCTCCGCCTCCGCCTGCGCCTGCGCGGTCTTCCTCAGCACGCCTTGCAAACTCGCCACCGCGCGTTCCGCCGCGCGTCCCAACTGCCCCGGGAGCTTGTCGCTCCACGCTAACAACAACGCCGCGCACAGATCCCCGGTCCCGGTGAAGTAGCTCGGTATCCGCGGGACGGTGATCTTAAACCTCTGCTCGCACCGCTTCTCCTGCGGCGTGATCGTGCTCCCTAGCAGCGTGATCACGGACGCGTGCGCGTGCGCGGACGCGGACGCGGCGTCGCCGCCGTCGCCGCCGCGCGCGACGTCGAGGTCCACGGACGTCAAGACCACGTTCGGCGGTCCCATCGCGTGCAGCGCCGCGCACGCGGCGATCGCGTCGTCCTCGCTCGCGATCGGTGAACCCGTGAGGAGCTCCGCCTCGAACTGGTTCGGGACGACTAACGTCGCGAGGGGCACGATCTCGTCGCGGTAGATGCCGACCAGCGGCGCGGGGACGTACATCTTCCCGTTATCCCCGAGCACGGGGTCGCACACGTACACGAGGTCGGGGTTGTGCTGTCTCAGCTTTCGAACGAGCCGCGCGACGGTTCGCAGCATCGACGCGGAGCCGATGTATCCGGTGAGCAAGTGCGTGTACCCTTTCAGCAGCCCGTTCGTCTCCAGACCTTCGACCAAGCTCCAGAGCTGATCCCCCGTCATGACCTCGCCCTTCCACGACCCGTACCCGGTGTGGTTGCTGAACTGCACGGACAGGATCGGGTCGACGTCGAAGCCGTGGAGCTGGAGCGGGAACACCGCGCACTTGTTCCCGACGTATCCGGACACGACGTGCGACTGGATCGTCAGCGCGCGGCCGGTGGAGGACGTCGCGTTCATCGCGAGCGCGTCGCGATTCGACGCGTCTGACGATTCGGCGGATTCCGAGACGACCGCGCGTCCACGACGCGCGGCGCGGGGATTCGAGCGCGAGAGCGACGACGCGGCGGCGCGTGCGTGCGTGAGCGAGGGCGTGAGCGCGGATACGCTCGCGGGCATCAACCGGCGGTCGCTCGCGCGTCGCGCCGCGCCTCGCGGTGTGAAGACGGCACAAGCAGCTGACGGTGAAAGTTCTGTTCGTCTCGGAGTTTCTGTTAGGGTAAATCCGGAAGGAAGCCTCCGCGCGGCGGCACTGGCACTGGCACCGCGCGCGGGAGGAGCGGGTCGCGATGCTCGCCGCGCTGCCGAGGGCGCCCTCGCGCCTCCTCGGCGCGTCGCGCGCGTCGTGTCGCGATGGTCGCCGGGTTAAGCGCGCGCACGCGACGTCGAGACGAGACGAGACGACAGCGACGTCGGATGGCGAAAATCGGAGGATCTCCCCGCGGCCGTCGCTCGCGGCGATCCCCGCCGCGATGTTCGCCTCCGCCGCGCGCGCGATGGACGAGTTCGTCGTGACCCCGGCGCCGCCCGGGTACGTCCCGTCACCCCTAGACGACGGCGACGGCACCGCGCAGTTCGTCGTCTTCCTCGTCTGCGGCGTGTGCGCGCTCGTCGGGATGAAGGTCTCCTTCGACGGCGAAGCCGCGGCGTCGGAGGAGGCGCTGGACGAGAAAGTCGCCGCTCAGGTCGCCGCGATGAGCGCCGCGGAGACGTTGGAGTTGGCGGGGACGTCCGCGTCCGAGATCGCGGCGGACCCCGCGAAAGCGGCCGAGGCGTTCGACGCGGCCGGGCTCGCGCGCGTGGACGCGGCGATATCCGAAACCGCCGCTGCGGAGCTCTTAGCGGAAGTGAACGCGACGCTGGACGAGGAGCTCGCGCGCGCGGGCGACCGCGGCCTGCCGTCGGACGCGTTCGGGAACGTGTACTGCAAAGGAAACAGATACGATCTGAAGCTGAAGATGTCCGGCGCCGCGGAGCGGGCGCTGAGGGAGGCGGTGGGAAACGCGCGAGCGTTTCTCGCCGCCACCGCTGGGGGCGAAAACGCGAGACTGTGCGAGTTCGCCGCGCTCGTGTCCGACCCCGGATCGAAGCGTCAGCCGGTGCACCCGGACACGAACTACCGCAGGGACCGGTGCGTCGTGACATCGTTCGTCGCGCTGCAGGACGTGGAGGCGGACATGGGACCGACGGTGTTCATCCCGGGGAGTCACGTCGCGGCCGCGCACTTGGCGTTTCGCGACGCGGGGGAGAGGGGCGGGCCCGCGCTCGCGGCCCCGAATAGGGTCGCGACGTTGCGCACCGGGGACGCGTCGATGTTCGACTCGAGACTGCTGCACTGCGGGGGAGGGAACGCGTCGAGCAAGCGAAGGGTGTTGTTTTACTTCTCCTTCGAAGTCGACGGCTCGGAGAATCCGAACTCGGGGGTTTCTTCGATTCGCGACGAGCTCCGGGGGAAGTACACCCTCGCGGATTTGTGATGATAGCGCGGTAGTCTACTCGCTGTTTAACACTACGTTATGCGATGCGCGTTCGTTTCACCTAAAAGTTAGACCACCCGCCGTCGCCGCTGGCGGCCGGTTGCTGCTGCTGCGGCGTCGCGGCGTTGAAGTCGCCGCCGAAACCCTGAGGCGGGGACTGCCCAAAGTCGCCAAAGCCACCTCCCGTCTGCGGCGCCGGCGCCGGCGCCGGCGCGGGCGTCGCCACGGCGAAGTCGCTCGCCAGCGCGGGGGGCTTCGCCGCCGGCGGCGGCACCGGCTTCGCCTGGTGCTCGCGAGCCCAAGAGCCCCACGCGAGTTGCACCGTCTCGAAACCCTCGTCCTCGAGATCCGCCCACTCGCCCCACGTCGGCAAGTCCGCGGGGAGCCCCCCACCCCCCGCGCCCAGCGCGGCCGCGAGCGACGGCGGCGGCGACGGCGGTTTCACCCCGAGATCTTGCGCTCTGCGAAGCACGCCGTCGTGCGCCTCCGCGACGCGTCGTAAAATCTCCGGCAGCGCGGCGTGATCCACGCGGTGCGGCTGCAGCGCCGCCTCCGCTTCGGACACGCGCGCGCGCATCGTCTGCAGCTCCGCCTGCAGCGCCGCTTGAGACGTGCTTCCGTCGCCGCTCGCGATCGACGCCTGCTCCGCTCGGAGTTCGTCCATGCGTCGCGTGAGCTGCTGCATCTCCGCCTCCGCCGAGCCCGCGCGCGCGTTCCCGGAGTCGACGCCCCGCGACGCCTGCTCGACCGCCGCGGCCATCTGATCCACGCGCGCGCGCAGCGCCGCGACCTCGCGTTCGGCCGCCTCCGCTCTGTCGGTCACGTCCGGTAGGTTCGCCTCGCACCGGCGCTGGAACAGGACGAGGTCTTGGAGCTTCTGCGTCAGTTGCGCGGAGTCGACTTTTGCCTTCTCCGCCGCGCGTTCCTTCTCCCACAGCGCCTTGTCCTTCGCCTCGGCTTCCTCGCGCGCGGCTTTCACGCGGTCCACCTCAGGACCGGGCGCACCGGTGAGGTCCAGCTCCCCCGGGCCGCGGAAGGCGTACTCGCCGCCGCTCGGCGCCGCGGTCGTGGACTGCGGCCCGGGACCGGGACCGGGGCCGCCGCTCGTCAGTCCGAACCCGCCGAACGCGTCCCCGCTGGGCATCCTGTTGTGGCCCGGAGCTTGCTGTCGCTGCTGCGGCTCGTATTGCTGCTGCTGCGACTGATATTGCTGCTGCGACTGATATTGCTGCTGCGGTTGGTACTGCTGCTGCTGTTGCTGCGGCTGCATCGGAGGAAAAGGCCCGGGGGGTAAGCTTGAAGGCGGCTTCCTTCCTTCCCTCGCGCGTTCCGTGAGATACATCCCGACGACAAACTCCTGCCACGTCAGCGACCCGTCCTCGTCCGCGTCAGCGAGCGCCCATATGTCCTTCAGCGACTCCTTCGGGGCGTCTAAGGATATCAATATAGGCACGGTCTCGCCTCCGGAGAGCTTCCCGTCGCCGTCGGTGTCCGCTTGCGCGAACCGAGCGCGGTACCTCTCCTGGTCCGCTGCGGACATAGGCGGCCACGGCGCGTCGTTCGCCGCCGCGGCCGACATCATGCCCGGAGCGAGGTCGTAGCTGCTCTTCAACGAGCCCCCCGCGTTCCCGCCGCCGCCGAAACCTCCCCCCATCATCTGCGGCGGTTGCTGCTGTTGTTGATACGACGGCGGACCTCCCGAGGCGGCTCCACCCAGCGTCATCGTTCCGCCCCCGACGTTCGCCGAGGGAGGGGGCTGACCCTCGGATAAACCCTGAATTCGCGGCGGAGGGAGGCTCATGAACCCCCCGGCGATTCTGTTGTACGCCTGCGCGTTCAGCTCGCCGCCGCCCTGCGACGTTCGGAAGGGTGCGGGAGGACGTCAGAAACGGCTCGTGTCGGTTGAAAAGTGCACGGACGAATCCGCGCGGGCGGACGAGTCGAGGCCGGGCGGTTCGGACGCGCGCGCGCGGGAAGAAGCCACGAGCGAGACACGATAGCGAGACGCACGCGCACCTGCGCGACCGTGATGAGCTGCATCGCGATATCGAACTGCTTGCGCTCGAGGAACCCGCGCGCCGGGTTATCGCTCAGTTGCCAGAGCTGCGCGAGCGATTGTTGCGTCAAGCCAGCGCGCGTGAAGAACGCGACCGCCTCCGCGCCGGAGACTTTCCCGTCTCGGTCGACGTCGGCGATGGCGAACCATTGCCCGTAGTCCGCCATGATGACGAAACCTCACGGGACGGGGATGCGGCGCCCGCCGAGCCGCGCCAGATCCGCGTGTTGTTGTGAGCGACGAACCCCGACGCTTCGTGTTTTTGAAACAGTGGAAGTCACTCGCTGCCGCCTGGCTGAAGTGAGTCTTTCTCTGGTTGAAGTGGGTAGGGTTGCCGCGGGGGGCGCGCTAGATCTGACGCCGCCGACGCACGCCATGAGCAACCTGACGCTCCCGCCGGTCCCGCCGCCGCCTTCCCCCCCGCCGCCGCCGAACCCCCCGCCTGCACCTCCCCCGCCGACGCTCACGGGTGCGACGCCCGCGCTCGTCGGTTCTTGGAGAAAAGAACAGGAAAAGAAAACTCACTCGCCGTCTCTCTCTCTTCCCCGCCCCCGCCCGCAGTGTGCGACGAGTGGTACTGCGTCAACACGTCCAGATCATGGGTGGACATATGGAACGGCGCGATCATGAGCGCCGTCGTCGGGCTCGTGTGCATGTTCGTCTTCGCCCTCGTGCGCGAGAGACACAAGGCGTACCGAACGCGCGTGTTTCACCCGCGCGTGACTCGGAACCCGCCTCCGCTTCCGCCCGCGGACTGGACGTTCCTGTGGGGCTGGATCGTCCACGTCGTTCGCGTCAAGGAACAAGCGCTGTACGACACCGCCGGCCTCGACGTCCTGTACTTCGATCGATCGAACCGCCTGTGCTTCCTGATAAGCCTCTTCGTCGCGGTCGTGAACCTCTGCGTCGTGCTGCCAGTGAACTATAAACTCGGGACCGTGATAACCCCCGAGGCGACCTCTACGGGCGGGATGATGACGATCGACAAGATCTCGATGACGAACATCCCCGTGGGCTCGCCGCTGCTGTGGGTGCATACCTTAGTCGTCGTGGTCACCGTGTACTTCGTGTCGTTCCTTCTGTACTTGAACTTCGTGGACTACCGCGCAGACCGACAAGCGTGGCTCGGGCACTCGATCGAAACAGACGTCGACGAGGACGACGAGCCTTCGCCGGTGCCGACGCCGATTCACTCCGGTTCGAGCCCTGGCAGCGGTCCGTCGTCCGTTCGCTCGCGCGGTTCGGGGTCTACGCGGATAACCTCGCTCCTGCACCGCCAGTTGTCGAGGCACGTGCACGACGACGAACGCGCGTTGTTCGAGCCAGAGGAGCCCGGGCTCGTCTCGGAGACAGATCACGAACGCAGTCGAAGCGTGGACTCGTGCTTGAGCAAAGAGAGCGACGTCGAGATCTCGGAAGTGCACTCCCCCGTGCCCATCGACGCGCGGCAGCACGTGTACGTCAAGTCCGAGGGCAGCACTGACGCGGACGGGGGCACGTTCGCGGTGAAAGCGCAACAGTACGCGGTCCTCGTCACGAACGTGGATCCTTCATCGAGAGCGATTCGGAATCCGGGGAACCGCTTCACGGCGACGCAAGCGGCGGAGATGCAAGTATCGCGGACGTTCGCCCGCTTGTTCGACGATTTCGTCGCGACCGTCCCCGTGCGGTACCACGCGAAAATTGACGTGCTCTTGACCATGCTCGACCAAACGCAACTCTCGATGCTGCGCCTGGACGAGCGCCTCCGGTGCACGCGTCCGACGTCGAAGCTCGCCGCGAAGCTCGCGTCGAGGCGAGAGAAGATCTCGACGCAGGTCGAGGAGATCTTCGCGCACATCCAGCTCGAGCAGAAAGCGATGCTAAACAACCCGCGCTCGGCGTTGTCGCACATCGTGATATTCAAATCGCAAGTGTCCGCCGCGGTCGCGGCGCAGACGCTCTTGCAAGAGCCGGGCGGGGATCTCCCGTGGAATGTGAGCTCCGCCCCCGCGCCCGACGACGTCAATTCGAACACGCTGTGGCTCTACCCCGGTCAGAAGTGGTTCCGCTCGACCGTCGCCGCGATTTTGATCGCCGGTCTCGTCGTGTTTCCCATCGGCATCTTCACGAGCAGCATGGTCTCGCTCTCGCAGTCGCTCTGCGCGAAAGGCTCGTCGTGGCACTGGGACTGGTACTGCAAGGACGTACCCGGGGAAGGGCAAGCTTTCTTCGTTCGACTCCTCACCGCGTGGGTGCCGAGCCTTTTGTTAGCGCTTTGGAACGCGGTCGTGATTCCGTACGGGTTCGCGTTCATCGCGCTCTTCCAAGGCGCCGAGGTCTCGCTGAGCGGCATCGATCGCAAGGTGTTCACGTGGTTTTACCTGTACAACGCGTTGAACGTGTTAGCCGGCGGCATGTTGGCAGGGACGCTGTTCTCGCAGCTCGAGAACATCATCAAGACGCCGGGGAGCTTTTTCAACCTCATCGGACACGCGCTGCCGCAATCTGCCGGGTTCTTCATCTCCTACGTGTCGACGTACGCGTTCATGCTCGAGCCGCTTCGACTCCTTTTACCCCACCTCGGGGTGCTGACGTCGCTGTTCACGTCGCGGCGCGCGAAAATCGAACGCGATATTGACGCAGCGTTCGAGCCGAAGACGTTGCGCCTGGGCGCGCAGTACGGGGGACAGCAGCTCATTTTGCTGCTGTGCCTCGTGTTCTCTACCGCGTCGCCTCTGATAACCGCGGCCGCGCTCGTGTATTTCACCCTCTCTTTACTCGTGAAGCGTTACCACATCATGTACATATTCGTGAGAAGTTACGAGAGCGGCGCAACGCTGTTTCCTTCGCTGTTCAGTCGGATCCTCGTCTCGTTGCTGCTCTATCAGATCTTCATGAGCGCGTATTTGTTGATTAAGGAGGCGTACACGCAGGCGTTCGTGCTGTGGCTCCTGATCCCGCCGTTCTTGTGGCAATTTCACTCGTACTGCCTCACCCGTTTCATCACGAAGAGCACATACTTGCCGCTCGTGATCGCGGACAAGATGCCGGTCGCGTCTATCCCGCTCGACACGTACGACGCGCCTCAGGTGCATCCGCGGTTCAAAGCGTGGTCGTCGGACGTCGGGAAGGTGTGGCAAGGATACGGCGGGATGGTGAAGAAGTTCGCGTGATTTCGTAGTATGATGCAACGCCGTTCGCGTGTGTTTAGCGTTTAGCGCGCGGGGAGGTGGCGACTCAGCGCGTTCCCCGCGACGAATGCACGACGTCAATTTTCTACGTTTACAAACGACGTCTACCTCATCCCAACCACCACCACAACACGAGCAAAGTCACGCACGTGACTAACATCCCGCCGTACACGAGCATCGCGTCTTGCCTTTGCCTCCTGTCCGCCACTCTAAGCAGCGACGCGGAGACACCTATCGTGTTCAAAAGGTCCAGCATCTTGTGCTGCGCGCCTTTTAAGCGTTCTTTTTGGTCCCCGATCGCGCCCAGCACGCTCGAGCCGTGCGCTAACAGTTCGTCGATCATGCCGCCGCTCCGTTGCAAGGACATCCTCGCCCCCGCCTCGGCGTCGTACTGGTTCACCAGGAGCCGGAATTCGTCGTCCGATGTGACCCTCTGCATGAGCTCCTCCCGTTGTTGCTCCTCCGCGTTTCTCCGACTCTCTCGCGACTTGAAGCGCTCTAACGATATCCTGAACTGGTCGCAATCTTCCACGACTTGCTCGACCTTGCGCTTCCAGATGTCCCTCTTCGCGCCGTTCTCTTGGACGACTAATATTCTCCACCCGCTCTCTATCTGCTGCGTGACTTTTTGCAAATCACGGAGCTTGTTGTGCATGTCGCGCGACAGGCTCGTCGACGACTGTATGACCCCTCTCGCTTCGGCACCCTCGAGTTGTTCCTGTTGGTGACATCGAACGTCGTTTAGTCGGCCTATCGCTCGCTCGCGGTGATTCGTTCGGCGGCGGGGGAGATATCGTGCGATGAGGGGTCAGAGGCGGACGCGTGACTCGCGGTTGTCACGCACCAGACCGCCTCGCATCTCCATGGTCAGCTTCCGCGCGACGGTGTACAGGTCCTGTAAGCTCGCCATCTTCCGTGGAGATTTTGGTTTTCAGGGACGGAGCCGCGGGCGCTCGCGTACCTGGCCGACGACGCGAGCGCGCTCCCCCGCGTTTGAAAGCGGCGCGGAGGGTGCCGTGCGAGAGCGCGGTGTCGCCTCACACCCGGTGGGCGTCGGGCGCCGCGGGGAATGAAGAACTCCGAGGTCGCTGAGTCACGCCAGACGCAACGGCTTCCTGCAGCGCCCTTCCTCGGAAAAACGAAACTTGTGACACATAAACGCGTTCGACCCTCTGCCCGTCCGCCGCTATTATCGTCGGCGCGCGCACCCGCCCGGCGAGCGCTCGACGCCGGCGTTCCCACGGGTCTACTCGAGAGCGCGACCGCGACTCGATGGACGGGCGCATCGAGAGCGTCGGGCGTGCTCGGCGGCGAACGATGTCGAGGCGCCGCGTCTAGGGAAAATCGAGAGATCGTTTCGCCCGAGAACGAGAAGGATGAGCCGGACGTGGAGCGAGACGTTATCGCGCCGGGGAAAGGGCGACGACACCTCGCACGAGCGCGTGCGGCTCGTAGAACACGAGGCGGTTGGGTCGTCCGCGATGGCGTCGTCGTCCGCCGCGACCGAGCGCGTCCTTCACCTCGCGAGCGAAGGCGCGGACGCGATCGAAGGCGCGGACGCGAAGGAGGCGACCTCGAACGTGACGAAGTTACTCGTCGAAGGCATGACGTGTTCCGCGTGCACAGGCGCGGTCGACGGCGTGTTGAGCAACATCGACGGCGTCGAGAGCGTCTCCGTCGCGCTGCTCCCGGAAGGCTCCGCGGAGGTGCGGTTCGACCCGAACAAAACCGGTCCGAGGGCGTTCGTGAACGCCGTGGAAGACGCCGGGTTCGACGCGAAGATCGCATCGGGGGACGAGGCGAGGTCGTCCAAGAGCGCGTCCGCGGTCGAGGCGGAGGCGTACAGGTCTCTGTGCTCCGCGAGCCTCGTGTTTACGATCCCGGTGTTCTTGCTGAACATGGTTCTTCCCCGGGTGGAGATGTTCGCGTGGCTGTACGCCGGATTCGTGCGAGAGGTGTCATTGGCGACGTTCGTGAAGTGGGCGCTCGCGACGCCGGTGCAGTTCCACGTCGCGAATAGGTTTCACCGCGGCGCGTACAAGTCGCTGAAGAACGGTGCGGCGAACATGGACGTCCTCGTGTCCCTCGCGACGAACGTCGCGTACTTCGCGAGCGTGTACGTCATATTTCACTGCGTCAGCACCGGGCACGTCTTCGGGAGGGATTTCTTCGACACGAGCACGATGCTGGTAACATTCATCCTCCTCGGGAAGTATTTGGAGTCCTCCGCGAAAGGAAAGACGTCCGAGGCGATATCGAAGCTGTGCAATCTGACGCCGAACACCGCGGTATTGCTGAAGGAAGTCCCAGGGAGCGACCCGACGCGCAAAGAATACGAAGAGACGACGATCTCATCCTCGCTGATTCATCGAGGCGATCTTTTGAAGGCGTTACCAGGGTCGAGAATCGCCGCGGATGGCGTACTCGTGGACGGAAAAAACGTCCACGTCGACGAGAGCATGATCACGGGCGAATCGTTGCCGATACGCAAAAACGTGAACGACGAGGTGCTGGGAGGGACACTCAACACAGGGAGCGCGTTTATCATGCGCGCCGTTCGCGTCGGCGCGGACGCGTCGCTGTCGCAAATCGTCAAGCTCGTGGAGAACGCGCAGGTGAAGAAAGCGCCGATCCAAGCGTTCGCGGACAAAGTCTCGAACGTGTTCGTCCCGGTCGTCGTCTTCCTCGCGTTCATCACCTGGATCGCGTGGTACACGTTCTGTCCCGAGCAATGGATCCCGGAGGATGAGACGAGGACGCTGTTCACGATGATGTTCGGCATCGCGGTTCTCGTCACCGCGTGTCCGTGCGCGCTCGGTTTAGCGACGCCGACCGCGGTGATGGTCGGCACGGGCGTGGGGGCGACGAACGGGATCCTCATGAAAGGCGCGGACGGTTTAGAGCGCGCGGGGCAAGTCACAATCTTAGTGTTCGACAAGACTGGAACGTTGACTGTCGGGAACCCGTCCGTCGTCGGGTTTAGGATTTTCGGGAACATAGGCGACGAGGAATACCTCAAAATCGTCGCCGCGGCGGAGTCACAGAGCGAGCACCCTATTGCGAAGGCGGTTTTGAAATTCGCGAAGCACAAGCTAGGCTTCGAAGGCTATGAAGAGGGCGCGCAAAACGGAAACGGGATGAATTTGCCGGCTGCTGAAGAAGTAGAGATCGTACCTGGCGAGGGCTTGCGGTGCCGGTTCAACGGCGCAGAAGTGCTCATCGGGAGCAAGAAGCTCCTCGAGTCCGCGGGGGTCGCCATCGTGAGCGACGTCGCCGCGTACGTCGGCCAAGTTCAAAGAGACGCGTGCACGTGCGTCCTCGTCGCGATGAAAGGAGAGGTCATGGGGTCGTTCGCGATCACGGATCCGATTCGCCCTGAAGCCGCCGGGGTAGTCGCCGCGCTGTCGCGCATGGGCGTGCAGTCTCATCTCGTGACCGGGGATAACTGGCAGACCGCGAGAGCGATCGCCGCGGAGTGCGGAATCGTCTCCGTGCATGCGGAGGTTTCCCCCGCGGGGAAGGCGGGGAAGATCGAGGAGCTGAAGGCGCCGCCGATGAGGAAGACATTGAAAGGGACGGTCGAGGTCGCGCGTCGCGCAGCCCCCGTCGTCGCGATGGTGGGCGATGGGATCAACGACGCACCCGCGTTGGCGGCTGCGGACGTCGGGATCGCGATCGGCGCGGGAACGGACATCGCTATCGAGGCTGCGGATTTCGTCCTCATGCGAAGTGACCTCGAGGACGTCGTCACCGCCGTGGACCTGTCGAGGAAGACGTTTCGCCAAATTCGGCTTAATTACGTCTGGGCGTGCGTCTACAACTTCCTCGCTATCCCTCTCGCCGCGGGACTGTTGTACCCTAAAACGCGGATGCAGGCTCCGCCCTGGGTCGCGGGAGCGGCGATGGCGTTCAGTTCGGTGTCCGTCGTCCTCTCGTCGCTGTCGTTGCGGTACTACGAGAGACCTATGCGCGTGCTGCGTGAGATCGGCATCGCGAACGAAACGGAGATGTTGTTTCGTCGGTGGTGAACCTGAGACGCGTGTCGAATAGACTTCATAGACGTGTTGAATAGATGACAGGACTAAGTCCAGACTAAGTTGACTTCTTCTTCGGCGGCGGCGCGACGACTCGCTGCTTCTTCGGCTTACTCGCGCGCTGCCTCAGGTCTAACAACCCCGGCGGCGGCGTGATCTCTAAGAACCCGTTCGGCACGTCCACCGTCGGGACGATGTCCTTCACGAACGGCACGTAGACAAACTCTCCGGGAGGTTTGGTCTTCCTCTTCTCCCCATCCCCGGCCGCGTTTTCGTCGTCCGCGTCCGACCCCGGCAGTGGCGGGACCTCAACCTTCAGAAGGTCGTGCGTCCCCGCGCCTCTGAAGACGTCGATGACCTTCCCGACCTCGTCGCCGCCTTCTTTCAGGACGACCCTCAGCCCTTGGAGCTCTTGCGCGTAAAAGTCGTCGTCGCCGTCGCCGACGTCCGCCTCTCTCAAGCTCGGTCTCTCGGACGCGAGGACGTACATCCGCCTTCCCAGGAGCGCCTCCGCGGCGTTTCGGTCGTTCACGCCTCTAATTTTCACGATGCACTCGTTCCGACCTTTCGTCGTGACCTCTCTGCCGCCGGAGATGTTAATCTTCGACAGCGTCCCCGCTGGTTTGTTGTATTCCCCCGACGCGCTTCTTCCTTGCGCTTCGTCCTCGAGCCACTGTGTGCACGGGGAGAAGAACCGCTCCTCTACGAAATCCGTGAACGGCATCACGCGAACCTCCCCGCGAAGCCCGTGCGCGCTGACGATAGCCCCGGACTGCGCGAGCTCGGCTTCGTCGAAGACTTGCCTCTCGGTCGACGATTCCCCGGCGGCGCGCGTCGCGACGCGACGGCACGGAGCAGCCCTGACGCGCCCGGACGTCCCAGTAGCCGTCACCGCGCGGCGATTGGAGCTCGATACGCACGCGCCCGTGGGCGCGTGCCAGCGAAGTGCCGCTCTTGCGTGCATGACGCGGCAGCGGGGTGCGGCGACGTTGTGAGCGGCGAAGACGCACTTTTCCGTGGACGTCAACTCGCGAAACTTTGTCGAGCCGAACGTCACTGCTATGAGCGCCTCCTTCGTCGTGCTCGGTTGCCGCGCTCACGCGCACCCGGTTTGTCTCGCCATGCCCGCCCGGGCGAGCGCGAAGGCGCCCAAGGTTGTCGTCATCGGCGGGCAGTTCGCGGGAAGGAAAGCCGCGCGTCTGCTTCAGCGCGACTTCGACGTCACGCTCGTGGACGCGAAAGGGGTGTGGGAGTACACCCCCGGGATCCTTCGTTGCCTCGTCGAGCCGGGGACGTCTAGACACATGGTCCTCGCGCAGCCGCCGGGGACGCTGACCGCGTGCGCGACCGGGTTCGAGATCGAGGAGGTGGACGACGGCGGCGAAGTCACCGGCGTGGAGCTGAGCGACGGATCGAAGTTGCCCGCGGACTTCGTGATCTTAGCCACGGGCTCGTCCTACGCGTCTCCCGTGAAAACGTCGCAACTCGAAGCGTCCAGCGTGGAGAAGAGGCGCGAGGAGCTCGCGCGCGGGAATGCAACCCTCGAGGCCGCTTCTAGCGTCCTCGTCGTCGGCGGCGGCACCGTCGGCGTCGAGCTCGCGGCGGAGATCGTGGGGAAGTACCGCGCCGCGAAAAAAGTCACGCTCGTGACGCCCGCGGACCGCCTGCTCGAGCGCATGCCGGAGCAGGCTGGGAAGCTCGCGCTGAAGTGGCTGAAATCTAACGGCGTGCGCGTCATCCTGAAGGACCGAGTCAGCGACTGGGGCGGCGCGCCCGTCGACGACTCCGTCCTCGCCCCCGGCGGCGGCGCGTACGTCGTGAAAACCGCCGGCGGGAAGACGATCGAAGCGGACGTCGTGTACCCGTGCGTCGGCGGCGCCCCCGCGGCGGCGCCGGCGAAGAAATCCATCGGGTCTGCGATGGGGATCAAGGGGGACGTGCACGTGGACTCGGCGATGCGCATAACCGGGATGACGAACGTCTTCGCCGCGGGTGACTGCGCGGACACGCACGTAGGGGAGGAGCGAACCGCGTTCACCGCCGATCTCAACGCGATCGCCGCGGCGGCGAACGTGAAGAACCTTCGGCGGGGGAGGAGCCTCCAGGCGTACCCGAACGTCGTGACCGGGTGGTCTCGAGTGCCCGTGATCGCGGTCGTGAGCTTGTACAAGTGGTACGCCGTGATGCAGTTCAACCGCGTCGTCATCGGAGGGAAGTTCCCCGCCGTCGTGAAGTGGTTCTTGGAGACGATGCAAATCGCCGTCGCGCGAGGGACTTGGGGCGCGGCGTTCGTTTGGGACGCGATAGAGAAGGTGACCGTCGCGCTTGGAAGGTTCTTGTTCACGAAAGAGGACGAATCGGGGAGTGTTCCGGGGTTGGAGTTGATGAAGAGCATTAGTAAGAATCCGCCGGTAGCTCCGGCGTAGCTTGTATCTCAGCGGCTTGCCCGCGGCTGGTTTTGCGTGTCTGCTTGCACAGTGTTTTCCCGCTACCCGCACATCCAAAAACTTTTTTCGATCGCGTTTTGCGGCGGCCCCGAGCGTCCCCCTGATCTCATTCCCCGGAGCACGCAAACGTCCGCGATGGTGTTTAACATCCCGCAGGATACGAGGGACGATCTCGTCGGCCGCATGGCCGACCACCTCGCCGCCATCGGGTTCCACAACTACGGCACAACGTTCACGAACACGAAGCAAAAGGCGGAGGAGATCGAAGCGAGGGCTTTCGGCGTCGCTGAAGTCGCGAGCAGCACGACGAAGGAGTCGTGGTCCGCGGGCACCGGCGGCGAGCGCCCGGTGATCGAGCTCATCCGACTGTACGTCAAGAAGGCGGCGGAGCTCTTGAAAGCGGAGGTCATCCGATGCGGCGAGGAGTCCACTTCGATGGACACCGCCGGCCCGTCCGACGCCGTGGGCGCGGATACGGATTGCTTCGATCTGTCCAGCAAGGACCGCGAGTTCTACACGCAACAACGCGCGGAGCAAGTGCTCGCGCCTCTCCTCGCGAAGGGCGCGAAGTTCACGAAGGTGAAGCTGAGCACGAAGAGCTTCGGGATCGACGCCGCGAAGGTCGTCACGAGGGCTTTCGCGAACATCGCAGCCACGCTGAAAGAGGTTGATTTGAGCGACATCATCGCCGGCCGCCCCGAAGACGAAGCGTTGAAAGCGATGCAGATCATCACGGAAGCGACGCTGGGAGCGAAAATCACGTCCGTGGACGTCAGCGACAACGCGTTCGGCGAGAAGGGCGTCCGCGCGTGCTCCGCGATGTTGCAGCAGCAGACGGGGATAGAGAGCATATCGTTCATGAACAACGGTATTTCCGAGCAAGCCGCGGCCGCGATCTTGGAACTCTTGGCGTCGCCGCAGTCGCTCAAGAAGTTCCACCTCCACAAGAACATGACCGGCGATGAAGGAACTGTGCACATCGGGAAGCTCTTAGAGAAAGCGCCGCACATGGAGGACTTCAAGATGGCGGGGTCGAGGTTCACGAGCGATGGCGCGGTGACGCTCGCGAAAGGCCTCGCATCCGGGACGTCCTTGACGAAGCTCGACCTGACGGATAACAACGTGAACGAGGAGGGTGGGATCGCGCTCGCGACGATGTTGTTCAAGCAGCCGAAGATGAAGCACCTCAACTTTGAGATGACCTCCCTCGGCCCGGACGCGTCCGCCGCGGTGGCGTCCGCGTTAGCCGCGGGGTGCCCGGAGCTCGAGTACCTGAACCTGTCGTCGTGCGACATCACCCCGGAGGGTGTTCCATCGGTCGCGAAGGCGATCTCGGCGATGAAGAACCTCAAGGTTCTGAAGATCGCGGAGAACGAGCTCGGGGACTTCGGCGTCACGCAGATCTGCGTTGCGCTGAAGATGTCCGGCGCCCCCATCGTCGAGCTGGACGTGAGCACGAACGAACTCGTGCTCGCGGGTGCAGTTGCCGCCGCTCGGCTGGCCGCTGCGAAGGTTGGGTTCACGGCGCTGAACTTGGACGCGAACTACATCTCGGACGAGGGCGTCGAGGAGGTGAAGTCCGTCTTAGAGGGCGCGGGCATCTCCGCGGCGTTGATGTCGATGGAGGAGAACGACGCGGACATGGCGGACGAAGTCGACGACGACCAGGCGGCCTCCCTGAACGCGATGCTCGACCACTTGAAGATTTAAAGCGAATGCGGAGCGTAAACGTACTCTATGAACGTACTAACTAGCTATGAACGATTGTGAACACGATAACGTCAGCGTCAACACTCGTGTCCTTTCCCTCCACCGAGGGGGACGCCGAGGTACTCTAAGTGGTCCTCGATGCTCGTGCACGCCCCAACGTACCGGCAAAGACTATCCTGACAACGTCTGTCCTCCCCGGAGCCGTCGCACGTGATCTCCATCGTGAAGTTCAATCGCGGCGGGTGCTTCTTCGACCCGGTCGTGATCGTCCGCTGCCACACCTCGCGCGCGAGGTGGTGAAACCCAAAGTGTGTGAACGGCACCGTCGGCACGATGTCTCGGTCGTGCGTCACTCGCGTGTTGTCGAGCGTCGTGTTCCTCATCGCGGACGCAAACGCGTAGTTCCCCACGCGCGGACACCCGAAAGTGTATAGCCTCACGGCGGTGAGGTTGCGCTCGGTGAGCAGATCCGCGGCACACAAGGTCGCGAGCGCGCCGCCGAGGCTGTGCCCGACGACGACCACGGGAAGAACGCCTCTCTCCTCGAACAACGCGTCGAGCGCTACGCTCGTCCTGTTTTGAAGATTCGAACGCGTCCACGACCTCCAGAACCCGTCGTGCACGGTCGCGTCTTTCGGCATTCCAGGGTGCCTCACCTGCGACTTCGTCGTCATGAGGTTGTGTATCCAGTTCTCCCACGAGCTCCCTTTCGTGCCTCTGAATATCACGAGCGCGGAGGACAGCTGCGGCGAGTATCCGACGACGGCTTGAAGATCCCAGTCTTCGTCGGTCACGACCGTCTTCGGGACGAACCCCGCGACGCTGTCGGAGCACCGCTCGCACGTCCAGTTTCGCAAGACGTCGGGGGAGCAATACGATGCCGCGGCGTACGTCACCATCATTCGTCCCTCTTCGAGGCTGAAGGACGAGTCTTGTCCCCGCGCCGGCGTCGAAAAAAAGTTTCGCGCCGAAGTCCCCACCAACGTCGTGACGAACAGCGCGAGTGTCCCGAGATTCAGCGTGAAAACCATCGTCTTTCGATCACTCACTTACCCCGCCCCGCCATCTGCGCCTCGTAACTCTTCTCGAACCGCTTGAACCGTTCCTCTTTGTAGTGCAGCTCGAACCTATCCTGCGCGTAAAACCCGAGCGCCCCGCCCGCAAAAGTCAAAGCAATGAGAATAAACTGCTTTTTCGCGCTCGTCATTCGCCCGAGGGCGCCGTCGTCGTGTCGTCGGTGCTCGTCCCTGAGCGCCGGTGGAGGCGTGTCCGGGTACCGTAAGCTCGTTGGAACGACGACGTGTGGGGAAACGGCGCTCTGAGGACACACGCGGGCGCGCGCCGACCTCTTGGCCCAAGCGACGAGCCGAGTCAGCCCTCGAGATCCTTCGGCTCGAAACTCGCTTCGGCGCGTTCGAGGGCTCGAACAAAAAAGCGCAAAAAAAGACTGAAAAAATCAAACGAGCACTGCTCGCCACGCCACGTTCGTCGCCACTAATAAGCGTCCGCGCGAGCGGGCGATACCGAGCAGGTTTACACGCAGACCGACGGGGCCGACGAGACGAGTGCGGTCGATGGCGACGCCGATCGGTAGCTGTGATTGACCCGCTGCGTCAGGCCTTCCGAGGAGAGCGCCCCGCGAGATTTCTCCATTTTCATTTCTCTCTTGGAAAAAGCGCCGATTCCGATGAGCGGCAGTTGCACGCGCCTGCGGGGCTTGAGAGCGCTCATCAGCTCGTGCGGGAACTGGCGCGCTTCGTGTCACGCCACAGGATCAACGTCCACGCGCACGCGTTGTCTCGCCTCTTCATCCGGTGCCGGTGAACGTGAAGAAGGGACGACGGTGGGCGAGAAGGTGGAAGCGCTCATCCGCCGCGTCGACGAACGATGGCGCTTCGTCGAGGACCCTGAGGACATGCGAGGGGTGATGCAGGCGCTGCGTCACTGTCACGTCATGCAAAGGGTCGGGCCTAAAAATCTCATGCTACGATTCGTCCTCGCGGAGGACGATGTGGGCGAGTCTTGGGTGGTTCCAGACGCGAGCACGGCGTATCCGGTGCGCGAAAGAATGGCGTCGTCCCGCGCGCGTTTCTCGTCCTCCGAACCCGCGCGTCCTTCTCGAACCAGTCCAGCCAGCGTCCATCGCTCGTCTGTCTAAATGGCGTGCCTTGTGCTGACTCGCGCCATCATTGCCGCGAACGCAGGGTCGAGGAACGTATGTCTTGCCCGATCAGCGGACGCTCTTCCAGGCGGCGAAACAAGGTGAGAGAGCAGACAGGTTTTTGTGCCGACTTTCTCTATTTTTCCTGATACCTGACGCGCGTCGCGTTTTTTTAATGAATTTTAACGCGGTTTTGACCCCGTCTGCGTTGCTTCATTGCAGGTGCCTTTCAATTTGGTTTCAAGCAAGGATCCATGCGATTACCGTTTGGGTTTGAAGGTAAATTATTGACTGGGAATCCCGCGATTCGCGTCAATCCCGACTGTTCTCAGATCTACGCTCACCTTTGATTTATTTTCGCAGGAATCATCGAAAAGGAGCTGACACGCGACGCGCAGAAATTATTTTACAAAGCTTGTCTGAGCGCAACTTCCGCAAAAACGATAGATATCCCCGCGACGAATGATGATATCGACGCGACGTTCGCAGAACAAGATTTCACATCGATGCTGGACGCCGCGGTTGAAGCGTCTTTGGAAAAACACACGAAGCGCGTGCGTGAGATCGATACGAACGACAACAGCACGACCTCGTGGATTTTAAAGCCGCGAGACGCAGATCGTGCGCGAGAGCACGATGATTTAAATGACACCCGCGACATATGGTGCGGCACATCAAGCGACATCGAACCGTATGCTCGAATTCTCCATATATTGAGCGACGGTGAAATCCTCGCCGCTTTACGGAAAAACGAAGGAAACGATAACATAACATCTGAAAACTACGAAAACGTCAAAAACACGTTACTTAGAGACATTGGGCACGCGAACGTCGACGGAAACTCGCAGAGGAACGCTTGCGTCGTGCTTCAAAACGTTAGCAACAAAGTTTCGTATCGATTGCATCACGCTCAGCTCCGTCTTCATCTTTTCAGACAATCGATCCTCGAAGGTGGACCCCTTATCGACTTTAAATTGAAGAAGAAGAAGAAAAGAAGCGATTAGATCAGTTATTACAAGAGAACATAGTTTCTAGCCATTTAGATATATCTTCTGATATATCTTCTGACACGTGCTCCCCGTTGACCCAGAAACACTCACATGCCCTTTTCTCTTCAGCGCTTTGTCTCGCTGCCTTTTCACCTTTTATTTTCTCGCCTTAAGCCAGAACTTCTGAGTACAGTATGAAAATTGTGGCTTACTTATGGAACCTGCTGCGGACGTTCGTACCTTTGTGTTCCCGAGACTAATGAGGCACCTTTCGCAATAAAGATGACCGCACGCGACAAGAACATGCGTGATGTCGTTGTTACAGCACACCTAAATCAAACAAATAATACAGCATAAAATATTGAATTTACCACTGTGAAAACGCGTATTCATACCTGGCACTGCAATTGTTCCAGTACTTCTTCTTCTTGCTTTAATGCATCGCCGGCTTGTTTCGCTATCAAACTATTGTAGGAGTCCACATTCGACAGGGTTGAAGAATCCACGACTTCTCCTGCCTTTCTTACACTTTGTTTGAGCGCCTCGTTTTCTTTCGCGAGACGTTCGTTATCATTCTTTAACTATTTGATGTATGTCGGTATTTGGGCTTCCTGCATTTATGAAAAAAGAACAATTGAGTCACCCGCGCTGACAAAGTGAATGAACGCGCCTGAAACCTACCCTTTCAGTCATTTCGTTTACGGCTTTTTCTGCGTCGTTCTCTCGCTGTTTGATTTCTTCTTCTCTTTCTTCCTCTAGCGCCGCTATTTTTTTCTCGTGCCCTCGAAGCATTTCTTGAAGCTTCAGCTTCGCATTTTCAAGTTCCTTGTTCTTCGCCGCGAGGTTCTGCTCTTCCTTTCTCGATTTTCGCAGCTTTATTCGTATTTTTCTTCGTTCTGCCGAAGCTCTCCCGTGAGCTCACGCACTTGCTTTCACGTTTCATTTTCCGCTGATTTATTAGACGCTTTCTAAACTCGTCGTGCCGTCTCGATAATTTTTCATAGTTTCTCGTTCTCAAAGCGAGCTCGTTTTCCAACACCTCCGCGTTTTCTCTCGACGAGTTCAAAGCGAGCTCGTTTTTCAACACCTCAGCTTCCGCGCTTTCGACGATGTTTTCGAGCCTCTCGGTTTCAATTTTCATCTCTTTCCGCTCGCGCTCGAGCGCTGAAACCGCGTCAGACTTGACTTGTTTCGCTTTCAAAGTCTCGATCAGAAGCTCGTTCAGCTGCATTTCTACAACGTTGTATCTTCCATGAAGTTTTCTGATTATTGTACAACTACTCGTAAGATATTTCCGCCTTTTCCTGAAACCCTCCAACGAACCGAGAAAACGAGCAGAACAAAAAATAGTTTTTTTTTTCAACCAGACGGCTGTTCTCTCTCACGCCGAAGCCGCCGAAGCTAGATTTTGTGCTATGTTTAGGTGCTTCAGCGCCGTCTGGCGATTCTTGTAGTTGAGAAATTCCGTTCTCGGCACCTCCGACATGATTTCGCGAATGACCCCGATTCCTTTTGTTCGACCTTCGCGGAAGATTATTCGCGCCCCGCATTCAAGAAATTCCGGTCGGTGGCACCACTCGAACGTGACCAACGCGCGGTCGCCCGTACGGAGAACCTCCTTATCCCCACCCGCGATTTCACATATGCTCGCCGCCTGTCGCACCGTGACGCAGTGAAGCACGGGCGAGTACCCGACCTTCAACGTCGTCGGGTGGACCAATATCAAAACCTCCGCGGTGAAACGCCACGTCGCTCGCGGATTCCGATTCGGATCCACGAGCACCATACCTTTCCTGATGTCCTGCTTTGTGACGTGACCCTTCTTCGCCTTGATCGCGAACGACGCGGTCTGACCTCCATGGACGTTATCGACGGGCACGCGCTTGTTCTGAATGCCCTTCACCGTGACCGACACGAACGCGCCGTTGCCGTCGGGACCGAGCAACATCTGCTGTTGGTTCGCGATGCGACCGCTCAAGACGACGCCGCTGACGACAGTGCCGATGCCTTGCACCGTGAACGAATCGTCCAGGTGCACCATCCCGTGACTTTCCTCGCTGACGTCGAAGACGCGTCGTGTCGGGACGTGGTTCAAGAACAACCTGATGAGGTCCATGCCCTCGCCAGTGACGCACGACGTGTGGAACACCGGCGTGATCGTTCCCTCCGCGATCGTCTTGCAGCAGCTCAGGACGTCTTGCTCGTTCTTAATCACGATCGGCATCTTGTGCACCCCCGGGCGCTTCAGCATTTGCATCACCGCTTCGAACGTCGCGTCGCGGTTCTCCTTGGACGCGAAGTCGACCTTCGTGAGGACGACGAAGAACGGGACTTTCAATCCGAGCATGATGGAGAGGTGTTCCTTTGTCATCCCGACGACGCCACCGCGGTTGCTGTCGACGACGAGCATCGCAAAGTCGGGAAGCGACGCGGTCATCCCGTGCATCGTCGTCTTCAAATATTTCTCGTGCCCGCACAGGTCGCTGAAGTGAATCACCTTGCTCGACTTCGTCACGATCTCCGACCATCGAAGGCTGTGCGTCTCTCGCACGTCCGCGGACGCGTAATTCGTTATCGAACCGTCCGTTGCGAACCCGAGGACTTGTTGGCTCACCGCGGAGGACCTCCCGCTCTCGACCTCGTGCTTGAACTTGAACACGGAGCTTCGCGCGAGGCCGCGGCCGTTGTCCAGTCCTCCTTTGGTCAGGACGCCTAATATCGTCGACTTCCCGCTATCCACGTTCCCGACGGTCGTTATGCGAACCTCTTTGTGCGAGGTGTTGTCCAACCTCTTCCTGCACAGCATCGTCCGCGCTCGTTTCCCGTCCTTCACGAGCCGTTCCGCGACGAGCGTCGTGTCCGCGTCGAGCGCGTCTGCCATTCGCGCGAGCGTCTTGCACGACTCCTCGAGATCGTCTTCGTCTAGTCCTACTATTTCCCCGTCGTCTTCGACCCCGAGCTCGTAGAGCGCCTCGTTCGCGCCCTCGTGCAGGCGATATTGCAGCTGGGTGACGAGCTCTTGGAAACGCGCGGCGCTGGGGGAGACGAGGTGCCGCTTGTACTCGTGGTTGCCTTCCTCGACTTCCGGTTCCAGCGCCTCGCAGAGGTCGCTCGTGTGGAAAACGTCACCCATCGCGAGACGACGACGCGTCCGTCGCGACGGCGCGCTCGATGAGATGGCGTGACGTGGACACGAGTCTTTGTGCGAAAACCTGACTGGATGGATATCCGATTGTGAAAATGTTAGTTAACAAAGCAACCGGGGAGGCGGGTTCGTTTTCGTGAAAAAAATCATTCTTACAATCAAAACGTGTGTGAACGGTTCAACGCTAAATACTCCTTCGTATGCTAGTGGCGCGCGCTCTCGAATCCTCCTCGCCCCGCGACGCCTCGCTCGCGCGCGCTCCGCCGTCAGTCTCAAAACAAAAACGCGGACGCGGCGAAGATGCCGACCAACCCGAACTCGCTCACGACCGCGGACGGCGACGACAGCGCGCCGAGGGGAACGAGGTCGACCCTGAGCCACCCCTCCACGACACCCCCGACCGCGGACCCGGCGGCGAGGCCGAGCACGGACAGCGCGATCGCGCGCGTCAGCGTGAGATTCTTCTTCCGAAGCAACCAGACGGAGCCGATCATGGCGAGCGAGAGCTGCACCCCGGGCGCGTCGTCCACCCCGGGCGGCTGCGAGCAACCCTGCGCGAGGACGAGCGCGGCGAGCACGCCCAGCGCGATGCCGCTCTGGGTCAACGTCTCCGGGTCCGGCGCCTCGACCGCGGGGCGGGGAGGGAGCTTGTTCATCATGTCCCTCAACCCCGGGGGGAGCTTCTGTTTCACCGCCGCCCCCGGGCTGAGCACGTCCGCGTACTTCACGGTCTTGTCCGAGACCTCACCCTGCGAGCGCTTCATGAGGCTCCTCATGAGGACGACGTCGTACGCGGCCTCGACCTGTGGGGATGGAAGGGATCGAACTCGTCAGCGTCAGCGCCGCTCAGGGATCGGAGCGAGAAAAAACCCTGCAGCCGGCGCGCGGGCGCGAGGGGTGACGCACCATTTTCAACTTCTCGTCCTGGTCCCCGTACCGAGTCGTCATCTGGTTCTTCGCCTTGACCATGTCCTCGGACGACGCGTTCTCGCTCAGGCCTAGGAACTTGAGCGCGCCCTGGTAGTCCATCGTCGTGCTCTCCGGGCTGCCCCCGTCCGACGCCCTCGTGACGCACCCCAACCCGCGATCGAGGCTCTTCTTTTTCAACTTCGTCGAGAGCTTCGCGAACGCCCGACGAGATCCCACCCGAGCGGGCGGGTTCGATCCGGACTGGACGCTCCAGCTCACGGTCGCGCACGCCGCGCGCGCGCAGATGGTGTTCATCGTCGCCGCGTGCGTTTTTGTCGCTCGCCGCGCCGAAGATAAGTGAGGAACCCCGCGCAAGCTACACGTGATAAAAATATCTCCTGGATTTGATCTCTCGGTGCGGTGCGGGCGACCGAGGACGTCAGAAACGAGATCGACGATTTCTACTCGTATGAGCAAACAGTCTAAAAATGAATCGCCATGACTGGCGACCCGAGCTCGGTCGGCCCTGAGAAACGACGTCGACCATTAGGTTTGCGCGCGGTCGTCTACACGCAGGGTCACACGAGCGCGGGGTGGGTGCGCTCGCGAGTAGATTCCACCGACCGCGGCGCCGACGCGATACGCGAGACGTCGATCGCGATGTCGAACATCCAGCGGCAGAAGTACTCGATCAGCGCGCAGCAGCAGGATGACTGGTGCATCTTTTGCAAATGCTTCGTGCAGAAAAACGCGACCGCGAAGCGGAACCACGAGAACAGCGAGAAGCACAAGAAGAACGTGGAGATCAAGATGCGACAGATCAAGAAAGACGCGCAGAGGCAGCAGCGAGACGAGGAGAACACGAAGAACGCGCTGTTGAGCATCGAAGCGAAAGCGGCGGCTGCATACCAAGCCGATCTCGCAGCGGGCCCGCGCCCAGAGGACACGCACGGGCCCGCGCCGCTGAGCTCGGAAGCGCGAGCGCGATTGCAAGAAGAGCACGCGAAGAAAGAGCTCGAGAGCGCGCTCGAGACGGAGCTGAAAGCGCGAGCGGAGGCGGAGTACCGGTCGCAACAAGAGCGCGGCGTCTGGAAGTTCGACGACCGGTCGTCGTATTACTGGCACGCGAAGTCGTCGCACTACTTCGACCCGAAGAGCGGGATGTACTTCAACACGAAGACGAACGCGTGGCTGAAGACCCCACCGCCGGAGGTTCCACCGCCTCCGAACCCGGCCGCGGCAGCGGTCCCGGAAGCTCCCGCGGTGGACCCGGACAAAGAGGAGTTCCCGCTCGGGCCGTTTTCGAGCTCGAACGCGAAGGCGACGGCGGCGTTGGTCGTGCCCGCGCCGAAGAGCGCGAAGACGGACAAAGAGATCGCCGCCGCGGCCGCGGCCGCGAGCAAGATCGCTGGGTGGTCGCACGCCCCCGCGGCGGCGGCGGCGACGCAGCCTTCCCTCTCCTCCGCGGCGGCGGCGGCGGCGAAGAACCCGCGGTTGAAGGGCACGACGTCGTTGTTCAACCTCGGATACGGCACGAACCATCCGAAGTTCGAGGCCGCGCGCGCGAAGACGCAGGGGGCGGCGCAGCGGGCGTTGGAGGGCGCGGGCGGGCGCCAATTCGTCGCGCAGGACGCGAAGAAACTGGGGATGGTGACGAAGGAAGAAAAGAAGAGGAAGAAGGGCGACGCCGACGCCGCCGGGGGTAAGAAACCGAAAGTGTCCAAGGAAGAGGCGGAGGCTCTGGCGAAGCGAGCCGCGGCGAGGGCTCGCGTCGAGGCGAGGACGATGAGCGCCTTTGGGTTGCAGTGAGTTCCATCGAATCGCTGTTATTAGATTTAGACTAGACTAACGTAGAGTTTCACGGGAACAGAGCGTTCGCCGCCTGACGCAGAGTTTCACGGGAACAAAGCTTTCACCGCTGTTCGCACTTTCTTGACGCTCCCCGCGTTGACTAACATGCACAGCCGCATCGGCGTGAGATAATCGACCGCGTCTTGATCTGCGAATGATAGTTGGACGACGAATGTGATCGTCAGATTATGAAACACGCAAACACGCACGTGCGCGTTCGAACACGAGCGAGCGACAGATACAACTGACGGAGACGGGCGGTTCCATCAGACAAATGCCTCGTTTGTCAATCCTGTGCGACGAATCGCCCTCCGCGTCGTAAAAACTACGAGTGCAGAGGATCAGATTCGTCATCTAATAGTTTTCGTCATCACTTGGAACCGTCCCGCGACCGCGATCTCGAACGAGCGTGAAATGAAACTCGGGTGGTAAGGAAATCAACTGCTCAAGGAAGTCACAGAGCTCCAGCTGCCCTAGCGTGGTTGCTCTGCCTACGATCACTACAAGGTGAAGTGACACTGAGGATCACGACACTCTGACACAAGTGAGAGGCTGCGGACAGACAGAACGCGAAAGACACGACGGAACGGTGAAGTCGAGATCGAGCGCCACTTACCCTCCGCGGTCCGCGATTTCCACTGGAACGACCACTCGCTCTCGGCGTGGAAAAACTCATCCTCCGGGCGCGGGTACACGAGCGCGACTTCCCCCGCGCGTTTGCGCTTCTTCCCCCCCTCGTCCTCGGCCTCGTCGTCCATGTACACGCGCGAGAACACGATGTATTTCTTGAACTTAAACGACGCCCTCAGCTCCTCCGTGGGCTCGTCCTCTTGCGCCCACTCGATCTCGTCGAAGAGCCCCTCCACCAGCGGCGACGCCGTCTCCTGCGGGACGTTGATGACGCGCTCGTTGATGATCAGCCCGACGCCGTTTTCGCTCAGCGCGCTCGCGAGTTTGTCCTGCAGATCTTTCGGGCACTTGTTCTTCAAGTGCGCGCATATCTCCTTGATCGGCGCCGCGTCTTTCCTCGTCTGGAGGTTCATGACGCTCATCACCGCGACGGGGTCGCTCTCGTCCCCCGCGCCTTGGGTTTTCAGGCAAGTCCCGACCGTGCTCTGCTTGATGATCGCGTCGCACAGCTCGGAGCTGCTGAAGAGTTCGCCGTCTAAATAGTTCCCGAGCAGCGCCTTGAGCCCGAGGAAGTCGCTCTCTTTCGGGTCTTGGAACTCGAAATCGACCTGGAAGGGGGAGGGGATGGTGAGCGATCGCGCTGGCGGCGGCGCGTCGTAGGTTATTCGCGCGCGACGTCGTGCGGACGTGGACGGAGGCGAACCGAACTCTCGCGCGAGTACGATCGTGGACCTAGCTAGAGCACACCATGATTTCCTCTTCATCTCCGTCCGAGCCGTCGAGGTCCTCCTCGTCCTCCTCGTCGCTCCAGCCCGCGTCGCTGTCGTCGCTCTCGCTTTCCTCCGATTCTTCCGCCGTCGCTTCGACCTTCTTCTTCGCCGGCGCCGCCTTTTGCTTCTTCGCTTGCTTCTTCTTAGGAGGCATGTTCTACGCTAAGAAAAAAACAAGAGGACCGCCGCCGACGCTCGGCGCTGTCTGCTGCGACCGTGCCGTCGACACTGAGACGTGCGGGCGAGATGATGGCGGCGTGAGTGAAATTGCTTTCCACGTCTGGTGTGGTCGGTTTTTCATCAGGTCGAGTTTCAGCCACAGGGTGGCGTTCTATGTGCTACGTCTTCGCGCGTCGTTCTACTGCTCGTCGTCTTCGTTGTCCGCGTCTTTAACTTTCTCCGGAGGCGCGACGTTCGCGGCCTCGTCCAGCTCGAAGTTCTTCCTCGCCTCCTTGATCTCCTCGTTGATCCTCAGGAGCTCGTTCACGCGCGCCGTTTTCTTTTCGTCGTGGCGAATGATGTACAACAGATCCTCCGTCTTGAGGCTCCCGCGTCGCTCCGCGCACTCCATCGCCCTATTCGCGAAGTTCTCGAGGTACTCGAGGAGCATGTCCTCCACGAGGTCCACGGATTCGTCCAGCGGTTCCTCCACGTCCCCGAACCCGTACATCATGTATTTGATGTCCTTTATCAACAATCCTTTCTTGCTCTTCTTGAGGTCGATCTCCACGTCGTCGTTCGCTCGCGTCTCGGCATCGATGATCTCACCGACCGGGTCTCTGTTCGTCGGCGCCTCCTGTGAATAATGCAAGAAAGAAGAACGCGCGAGTCAGCGCGTGGACGCGAGTTCGAGGGAGCGGCGGCCTGCGACGACGACGACGACGACGTCGCGAATCTCACCTTCTCCGCGCCCGCTCTGCCCCTGCCTCGGCCACGGCCACGGCCGCGACCGCGACCGCGGCCGCCGGTCGCCCCCGGGTCTCCCGAGACCCTGGGTTTCTTCACCTTGGGTTCCTTAGACTTCTCCTTCGTCACGATCGCGGCCATCCCGGTGACGGGCACGCCTGGCGGTCCCTCCATCGCGCCCGTCGTTGTGGTCGAGACGGCGCGGCGTAACCTGCACTGGACAAACGAAAACGACGACGAACGACGCAGGCCGCGTCGGGTCGTCCCCACAACCGGACGCGCCGACGTCACCTCGTCTTCGCCGCTCCAGCGATGGTGACCCAGGCGTATTTGACGTTATACAACGTCGCCCAGGTGCGCGTCGTTCCGGTCCGCGCGCCTCGCCTCGGCGCCGCGCGTTCGCTCTCTAACAATCACATCCAACCTTCTCCTCCCCGTCGCAGACGATAGGGTGGGCGGCCGCGTTAGCGTTCACGTTGCGCTCGATTCTGACGCACGACGGCAGCCTCGCTTCGGTGTACGCGGACGCGGGCGAGTACGTCCGAACGTTCCAAGTCCTGTCCGTCATGGAGGTGTTTCACGCGCTGTTCCGCCTCACGCGGTCGCCGATGTCCGCGGCGTTGATGCAGTGGGCGGGACGGACGCACGTGTTGATCGCGGTGACGCACGCGACGCCGGCGTTGCAGTCGACGCCCGCAGCGGGGGTTCTCAACCTCGCGTGGGCGATCACGGAGGTGATCAGGTACCCGTCCTACGCCATGGGCGCGAGATGTCCGCCGTGGTTGAACTACTTGCGGTACACCGTGTTCATTCCGTTGTATCCGCTCGGCGCGGGAGCGGAGATGAAACTGATGTACGACTCCCTGCCGTCGTTCGCGAAGAGCGAGGCGTACAGCGTCGCGATGCCGAACAGGTGGAACTTCGGGTTCGATTACCCGACGTTCCTGAAGGTGTTGCTTTGCGTGTACCCGCTGCTGTTCTATCAGCTCTACGCGTACATGTTCGTGCAGCGGAAGAAGAAACTCGCCGGAGAAAAGGCGAAGAGCGCGTGAAGACGAACACACGTACGGAAGTAGTTGTACCTAATACTCGTGTATCATACGATAATATCCCTAAAGAACACTCTAGTCGGCGAGTGCGCAGCCTTCAACACGAACGACTTCCCCGCCTCCACGCTCGCGGGCGTCAAAAACTGCAGCGCCTCGTTCCAGCACCGACTGCTCTCCACGGCGCCGCACGTCGCCGTCATCGCCGGGTACGTGCACAGGTCCGCAGGCGCGTCCTCCTCCGTCGGTCGGTTCAGCGTCAGCGTGAACCAGAACACGACCGCGTTCGCGGTCCCGCTCGAGGTCGCGTCGACGACGACGTCGCTCTCGCGTGAGTAGTCCGCCATCGACGCCGGGTCGTCGAGAGGCGCGTCGAAGTCGAAACCGAACACCTCGAACGGCGCCGACAACGGCGTAAACTTCACCCGGTCCGCTCTCACGGACGTGTACTTCTTCACTTCCGGCGGTCGCAGGGTGTCGTACGCGGACCACCGAGACGCGCCGCCGCCGACCGGCGTCGAGCTCGCGGGCATGACGATCGGCTCCGGCTGCGGCGGCATGGACACGACCATCGCGTACACTTTCGCGGCGGCGGGGACGACCAACGCGCCCGGCGCCGCGAGCTCCCTTCGCGCGTGCGCTACCGTGGGTATCACGCCCTCGCCCAAGAGACCGTCGTCTAACACCTCGGACAAAACCACCGTGGGCCTCGCGCCGTCCGCGAACCCGAGCGTCTCCGGGGTCAGGTCTAACGACGACCCGTGCACGACGCGAATCTTCTCCGCGAAGCCGTTCGACGCGAGCACCGCGCGCGCGCACTCGGCCATGTCCCCGACGCGTTCGACGGTGATCACCTCCTCCGCGCCCGCTCGCGCGGCCATCATCGCGAGGAGACCAGACCCGCCGCCGATGTCCACGACCTTGTGCGATCCAGATGCCATGCACTTTTGAATCGCGGCGTCGTACGCGCGGTTCCTTCGCTCGTCGTTGATCATCGGGAAGTGCCACCGCTCGACGGACGCGCTGACGCCTTTCGCGAGGGGGCTCTCGCCCGCGGGCGTCGTCGTCGTCGTCGGTTTCGGCGGCGGCGGGGGCGCGTCCGCTTCCGCGTTCACGAACGTGAAGTGGCCCGTGGACGGATCGTACTTCCCCCGAAGACGCACGGTCGACCCTCGCGTCACGCGCGCCGGCGTCGCGAGGAAGCTCACCATCTGGCGCCGCGATCTCCGCCCTTCGCCGCCGCTGAGGACGCCGCCGACCATCTGACAGTCCGTCCACAGCGCGACCGCGGTGAGCTCGCCGTCCTCGATCGCTTCGAGATCCAGCGCGAGGCACTCCAGGTTCATCCCGTCGAGGCGCGCCTCGCCGTCCTCGCCCATCACGAGCGGAGCTTGCAAGGACACGCGCGCGAGCTCCGCCTCGCGCGTCACCGTGGCGTGTTTGACGTCGCTCAGGCGCACCAAGTCCACCGGGGCTTCGCCTCGAAAGACGTTGAACTCGCTCAGGTCGAACCCGGAGACCGTCCCCAGCGGCGCGCGAACTAAGTCCGTCTGCGCCGGGATGGTCACCCCCAGCGCTCGGACGCTCACGGCGGACGGCAGCACCGTCGCGTCGGGCGCGATCACGTTTTCCCTCGCCTCGATCGCGTCCTCGAACGCCTTGCCGACGCTCGCGATGTCCTCGACGCCGGGGACGAGGAGCACGCGCGCGAACCCCCCGGGCGCTTCTGGGCGCGCTTTCGGGTTCGGACGGTACACCCCCGCGCTCGCTTGGAGGACTCGCGTCACGCCGTCGAGCGCGCACTCCTTCACGCACGCGCGCAGCGCGGATGCGATCGGTCGCCGCGGCTCGAGCACGTGCACGAACCGCGGCTTGGACGGCATCGCGTCGCGCACGATCGCGGACGCGAATATCGGCACGCTCGGGAGCTCGCTCGGGTTGCTTATCACGTACACCGCGCCCTCCGTGGACGCGCACGCGGACGCGATGGAGTCGGACCACGCGCGCTCGCGCTCGTCGTCGTGCAGAGTCGCGAAGTGCCAACTCGTCGGTCGAATGAGGACGTCGTAGAGCATGTACTGCAGGAGCATCCCTCGAAGCCCGCGCTTGGGTTTTGGCTTGACGATCTCGTCATCGGACGAGTCGTCGCCCGGCGCGTCGGCGGCGGTCATCTAGGGCGCGCGGGGGATGACGCGCGCGGGGAAGTGTGCCAACCCGACCAAAAAGCAATCAGATCTAAAAGCGCGAAACGCGCGCCCAGGAAATCGCGTTCGTTCGTTCGTTCGCTGTGGCGGATTTTGAAGCCGCGGCCTCTCTCGCGGCCGTCCACTTGACGGAGCGCCAAGGAGGGTTTGGGCTCTGGAGGCGAAAACATACTCCACGCCGCTTATCATGACGGCGCACCGCGCGAACGCGGTCTAGGAGCGCGAGCAAGCATGAACGATTCGAGCTAAAGCGGCGGGGCCGCGTGCGGCGTGAAGAACAAATCGACGATGCTGAGGCTTCCCACGTCCGCGAGGAGGTTGGCCCTCGCGGTCGTCCTGTTCTTGTCGACGATGGTTCAGCCGGTGGAGCCGGCTACTCGCGGTCACGCGCATGGTGCGGCGAACGCGCGTATCCCTCCAGCGTCCACCGTCCCCGGTCCCCAACCCCCCCCGCGTTCGCTCGCCCGTTCGACGTCGCTCGACTCGACCCCCAAGTTAACGGCGTCATTCCAACCCGTCCAACCTTGCAGGCGCGGTCCTCGAGAGCGTCACACCAGACGTCGGCACCGCGTACGCGTTCACGGACGTCGAGCTGTACGGCACCGGTTTCAGTCGGCACTTGCCCACGCTCGGGTGCAGGTTCGGGGAGAACGTCAAGAAGAAGCTCGCCGTCTCGTCGCGGGCGGATGCCGTCGAGTGCGTCGCCCCCGCGTTGCGGCCCGGGTTCGTCGTCGTCGGCCTCGCGCACGTCACGGGGAAGTCGTACAACCCAGGCCGAGATGACATATCGCGCGAGGCGGGACACAACGTCTTCGAGTACGTCACGCCGTGGCGGATATCGAACGTGAACCCGGAAGAGTTCCCCGACGTCGGCGGCGTCGCGTTATTCGCCACGGGCGCGCACTTCCGACCGGATTTGCTGTGTAACTTCCGCGGCGGGAACTCGTCGGGCGTGTCCACGACGTTCGTGTCGTCCGCGCTCGTGATATGCGAAGCCCAGAGTTCCTCGAGCGCCGGTAAGAGCGCGGCGTTCATGCTGCAGCACGACTCGCATCCGACGCCGGACGGGCAGCAGGCGACGCTCCGCCGCCGCGGCGTCCCGACGGTGTCCCGCGGCGGCCCTCGCGTCGTCGCGATCGGCGGGTCCGTGGCGATATCGTCGTCCGCCGTGGACGAGACGACGCCCGCGATGTTATCGTGGCAGTCGCGGGTAGGGTGCTCGTTCGGGGGCGTCTGGGTCGCTGCCACCGCGGGGGCGACCGCGTTGGACGTGAAGTGCGTCGTCCCAGCGACGAACGTCGGGGAGTTGTTCGTCACGACGAGCGACCTGAACTCGCGCACGCCGCTGCCGTTCTTCGACGACGGCGTGAAACACGCGGGCGAGCCGAAGCACTTGGGAAGGCGCGCGGTGACGGTCACGGAATCACCGGTCGTGAGCGAGTTTGTTCCGTCCGCGGGGACGCCGATCATCCGCGGGACGTCGATGAACGTGGACGTGTACGGCGATCACTTGCACGTCGACACGACGTCCGCGCCGTTGTTGCATCTGTGTCTGACGCTGTCGAGAACGCTGGACGACGTGCGATTGAACTGCGTCGTCGCGATTAACGCGGGAACGAGCGCTCTCGAGGCCGCGAACGCGTTTAGCGTCGGGTTCAACGCGGTCAACGTGAGAGGCGGCGCGAGCGATCGCGCGAACGTCGAGGTTCAGTATATGCTTCAGAGCCCGCCGCAGATCGTGACGGCGACAACGACAGCGGCGAGCGCGGGCGACGTCATCACCGCGATAGGAGAGCACTTCGTGGACGCGATCACGCCGCTGTGGTGCTTCGCCGGGAACTCCATGCGCGCAGCGGACGTCGTGTCCTCCGCGCTCGCGCGTTGCGTCGTGCCGTGGGGGCATCACATGCCGGAGAGCACGCTGCATCGCGCCGGCGCGTCGAGCGCGTTGAAATTCGGCGTCATATCGAGCGAGAACTTGCAGAGCACGTCCAACCTCGTGTCGATCACGTGGTCACCGCGGCCGATGCACGCCACGGGCGTGGTCCCGAACGTCGGGTTCTCGCACGGCGGCGCGCCGGTGTCCGTGGTGTTGGAGAAAGGCGGCGCGAACGCGGCGCGGCAACGCGCGTCGGTATCGTGCCGATTCGGTACGATACATCCGGTGTCCGCGTCCGTCGCGAACGCGGAAGCGATCTCCTGTCTGAGCCCAGCGCTCGCGCCCGGGTCCGTGTCTGTCGGCGCGCCGGTGCCTTCGCTGGAGTACGTCGTCCTCGACGGCGCGGCGACGTTGACGACGGGTTCGATTTCGACCGCGCCGTCCGACGCCGCGGTCGCGGAGTTTTTCTTGTTCAGCTCGGGAATAGATTCTAGAATGGCGATTGGGTGCGCGATGCCGTCGTTGCAAGACGCGCTCGTGCCTGCGCGTCTGAGCGCGGACGGGCGGACGACGTGTCAGTTACCAGCGATGATGAAGCCCGGGTTTAAGACGCTGGACGTCGCCGTCGCGTATTTCGGGTCGCCGAAAAGTTTCGACGGTTTAGTGGAGTTCAATCCACCGTTAGACGTGTGGTCTTCCGTGCCCGCGCCAAACCTGGACACGCACGCGGCAACGCCGTCCAGGGGCGCGGCGAGGTTACACGACGGCATGGAGCTGTCGATAACGCACCCGCCGCCGACGGTGGTCGTGCAGCGGCCGATGACCGGAGGCGAGACGCGACCGGGTGATCTCGTATTCATCGCCGCCCCGGCGGGCGGGTTAGACGCGCGCGCGTGGTGCGTCCTGAGCGTCGGGACCGACGAATACAAGGTCGCAGCGACGTTCATATCGTCCGCGATCGCGGTGTGCGAGACGCCGACGATGGGACACCACGGCGTTCCTTCGTTCGACGCGGTCGTCTCCGTGTGCGCGTCGCACTCGCGGTGCGCGTCTGGAACGAACGCGTCGAGCGTCGTCGTGCTCGGGACTGAGAAGACGGTCACGGAGGTGTCCCCGCGCGAGGGGGGCACGGGCGGGGGGGTGAAGGTGCGGCTGCATCACCGAGGGTTCTCGAATCATCGGGCGTCGTGTAAGATCGGGTCGATCGGGCCGATCGCCGCGGCGAGCGCGTCGAAGGGGGATACCACGGCTGAGCTGGAGTGCGCGACGCCCGCGCGCGCGCCGGGGGTCGTCGCCGTCGCCGTCGGAATGGGCGCGGGATGGGCGGGTGAATCCGCGTTCACGTTCACGTTCGTCGACGACGGCGTCGAAGAGACGACGACGGCGGCGCCGGCGTTGGTTTCTCGCGCCGCGGCGAACGAAGCGAACGCGTTGTCCAGCGTGTTCGATTGCCCCGACGTCGCCGTCGGGGAGATCGCGACCGTGTCGCCGTCCTCGGGCGCTTCCGAGGGCGGCACGGAGATGATCGTCACCGCGGACGTGTCCCCGTCTCGGCAAGGGAGCGAGTGCGGGCTTCTGTTCGCCGCGTGCAGAGTCGGCACGATATGGCCGGTGCTCGGGTACGCGACGCCGCGCGGGGTCGTGTGCGTCGCCCCCGCTCGCGCGCCGGGCTCGGTCGTCGACGTCTCCGCGCCCAAGATGGTGACCGGCGCCGGGCGTCCGTTCGCGTTCGTCGACGCGCTCTCGAAGAACGACACCGAGCCGGCGCTGAACTTCTCTATGTCTGCCACGGAGGTGGCGAAGGCGTCGTCGAGCGCGTTCGATTGCGTCGACGTTGCGGAGGGTGAAGTCGTCGCCGTGTCGCCGTCGTCGAGCGCGAGCTCGGGCGGGACGGAGATCACGCTGACCGCGAGCGTCGCGGCGTCGCGACCGAGCGGGAGCTGCGGCATCCTCTTCGCCGCGTGCCGATTCGGAACGACGTGGCCGGTGCTGGGGTATCAGTCTTCTCTAGGCGTCGTGTGCGCGTCTCCCGCGCGCGCGCCGGGTTCCGTGGACGTCTCCGCTCCGAAGTTGGTGACGGGCGGCGGGCGGCCGTTGCTGTACCGCGGCGTCGACGCGACGACGGACGAGAAGACGCTCGCGCCGAAGGCTGACGAGCTCGTGGACGTGCACGTCAAGATCACGCCGAAGAACTCGGACTCGGGGGCGTTGGTAGACGCGACCACGGCGACGGCGATGTCGCGGCTCGTCTCGTGCGTGTTCGAATCGCCGGTTCGATCCGCGGCGCCGTGGCTCGTGGCCGCGACCGCGCACGTCATCTCGAGCGTCGTGACCAGGTGCGAGATACCGACGACGATGCCCGTGACCGGGGTCACCGTCGTGGAGAAGTCGTCCTTGCGTGCCGTGGACGCGACGGCGAAGCACTTCAGCGCGTACCGCGAATCTCCCTCGTGCGAAATCTCCAGGCTGTCCACGACGTTCGGTTCCACGACGGGCGGCTCGGTCACGCGAGTGGACGCGCGCTGTCTCGCGGGCGCGACGCTGACGAGCATCGACGCGAGAGTGGGATGCCGTTACGGCACGATCGGGCCGATCACCGCGTCCATGAGCGACGGCGACGACGGGAAGATTCAGTGCGTCTCCCCGGGTAAAGTCGCGGGCGTCGTCGCGTTCGCGCTGACGACGAACTGGCGCGACGCCTCTTTCGAGCCGGCGAGCGGCGTCCCCGCCGCGACGTTCGCGTACCTCAACGACGAGACGCGGACGTCGGACGCGGAGGACGAGACGCTCGCGCTGCGGCAGTCCCAGTCCCAGAACGCCCTGCCGCTCATGTCCAACGTCGTGCCGTGGCTCGTGTGGGGCGGGAACCAGCTCGTGCACGTCACCGGAAGAGACATGCCCGTGGGGTTCGACGCGGTGTGCCTCGTGGGGTCGTCGCTCGTCGCCGCGGTGCCGATTTCCTCCGCGCTGACGCTGTGCGATCCGTTTCCGATGTCGACCCTCGATCGCGTCTCGAACGCGCACGTCGCGGGGAGCATGCGAGAGGTCCAGCTCGCGGTGACGTCGCGCGACGCGCATTCCATCGCGCGCGCGCAGAACGTGTCGCAGATGAAACTCCCGCTCATGATCATCTCCGCCGCGGACGTCGTCGGCATCGACGTGTTCAACGGCTGGGAGCACGGCGGGAGCCACGTGAACGTCGAGCTCGGGGGCTGGGCGCCGACGGGGCTGATCGACTGCCACTTCGGCACGGTCGCGGTGCACGGTCGAGAGGGCGGCGGCGCGGGATGGCAATCGCGCGCCGCGATGGGGAGAACCGGGGAGTGGTGGTCCGAAGCCACGGTCGCGACGGACGTCGAGTGCGTCACGCCCGCGCACTCCTCGGGGCGCGTGCCGATCGGAGTTTCGCTCGCGCACTCGACGTCGCCGACGTACGGGAAAGTCGAGTATCTCTATCTGTGATTCGAATGGTTTCGTGTTACACGTATGCGCAAGGGACTACGGCGTCTTTCGCCTTCCCTCGCGTAGTAGTCTAGGAGTAGTTTGTTAAGGGCTCATCAAATGCCGTAGTAGTCGTCGTCCGATTCGTCGTCGGCGTAGAATTCGGAAGCCCAGTGGGAGGATTGCCTCCCCGTCGAGCTCGTGCGCTGTTGAAAGTCGTAGTGCGAGTACGCGCCGCTGTCGAACGGATCCGAGTACGTCGACCGCGACGACGCGTACGCGTCTTGCCTGTCCGCCCTCGCCTTCGCGGTCGCCCACTTCGCCTTCTCCGTGGGGTTCGTGAGGATCCGCTGCGCCTCGCCGACGAGCTTGAAGAGCTTGCTCGACATCTCCGCGCGCGCGGCGGCGACGCGCGCGCTGACGCCGCCTCTCCCAGCCTTGTCCGGGTGATGCGTCAGCGCGAGCTGCCGGTACGCTTTCTTGATGCTCGGATCCGCCGCCGTCGCGGCCGCGTCCACGCCGAGGAGCTTGCACCAGTTCACCGGGCGGCTGTTCTTCGCCCTCGCGCTGACGGCTTTTAAATTCGTCCGCGCCTGCGCCTCCTCGCTCCCTTCCAGCGGCAGCTTCATCATCGTCTTGTACGCCGCCTCCGCGTCAGAGAGCATGTCGAGCTCGGTGTACAACGTCGCGAGGCGGCTGTGCGCTTTCACGAACGTCGGCGCGATGCTCACCGCGGTCCCCGCGGACGACAGCGCGTCCGCGAACCTCCCTAGCGCTTGCTCGCATGCGCAAATGTTCGAAAGGAAGAGGCCTTCGAGCATCGGCGCGCCTTTCGCCATCAAAAGCGACTCTTGGTACATCGCCAGCGCGTGCTGGTGGTTCCCTTGGAAGAACGCGTCCCTGCCTTCGTCTTTAAACTCCGAGACCTTGTTCGCGCGGTCGAGGAGCTGCGACAGACCTTCGGGGTCGGGGATGGACGCAAGCTCCGCGAGCGCGGCTTCGTCCTCGTTTTCGTCTTCGTCGTCGTTTTCGTTTTCGTTCGCGTCGCCGCCCGCTTCTTCGCGTTTCTTGTTCTTCTCTTCCGCCGCTCTCAGCGCGGGTAGCATCTGCAAAAGGTCGACCACGTGCTCGCCCGCTTCGACGCACGACGTGACGTTCCCGAGGTCGAACTGCAGGCGCACCTCCAGGGCTTTCCTCCGCGCGTTGACGCTCTTCTTCCCGTTCACGATGGCCTGCGCTTCCTCGATCTTCCCGACGAGCCTCAACGCCTCCGCGCGCAGGGTGATAAAGTCCGGCACCGCGGGCGCGATCACCATCGCGACGTCGAGGTCGTCCAGCGCCTTCGTCGCGGCGGCGTGCACGTCGAACGCGGGGTCGGCGTCGGCGCCGCAGCGCGTCGTGATCTCCGCGCGTTTCAACGCCTCCCCGACGTCCGTCATCGCGCCCTCCGCGATTTCCACGTCCCGCAGCACGTTCTTCGCCTCCGCTTTGCTCTGCAGCTCCGCGTTCGCGCGCGCGATGACGTCGTTCGCTTCTTGCCTCGCTTCCACGAAGTCGCCGAGCTGGAGCAAACACCGCGCCAGGCGCACCTGCGCTTTCGTGTGCGTCCCGTCCAGGCGAAGCGCGGCGCAGCAATCCTCCGCCGCCGGGAGCGGCTTCCCGATCATCAAGTTCGCCGCCGCGCGGTTCGTGTGCAGCCCCACCTTGATCGTCTTCACGCTCTCCGTCTCTTTCGCCTCCTTGCCCGCGTCGATCGCGGCGTCGTACCACCGCAGCGCTTCGAGGTAGTCCCCGTTCCGGTACGCGTCGTTCCCGACGAGCCGGTCGCGTTCGACGGACGCCGTGATTATCTTTTGGTGCTGCTCCAACGCGGCGTTCAAGTCCTCGTCCGTCGCGTCGGGGGACAGAGATATCCCGTCCACGTGCTTCCTCGCCGCCGCGAGATCCCCGAGCTTCACGCAGCAGTTCCCCGCGCGGGACAGCGCGCGGACGTTGCACGGGTTAATCTCGAGCACGAGTTCGCACTCCGTGAGCGCGTCGCGCATCCGTCCGAGCGCCATGAGCGCCGCCGCTCGGTTCGTCCGCAGCGTGAGATGCGACGGCTCCTCTAACGTGATGCCGCACGACTCCAACGTGTCGATCGCGTCCTTGTAGTGCCTCTCCGCGTCCAAGCTGTTCCCGAGTCTGTACGCCTCGTTCCCTTTCTGCCGCCACTCGTCCGCGCGTAGGATGGCCTTCGCCTGTCTCTCCGCGAGGCCGCGCGCGGCGTCCTCCTCCTCCCGTCGCGCGCGCTCGTCCTCGATGAGCTTCTCCGCGACGCCGACGTCCTCCCACGCCTGATGCGCGCGTCGTTGGAACGCCTCTCTCTCCGCCTCCGCTTTCTGCAGCGCCTCTTTCGCGTTCCGGACCTCCTCCTCGGACTGCACGAGCTTCAGCTCGAGCTCGACGTGATGCAGCTCCGCGCGGCGCAGGTTCATCTCGAGCTCCGCGTCGACTTGCCTCCTCGCCTCCGCTTCCTCGTCGTCGCCCGCGTTCTCGCGCTCGAGATTCGCGGCGTCGGCGTCGTCGCGGAACGAGCGATCCGCGTCCTCTCCGTCGAACTCGCCGTCGAGGTCGTACTCGTCGTTCCAATCGTCGTCCTCGAGGTCGGCGCCGTCGTCCAGGCCGAGCCTCGTCATCGTCGCCGCGAGCTCGTCGCGCGCGGACGCGGTCGCCTTGGCCGCGTCGTCCGCGGCGACGTTCGCTTTCAGCGCGTCGTTTTCGTTCTCGCCGTCGTCGGAGACGTCCGGCGTGTGCGGCGCGATGTCCGCCGCCTTCGACGTCGCGTCTGGCGCGTTCGCGTTCAAATCCTTCGACGCGACCCGCGGCTCGAGGAGAACCTTCTTCGCGTTGACGACCGGCGCGGCCCCTGACGCGGTCGTCGCCGCCGGCTTCACCGGGTCGTCCATCATCGCCCCGACACCGCCCGCGCGCGCCTTCGCCGCCTTCGGTTTCGCCATCGCGTGCGTCGCGCCGTGTCGCCGTGCCCCGCGCCCCGCGTTGTGCTCTGTTGACCGCCGCTTCCATCGGATCCAACGAACACCGCGGCTGGATCGATGTTTGAAAACGCGAACAGAAACAGACGACGAAATCTCGGGTCGGCACTTTCGACGCGCGGAGAGGACGAGCGCGGCGGCGACGCGGGGATGGCCGAGGCGTAGACGCGCGAAGAGCACGGGAGAGACGTTCGATTAGATAAGAAACCTCTCGGACGTCATGCCGCGGGAAATCATCACCGTGCAGGTCGGGCAGTGCGGGAACCAGATCGGCTGTCGCTTCTGGGAGATGGCGCTGAACGAGCACGCGGCGTACAACGCCAAGGCGCGGTACGACGAAGCCCTGAGCAGCTTCTTTCAGAACGTGGACGCGCGTCGCGACCCGCCCGTGAACGTCCCCGTGGGAGACCCGATACGCGCGCTGAAAGCGCGCGCGGTCGTCGTGGACATGGAAGAGGGCGTCACGAACGAGCTCCTGACCGGGCCGATGCGAGACGTGTTCGATTCGAAGCAGTTCATCACCGGCCAGAGCGGCTCCGGGAACAACTGGGCGTGCGGGTCGCACCACTACGGCCCGATGTACCGCGAGAGTCTCTTAGAGCAAGTCCGTCGGCCGGTCGAAGAGGCGGACTCGCTGCAGAGCTTCATGTTGCTTCACTCCCTCGGCGGCGGCACCGGGAGCGGGCTCGGGTCGTACCTCCTCGCCGCGCTCGCGGACGAGTACCCGGACGTGTACCGGTTCAGCGTGTCCGTGTTTCCCTCGGACGACGACGACGTCGTGACGTCGCCGTATAACGCGATGCTATCGTGCGCCGCGCTCGCGGAGCACGCGGACTGCGTCTTACCCGTGGAGAACCAGGCGTTGATGGACATCGTGCAGTCGATCGAGGCCAAGTCGAAAAACGCGTCCCCGTTCGGCGGACGGAGCGGCGGCGTCCTCTCCGGGTCGTCCCTCAGCGGCGTGGACGGCGGCGACGTCGCCGGCAGAGCAGGGCACGGGGGGAAGCCGTGGGACGGGATGAACGGCATCGCGGCGAATTTACTTCTGAACCTCACCGCGGGGATGCGGTTCGACGGCGCGTTGAACGTGGACATCAACGAGATCACGATGAACTTGGTGCCGTTCCCGCGGTTGCACTTTCTGCTGTCGTCGATGTCTCCGGTCGTGACGCCCGCGGACAGAGGGATGACCGTCCCCGCGCCGAGAACTTTGGATCAGATATTCTCGGAGGTGTTCTCCACGGACCGACAGCTCGCGAGCGTGGACCCGAGACGGAACACGTACATGGCGTGCGCGTTGCTCATGCGCGGCGCGGTGAACATCTCCGACGCGAATCGAAACGTGGAACGGTTGAAGAGGGGGTTGAAGATGGCGCACTGGGTCAGCGACGGGTTCAAGGTTGGGCTGTGCGACCGCGCGCCGGTGAACTCGCTGTACAGCGCGACGTGTTTGGCGAACAACTGCGCGATGCAGAAGCCGCTGAGCGCGATCTGCGAGCGGTTCCACAAGCTGCGGAGGAAAAAAGTGTTTTTGCATCACTACACCGAGTACATGGACGTAGAGGACATCGACGGCGCGGCGGCGAGCATCGGGAGCTTAGCGGAGGAGTACGCGCGCGTGGACGCGAGTCGCGCACCGGACGCGGTGCCCTCCATCGCGCCGCTGGGGTTTCGGTGACGGGGGGCGGCGCGCTGTTACGTTGTGTCACCGCATCTTATTCAAAACACCGCTCGCAGTCTTCGACAAGACTTCAAGATGCCCTCTCTAACCGAGCCCAACGTCGTGCTCGCGTGATGCGCGACCGACTCGACACGTTCTCGCGACTCTCCGCCAACGTCCGTCGTTGGTCGCGCGCTGTGACGCCGCGCCCCGGGCGCGTTCTTCCGTCGTCGTCCGCCAATCTGGTCGAACTCTTCTCCGCCTCCTCCACAATCTTCTAAGTTTAAACCCCCACCAATCCAGGCACCCCCAGCCGAGCCTACCCTTGCGCGTACCTGCGCGTCCACTCCGTCGCCGTCTTGTCGTGCGCGGCCTTATCGTTCAGGAGCTGCTGCGCGATCGTCCCCACGAGCGGATCGTGCGGGTTCGCGTCCGTGAGCAGCGAGCAGATGGACAGCAGCACCTTCGAGATGGTGAGCGCGGGGCTCCACTGATCTTTAAGAATGTCGAGGCAGATCTGGCCGCTGCTGTTCACGTTGCAGTGGTAGATGCGCGTCCTGAACGTCACCTTCGGGGGCTTGAACGGGTAGTCCGTGGGGAAGTGAATGTCCAGGAAGAAGACGCCGCCCGCGTACGGGGACCCGCCCGGGCCCATGATGGAGGAGACCCACTCGTACAGGTTGTCGCCTTTCGGCCCCGCGCTGCAGTTCGTCGGGGGCTCGAGCGAGATCTCCGCGAGCTCCTTCTGGATGCGCTTCGCCGAAGAGCTCATCGAACCTTTCGACATCGTGACGTGTGAGAACGCGCGCGCTCTTCAAACGGGGATGACGTGCGCCCGCGAGTGGTGCGCGCTCGAATGTGACGTCGCGTCGCGTCGCGCGTGGGGAAGTTTGAAAAGTTTTTTGCCGCGGTCCAGTCGCGGTCACTGACAGGCAGACAGGCTGACAGGCGGCAGGCAGGCTGGTGTTCATCACATCTCGCTACAAATCCATTCGTTTTCTCTCGCACGTCAGACCGCGACGCCCGCCTCCCTCCCCTTGCGCACGAAACTCCCGGTCAACTGCCCGCACGCGGCGTCCGCCTCGAGCCCGCGCGTTCTTCGAACCGTGAACGTCACCCCCCGCTCCTTCGCGAGCGCGTCCGCGAACCGCTTCACCGCGGTCTTCGACGGCCGCGCGTGCGCGTCCTCCGCGCCCGTCACCGGGTTCCACGGGAGCAGGTTCACGTGCGACCCTCTCCCGACGCGCGTCCGCAGGAGCCGCCCCAGCGCCCTCGCGTGCTCGGGGGAGTCGTTCTCGCCCGCGAGCAACGTGTACTCGAACGTCAGACGTTTCCCGGTCGACTTTTTGTACAGACGGCAGTCCTCGAGTAAGTCGTCGACGTGGTACGCCTTCGCGCTCGGTATGAGCTTCTCCCTGAGCTCCTGCGTCGGCGCGTGCAGCGACACCGCGAGCGTGGCCTGGAGCTTGTGCGCCGCGAGCTTCGAGAGCTGGTTCGGGACGCCCACGGTGGATATAGTGAAGTATCTGCCTCCGATGCCGACGTCCCTGTTCAAGCACCGGTGCGCGCGTAAAACCTCTTTCAAGTTCATGAGCGGCTCGCCCATGCCCATCATCACGACGTTCGTCGCGCGGCGGCCGAAGACGTCCTCGAGCGCGAGCACTTGGTTCACGATCTCGTCGGAGGTCAGATTACGCTTGAAACCCTGCCTTCCGGTCGCGCAGAACGAGCAGCGCATCGCGCACCCGACCTGAGAGGACACGCACACGGTGAATCGCCTCCGTCTCGTCTCTCCGACCTTTTCCCCTCCGCCGTCGCCGCCGCCGCTCGCGGCTTTGGCTTTCGCCGCCGCCTCGAGCTCTTCGCGCCTCTCCTTCTTCTTCAATCGCGCGGCCGCTTTCATCCTCTCGTCTCGCTGCACTTTCAACCGACCGAGACGCACCCACCCGTCTTCGTCCGCGGCGTCGTCCAGGTCCACCGCGTCTTCGCCGTCGTCTTCGTCTTCGTCTTCGCCGTCGTCGTCGTCGTCGTCGTCGTCGTGCTCGTCGCCGTCCTCGTACAGGGCGTAGCCTTCATCCGCGTCCCTCAGCGTCTGCACGTCGTTCATCTCCTCCGGGATCCCGACGGCTTCGATGACGCTGCCGCATCGTAACTTCAGGAGCACTTTTTTGGTGCCGTCCGGGGCGGCGACGACGTCGATCGGACGCACTCGTCCGACGTGGACACCGGACGCGCGAAGGGATGAACGAAACGCTTCCGGGATCTGCGTTATCGCCTCGATGGCCTCCTTACGATGCGAATACACCGCGTCGTGCAGCTGCTTGCCTCGGTACCCGGGCTGCCCGTGCTCTTTCGCGAGCTTCGTCAGGGCGTCCACGCCCAGCCCGAGCAACGGCGTGCGATGCGCGTCGCCGTCGTCGTCGTCCGCGACGCGCGAGGACGTCGACGCCGGCCGGCTCCTCGCGATGGATTCGAGCAGCGCGGTCGACACGACGCGCGCGCATCCCTCGACGCCGCCTCGCCGTAGCAGCGACCCGGCCACCGCGAGCGCTCGCATCGAACAATGGCGAGACGCGTCGAGCGCGGGCGAAGAACTACAACCTAATCTACGGGCGGAGAGTTTTCGATCGGCGCGGCAGGCAGACGACGACGCGAACGATATGATATGTTGTATACATCGACAACGCAGAGATTACGCTATCATACAGTGATGTGTTGTCGTTCGCTTCTGCGATCGCGCGCGCGAGCTCAGTTCTTCAACTCGAGCTCCGATATCGAGTTCACGGCGTCGAGGCGCTTCTTCTCCGGCGCCTGTTTCGCCTTCGCGGCTTTCGACTCTCGATTCGACTTGCTCTTCTCGAGCTGTTGCGTGCGCTCGTTGATGATCGCCCCCATCTCGCCGTGCACGCCGTAATCGTGCTCTAACACCCACTGCATCTGATTCGAAGAGAGCACGAGCACCTTCATGTGCGTCACCGCGCGCACGTCCGCGCCGCGTCTCCCGCCCAGCCACTTGTTCTTCACGCGCAAGAGCGTCGCGACGTTGAGCACGCCTCTCGTGGTGCTGCTCAGCTCTCGCTTTTTGTTCTTCTCCCCCTTCTTCTTGCCGCCGTCCTCGATTTTCGCGTCGGACACGGTGTCGATGTCCGCCACGCCGGCGCCCTGCTGCGTCTTCACGCCCATCTCGCCGACGAATTCGCCCGCCGTGCGCTCCGCGACTTTTTCCTCTTCTCCGTCCTCGGTCCTGACGACGACCTCGCACGTCCCCTCTTTGATCAAGAACACCTCCTTCGCGCGCTCGCCTTGGCGGATGAGCAAGTCCCCGGGATCGTACTCCCTCGTCTCGAGATCCGAACCCATCTTCGTCTCCGCGAACCGCTGCATCCGCGAGCGGTTGATGGTCTTGTCCATCCCTAAATTTTTCGACGACAGCGCGCCGGAGATCCACTTGTGCTCGAGCGCCTCCACGGCGGTGAGCCGGCTCACCGCGTCGTGATCGAGCAAGCCCTTGATGAGGTCCATCCCGGCCGCGGAGATGTCCTCCGAGGGCTCGTGCATCTTCCCGCGCGTGATGCGCTTGTACATCGCCTGCTCGTCCTCTTCGTAAAACGGCAGTTCGCCGCACAGGAGCGCGTACATGATGCATCCCGCCGCCCACATGTCCACCGCGGGGGTGTACTGCTGCCCGGCGATGACCTCGGGGGCGACGTACGCGGGGGAGCCGCACTGCGCGCTGAGCTTCCCTCTGGCGTTCCTCATCTTCTTCGCGAGGCCAAAGTCCGCGATGCGCACGGAGTTCAGGTCGTTCGGGCGCGCGAGGATCAAGTTCTCGAGCTTCAAGTCTCTGTGCGCCATCGACTTCTCGTGTATGCTCTCGAGGCCGATGAAGAGCTGCTTCATTATGCACGCGGCGTCGCGCTCTTGATAGCTCCCGAGATCCATGACGGCTTCGAGTAACTCGCCGCCTTCGAGGAGTTCCATGATGACGTACACGATCCTCTTCGTCTGGTAAAAGTCGTACACCTTCACGATGTTCTCGTGCTGGATCGACATCGTGAGTCGAATCTCCTCCGCGATCTCGTCCATCGTCATCCCTTCGTCCGCGTCCCCGTCCTTCGCGACGTTCATGATCTTCACCGCGTACCGCTTCTTCGTCCTGACGTGCGTCGCTTCCTTCACGACGGCGAACCCGCCGGTGCCGAGGACGTTCCCGAACGAAAAGTCCGCGAGTATCGCCGTCGTGATCCCGCCCGTCGTCTGGTGCCGTCGCGGCGGGTTCGGGTACGTGAACGTGTGATCCGGGAGATCGGCGACCTCGACGTAGGCGCCGCCTCCGCGCGACGACGCGCCGCGGGAGCTGGCGTCGTTCGCGCCGTCCGCGGGCTCGATCGCGTCCTTGACGACCCGCGTCGCGTGCTTGCTCGCGGTGCACCCCATGACGTCGCCGCCGTCGCCTCGCCACTACTGTGGTCTACGCACGTGTCCGCAGAAAAAATAACAAATCGGGTTTTCGACCGCGGACTCGACGGGGGGACCGCTCGCACGCCGCGAGTGGCGTGGATCGCGCGCCGCGGACGCGCGCGGAACGAACGGTGATGCTCGGCGCCCCCGGCGAATATCGGTCCAGACCCGCGCCCTCGCGGCCGTGAGAGTGCCGCCTCGCGGGCGGAGGACAAGTTTTTGGTGTTTTTGGTGTTTTTGGTCCCTGCGCAGAGCCGCGCAGGGACCGGGCGGGGGATTGAAAAAAGAAAAAAAAAGGAAATTTAATCAAAGAAGCTGACAAGCGCTGCGCGCTTGCGAAACGGCGGCGTCTCGGTGCCGAAGAGAAGCTCGACATCACATCCACCAGCGCGTCGTCGGTCGCGACGGTCGTCGCGCGCGATGCCGCGAACACGAGGAGGCGCGGACACGACGCCGACGAAGGATCCTCCCGCGGCGAAGAAGACGCCCAACACGGCGAAGAAGACGCCCGCGGCGACGGCGAAGAAGGCGGACGCGAAAGTCGACGATGTCGCCGAAGCGAAAGCGCCGCCGACGACGGAATCCGCCTCGAAGCCGCCGAAAGCCGAGGGGAAGCGCAAGCCGAGGACGCCGAAAGGAAATCGACCGGTGACCGCGAAAGCGCCCGCGGAGAAGGCGACAGAGCTCGCGACGCCCGGGGTGACGAAGAAGAAGAAGAAGAAGGTGAGGAAGCCGAAGACGCCGACGAGCGGCGGCGGTTCGATGGCGCCGAAATCCAGCGCGGGCGGGGACGGGAAGTGGAAGCCCGGAGACTGGGCGTGCGCGAAGTGCGGGATGCACAACTTCCGCGGGAAAGACGCGTGCTTCCGCTGCAAGTACGCGCGCGCGAACTCGTTGAAAGCCGCGAGCGCGGAGAGCGCGATGGCGTACCTCAAGAAGCGAGAGGAGGACGGCAGCGGCGCCGTCGGCGCCGCCGTCGACGCGGTGCAGCACCAGTGGCTGATGAAACATCACGGGATGAACCTCGTGAACGACGCGTGTTTCGACGTGTACGTCCCGTACGTGAAGCAGCTGGACGACGCGCACAAGTGGCAGATCCTTAAGGCGGCGCGGTTAGCGGTGACGAGGGCGCAGAGGTTGGTGGACGCGTTGGCCGACACGCCCGAGACGGCGGCGCCGACGAAGAAAAAAGAGCCCCCCCGCCGCGACGGCGGCGGCGGCGGGGGCGGGGGCGGGGACGGCTCGGCGAAGAAGAAGAAGAAGAAGAAGAAGAACAAGAGCGGCGGCGGCAACGGCGGCGGCGATGAGGGGAAGGCGGGCACGCCGCAGGAGAAATCGAAAAAGCGCGAAAGGGAGGAGGACGGCGGCGGGGACAAGAAGGAGCACAAGTCGAAAAAGGCGAAGAAGGCGAAGAAGGAGAAGCGCGACAAAAAGGACAAGAAGTGACGGCTATCGACGCTCGCGTTTCGTTGCATTAAAACTTCATCTTAACTCTCGTTCGTCGCGTCGCGTGCGTACCCCCCTCCCCCTCCCATCCCGGCGTCCCCGCCCACCTCCTCTCACAGATCGTCCGCGTTCACGGTCGCGGAGAACATCTCGTCCGTAGGCTCCAAGAACGCACCCGCCGCCATCGGCGCCGGCGACGACGCGATCGGCGGCTTCCCGCGTCCCATCGTGACCCCGCTCGCGGCGAAACCGCCAAACCCGCCGGCGCCGGAGCCGCCGAAGCTCATGCGCTTCCTAACCTCCTCGGCGACCGCGACGCTCGGTCCGCCGCCGCCGTTCGAGACGTCGCCGAACGGGCTCCGGCTCCGCGCGCCGCCGTCGCCGCTGTCGACGGATCGCAAGAGCCCCTCCGCGCGTCGTCGTGCGTTTCGGCACGTGTCGATGAGCGCTGACGGCGTCTGCGTCGCCGGCGCCGCCGCGCTCTCGACGTCGACGCCGCCCGGGACCGTGCTCGGGCCCGGCTTCTCGTTCGACGCCGCGGCGGACGCGGACCCGGCGTCGCTGCCCGGGGTCGCGTCGTCGAGCGGCGCGGCGGCGGCGATGGCGCCCGCCGCCACCGCCGCCTCGAGTCGCGTCTTCTCGGACGCGTACTCAGCCTTTTTCATCTCGAGCTGCTCCTCCGCTCCCGCGCCTTCGGCCTCCTCGAGCTGCTTCATGTCCTTCTCGAGGACGTACAGCGAGAAGAAGGGGCACCGCTTGTGCGACTTCTGGTGCCCCTCAACGCGAGTGTCGAAGAACGACGCGCACGCGGTGCACGCCGGTTTCTTCAATTTCATTTTTTTCCCGCGCCCGCCCACCACCGCGGGGGTCACGCACGTCTCGTCCCACTCCGGGTCGTTCGCCGCGGCTTCGTCCTCGCCCTCGGAATCGGACTCGGACATGTCGTCGTCGTCCAAGAACGTCGGCGCGGACTTCTTCTTCTCCGGCTTCGCCTCGTCCTCGGCCGGGGACGCGCTCAACGACGACGGACCGACGGCTTGCCACGGCGGCCGCGTCGCGGGTTGCTTCTTCGCGCCGGCGCCCGTCTTCTTCTTCAGCTGACGGAGCACCGCGTCCGCTTCCGCGACGACGTCGCCGCCGGGGGTGACGCGCGACATCGCCTCTTTCAGCGCCGGAAGCGCGGCGAGGAGCTCCCCTGGCGCGGCGCCCTCGCCGTTCACGGCGTTCACGCGTTTCCGCGCCGCAGCCGCGGCGTTGAACATCAGCACGAGGAGCGATCGCGCCTCGCCCAGCGACCGCACGCGCTGCCAGCGACGCATCCCACCTCTGGTCTCTTCTCTCTCCTCGCTTCGATACAGGCGCTCTTGAAGCGCCGCGATCTGCTCCGTGACCGCGCGCATCTCTTCCTCGACGGCGGCGTCGTACTGCGACGTCTCGTTCGAGCTCGGCGTGGAAAACGACGCCTTCCCGGGCGACGCGAGATGAGGAAACCGGCGGCCGAGCGCGGCTCTCTGCGCGAGCGACTCCTCCAGCGCCGCGCGAAGCTCAGAGCGCTCGACCGCGGAGGCGATCTCGTTCTCGATCCACGCCTTCCTCTCCGCGAGGCCCAACCCGGTGCCGGTGCCGGCTTTGTCGTCTCCGGCGGCGGCGGCGGCGGCGGCGGCGGCGGGCGCGGTCGCCGCGGTCGCGGCGGCGGCGGCGGTTTTCTTCCTCGAGTTCGCCTTCGCCGCCGTCTGCAACGCGCGGAGCTGCTCCCTCGCGCTCGCAGCCTCCTCCGTCTTTCGCCGCAACACCGCAGCCTGCCTGTCCACCGCAGCCTGCGCCTTTTGCGCGGCCGCGGCGTGCCTCCTCCCGTCCTTCCTCGCCGCCTGCAGCGCGCGCTCGGCTTCGCGTTGTCTGTTGACGCCCTCCTTGGCAGCCTTCTCCATGCGACGCACGAGATCCACCCGCGCGGCGCGAAGGCGCTGGATGTCCGCCTGGAGCGCCTTCGCCGCCTGGTCGCTCTTCTCGCGCAGCCGCGCGGCTTCTTGGTGCTTCGCCGCGAGCCTCTGGACCTCCTTCAGCCTCTTCTCGAGCTCGGCCATTCGACCGCGGTTCTTCGACTCCACGGCGAGTCGGATGTCCTCGCCGTGCTTCGCCGCGTCCGCGAGCTCCGCCGCGAGCGCGTCCCTCTCCGCGGCGAGCTCGGACTTCTCGCTCTCGAGCGACGCGAGCAGCCGCCCGTACTTCTCGCGGAGTTCCTCGACGTCGTCTTGCATCGGCGTCCCCGGCGTCGGCGCCGCCCCGGGGGTTTGGGACTTCACCGCGCTGTCCACCTCCGCCTGGAGTCGCCGCGCCGCGCTCGACATCGCGCGCATGCGCGCCTCTTTCGCGCGAAGATCCCTCTCCACGCCCGCGAGCTCAGCCTGAAGCTCGTCGTTCGCGGCATCCTCCGCGTCGTCGACGATGTCGTCCTCCTCCTCGTCGATGTCCGCGTCGTCGTCGTCGTCGTACGGATCCGCCGCGGCGTCGTCGTCGATGTCGTACGACGCCGCGGGGTCTTCGCCGTACGGGTCCGACCGCCCTTCGTACGCGGCCGCGAGCTGGTGCTTGAGCCGCTGCTGCTCCGAACGAAGCGCTTGAATCGTGCTGAGGTAGCCTCTGATCACGTTCGTGCCGCCGTCGTCCTCGGCGTTCGACCCCGCGTCTTCGAGTTTCAACCTCAGGCGGTCGCGTTCCACCGTCGCGGCGAGCTCGTTCGCCTGGCTCGCCGCCGCGGCTTCCTCCGCGGCGACGACGTCCGCCCGCAGACGCGCAGCCTCCGCCTCCGCGCACAGCGCGCGAGCTTCCATCGCGTCGAGCTTCGCGCACGTCGACCCCGGGGCGAACCCGTCGCCCTCGTGGCGCGTCCCGGGTCCGACGCCCTCGACGCGGAGCTTCGCCACCTCGGCGCGCGCGGCGGAGAGCGCGCGTCGAAGCCTCGCCACCTCCTTCGACGCGCCCTCGTCGAAGTTCACCGTCGTCTTGTTGATGATGTTCCGCGCTCGGTTCGCGTACTTGAGCGTGCTCATCGTCTCGTCCAGGTTGGCGTCCGCGGGGGAGATGCACGCCACCATGACCGTCCGCGAGTTCCCCCCGAGGGAGTCCTGCAACAGACGCGTCAGCTTCGAGTCGCGGTACGGGACGTGCCCGCCCGCGTGGCGTCGCTTGTCGTCCCCGAGCGCGCTGATCACGTTCCCGAGTGCGAGCAGACCTTTGTTGATCTGGATGCCCTCCTTCAGGCGCTGCCCTTCCGCTTTCGTCCGCTTCGCGCGTTCGCTCCCGGCGAGGTCGACGAGGTGCATCTTCGCTCTCGTGACGTCCGCGGGGTCTCGGCCTCTTCGTTCGACGTGAATCGTAAATATCGCGTGCGACCTGGACGACCGGTGGTTCATCCCCGTCGCGGCCGTCGCCCTCGCGGCGCTGCCGCTCGCTAACGCCGCGGCCATCTCCGCGGCGGTGGACACCTCGACCTCTTTCGCGCCGACGAGGCTGACGCCGCCGTTTTGTCCGCGTCCGACGTTTTCGCGAAGCGACACCGCCTCCGCGTTCTTGAGATCCGTCACGAGCAGATCCCGGATGTCCTCCTTGTGAATCTCGATGAACCCAACCTTCAACTTCACGCTCACCTCCGGCGGCTCGTCCGCGATCGTCCTGAACAGCGTCTGCATCACGCGCGGGATGACGCCCTCGGTCGCCCCGCCCGGCTCGTGCGACGTGCCCATGCAGTGCGTCTTCCCCGAGCCCGTCTGTCCGTACGCGAGAACCGTCGCGTTGTACCCGCAAACGAGCCCGCGCACGAGCGGCTCCACGCACTGCTCGTACAGCGCCTTCTCCGTCGGTCCGGGGCCGTGAAACACGTGGTCGTACGTGAACTTGTGCTCGCTCACGAGCGTCACGGAATTCTCCTCCGGGTTCGGGAAGACGCACTCGCGGCATCCGTCCACGAGCTCGGGGCCGACGAGCGGGCGCATCATGAGCGCGACCGTGACCGGGAGCTCCTTCTCGGCTTCGATCGTCGGGAGCGCGTCCGCGAGGGCTTCCATGTCCATGGCGCCGTCCGCGGGGGGGGGCGTGGGGTCGGACGCGCCCATCGCCTCGCTGACGCGCGGGGGGACGAACGAACAACGACGAGACGGTCAGATTCGCGGAGGGACTCGTCGCGGAGGGGGACGAGGTCGACGACCGGACGAGGGACGCGCGACGACGCGAACCGGGGAAGGGGGGGGTAGACGCACGTGATCTCGTGCGCGCGCGACGACTCCTTCGCGAGCGCGGCGTGTCGCGTGCGTCGAGAGTGCACGCCCGCGACGCGACGAAGCTGTCGGAAGGGGACTACGAAATCGATCACGACTTCCCGCCCGTCCGCGCGCGTAACGGCTGAAAAATCGTTATTAATTAACCTTACGTCCGCCGCCGCCGCCCGTCGAACGTCGTCGCTCACGCGGGCGTATCGTTCCTCACGAGCATGACGCGGTAGCACCGTCCGTTCGAGGACATCGTCTGCACCTCGCGCTCGGTCGGCACCCCGAGCGGGTTCTCGTCCAGCCACCCCTCTCGGTCGCCCGCGGCGGCCCACGCGCTCGTCCAAAACGCCCCCGGCTCGGCTTTCCCGTCCTTCTCATCCGCGTCGTCGTCGTCTTCGTCGTCCTCCTTCTCCGCGACCGCGACGACCTCTTCGCCGTCCGCGGTCGCGACGTCGCGCCCGTCGCCGTCGCCGTCGCCGTCGCCGTCGCCGTCGCCGTCGCGGCGCGTCGCGCGCCCCGGCCACCCCGCCTTTTCCGCGGCGAGCCTCGCGACCTTCGCGCGCACAAACTCCGGATCCATCCAGCCCGCCGCGTGCACCGACGCGTCCAGATCC